TAGTTCAGATGTAAAACTTTTGTACCTTGCATGGCTTGTGTGATTCACAAAATCTGTCCAAAAATTTTAAGCTGTTATGTTGTTTTGCAATGACATTCTTGAATTTATTTGCATTGTTTCTGTCCACTTAAGGTGTGACCCTTTCTATGCGTTCTATGTTCATTCTGCTAATATAGTTTACAAGAAAAAAGAATCTTATTTACCTTGGTTTGTATTATTTTTTAATCTTCTTTCCAGTGCTGCTGAGATTGGGAGATATATTGCCATGCTACGGAATCCTTCATCTGTCCTTCGTGCCTGTGCTGCTTTTGCTCTTCTTCAGGTAATGCACGATCACTGTATTATTCTGTAAAGTGTCTTGTGTTTCTGATGGTGGATACACATTTGGGATTTTGGATTCTTGCTAACCCTCTCTCCCTCACCGTCATCATCCTCTTCTGTCTTCTTTTAGAGATGCAACTCATGTTGATTAATTATGGTGTTAATCATCTCAAGCTCTCAAAATCTTTCACCTGACCTGTTGTAGAACTCTAGCCTCTTAGCTGAATCAAACAGGTTACCTTCATTGAGCTAGTAATTTTGAGAAAAATAGAAGGATGCTTTTACCATGAAGAGGTGGGAACTAGTTGGAAGACAGTCTTCTTATAATTTAATAGTTTATAGGGAATAAATGCTATGAATGTTTAGAGAGAATATATGGAAGAAGACCACACCACAATAATTTTTGGAGGGATAGATTGCTTGGATGACATATTATCTGTTAGTGCCAACCCTTGTCTAGGTGGAAAACCAGAATGGCACCCTGCACCCTCTTCCCCATCTCCCCCTCATACCGTCGCCACCCCCAAGGTTTTGCCTTGGTATTTCAACCTGAGCTCCACATCTTGGTGGAAAACTGAATTGTCTCTGCTTTTGCCAAGGTTATCTAAAATTATGCTGGGATTGATTACAACAAATTCTTGACCATGAATTCATGATGCTAGCAAGGCCAGTTCCCAATGTGGCACCAACCTGGAGATGGCCCTAAGTGCTCGACATGCTGGCCATGGCTACCAAGAGGCAGGATTGTCCATGGTCATACTTGTTAACATTGCCTCACGTTGCAGCCTTACTGTACCACCAGAGAATAATTAGTGTAAACGGTTAAAATGATGTGACAGTTTAGGATCAAGTATTAGATTGTTTAGTTCATTGACAAGAGAAGAATAAATGAAAGGAAGAGGAAGCATAGAAGAGGATAAGCAGGGTCAATACCCAAGAAAGAAACGTCATCCTATCAAATTGTTTCATGCAGATTGAAATCATTTGTTAATATGCCTCCCTCTGCATATGTGGATTCGTTAAATAAATGACCTTTATCAAGGAATTTCCTGGCTTTTTAAAACCAGGCTTAAGTGATGCTCATCCAAAAATAAATAAATAATTAAATAACTTCCAACTTAAAACTCATATTTGGCTTAGACTCAACTGACTACAAAATTATACCTGCAATAGTCTATTATGTAATTCATGATATGCTTGTGTTATTCCTTGATACTTGTAATGAGGTTAAAGAGTTCTTTGGTCAACGCTACGTATTGCTAAGAAATAATTTTCAAATAATAGTTGTGCTCTTATTGCATCATTAAGAAGTTCCATAGTTTTTACATGCTTTCACATTCTTAACCTGCAGTGAGTTTCTAATATCATATTTTGACAAAATCATTTTTGCTTATAAAAATCTTTTCTGGAATTTATATTATATCCAGAAGCCAGAACTGGGAAAAACTATATATGCTGCAGTTTAAATTGATCTTATCTATTTAATTGTCATCCAAGGGACTTTTGAGCACATTAAGTTTGTTTGACAATGATGGATATTGTCTTGGAAGTTCTCTCTAAAGCTTGTTGGGTTCAACCAAGTCTTCATGGTTCTTCTCCTTTTGTAACAATTCTTTGTTGCTATATCCTCAAAATGCAGTTCACTATTCCTGGAGGTCGGCATGCAGCACACCATGCCAGCCTTTTGCAGAAAGCTGGAGCAGCACGTGTCCTTCGTGCCGCTGCTGCGGCTACCACTGCTCCCATTGAAGCCAAAATATGTGCAAGGATAGTTCTCAGGAATCTTGAACACCACCAACTAGAAGCATCAACATAAGTCAGACAAACAGGTAGGTTTCCTTGTATAGGTAGATCAAAAAGTTCCAACTTGTATCAGCATGAAATGAGGCATGCACATGAGTTCTATTTCACTCAAATGCAGAGTTCTTAATCATAAAGCTTTCCTTTCTCCAGGGGAGGGAGAGTTTGGATTTCCTTCCTTCGCTGGTTCATATACTTAACAATAAGACCCAAATGGGGCTTGTGTTAATTAGGCATTTGTAAGTTTGCATGGTTTGTCAGCCACAATAGTGCTTGGGTGTATTTTTTTGTAAGTTTTTTTTGGCATGTACAAGAGGTGATAGTGGCTAAAAGAAACTAGTCTCAAGTTTTGCACTTCATTCATTAAGACACTATGTTTGATGCCTGTTCCAGGCTAAACGAGGCAGATTAATAACAAGTGTTTCGGCCTTCTCATGTAACTTTAGTGCTAGTGATATATGGATCGATATCATTGTGTTTGTTGTTGACGGAAAATTTGCATGTTCAATAACCCACTGATTCATGTGATGTGAGGTTTTCTTTCTTTTTTTTGGATTTACAAGATGCTACAGATCAACTGATGCTGGCTTATCTTCTCTAAGACTTTTGGTTCATTCAGAGATGGAAGAGAAAACCCCTAATTCTTGCCCTGCTTGTCCTTCCCTCAGCTTTGCAACTTGTGCTTGCGACCGTAGTTGCTTAGTTTTCTGTGTGTCAAGTTCTTTCAACTGATTTGATGAATTAACTTGCATAAAAAATTTAGGAAAGAATCAGTAGTCATGATATATGAAAAAAGGAAAATGTTATGTTGGACAAACTCCAATCCCCATTAGAGATGAGAGAATAGCATTGCTAATTCCGAGCTGAAAGTAGTTTGATATTTCTTTTTTCATTTCATGCTATATTTGCAAGTTTTTTTTAATATATATTTCCAATTCTTCTGCCTAAACTAAGCTCGAGTAATTTCTCAGGAAATGTGTTTATGTGTTTGGTTTTTCGATAGAACCTCTACTCATCATTCGATTATCTTGTCGATTAATCCTTTGACATAGCGACTCATTGACTAGTAATTGGACTTCACAATTGATGTTTATCTTTTTAGCTCAACCTTTAGTTAAAATGATTTTTTTGTATCACTTATATAAAAAAAAAAATTTAATAGAAGGTTAATTTCTTAGACTAATCAATTGATTTTCTCGTGATGATATGAGATTCATTAATAACTACCTCTCATTGGAAACTAAAATGGAAACTTTAAAGTTCATAAACTAAACTACATTAGATTCCATCAATTGTGTTTTATGCAATAATGGAAACTAAATTTCACATCTAATAATCATAGGAGCAAAGCAGAAAGTATGGTTCATCTTTGAACATAGATGGAATAACAACAAAACTCCAAGAAAACAAATGATAATTAGGATCAAGTTACTTTTGCAGGGAATTGTGCGTGATCTTCGCATAATCGCAACTCGAAAAGAACCAACATGAGCACAAGTAAATTACAGACGCAAGTACAGAAACTAATAAAGATAAAGAAGACAACAACTCGATGGCGACGGCGACGGCGACGGCGACGGGGGATGTCGAGATCCGTACCCCACGACACATCAAGTCGTCATTCTGCGTTTACCATCGCATCAATGTTTGTTTCCGAAGGATTCCTAAGCACTTTATTCATTCGAGTACTAACCATCGAGAAGGTGCCAATCTCGCACAGCAGCCAGCATCTACTTTTCTCTCTACAACACCAACACATATCTGGCTTTCCTTTTCTCCAGCTGTATGATTAACCTGATTGAACGTAGAAATGAAAAAGGTGGATTTGATGCACCAGACTTACCAAAATCATAAACAAGCAAAATCTTATATAAGAAAATTAACATATTCGAGGGAGGAATTGAAAGCTGTGGTCCTCGAGATGGTGAAAGACCGGAGGAGGAGGAGGAGGTCGGTGCACAATAAAGCCTTCAATTCCAACCCAATAATGCTGCTGATCTGTTCTTCCCTCGCCGTAAGAAGAAGATGGATAGCATCAGGTTTTGTTGCTTCCATTATGTTGTGGCGTGGCCCCCCGATGTATTGCTTGCTTGCAAGATTGTAGTTGGAGATGCTTGGTAGCCACAGGTTTTAGGGAGGTAACTAAGAAACATACAATGATGAATGGCATTTAATTCATGAGGAAATCCATGCCAATCATAATAACACTAAAGAGAAAATAGAATGAGCTTTCTCTAATAAAGAACATTGATAAGAGTCAATTTGATCGATTCAATTTGGCTATTTTTTTAATACTCACATGTCTATATCTTATGTCTCTTATAGGACGAAAGATTTTTATATCCTATATTTTACTTCTGATAGAAGATTACATCGAGACTTATCTAGTAAAATTTATATAATAATCAAGTTAGTATACATTCATAAACGTCTAAACGCTCGTAAATATTGGTTCATGAAAAAGCCTCTTTTGATATAATATTATTCTTATAATAATTTATTTAACAAGAGAATATATCTTTTTTACTATTTAATTGATATCATATGCATAACAAATCCTTTATCGTCTTCAATAATTAATATGATATGTCCAATATATATTTATTGGTTTTCATATATTGAGTCCTATTTGACCGAAAATAATGATATGATCAAATAAGTTATAAACAAAATTATTGTGGACTTAAATGATTTAAATGTACGTAATTCAAGTCAAACATTACATTCCATGGATCCAACAACTCGGACGGCCCACCAACCACATCACCGTTATGTCACACATTACGGCGTTAACGTTATGTCACACCGACAAGCACACTTTTTTTCTCTCTCCTTCTCTTTTTTTTTTTCCCTATTTATTTATTATTTTTTAAGCAAATACTATGATTCGTTTCTTTCATCTCCTCCTCGCCCAACTACCCGTCTCTCCCCCTCCGCCTCTCCAACCTCCTCCTTCCCTTCTCTGCCCTCTCGTGGTTCTTCGATTTGATCGCGATCTGTGCGGTCGAGAGATCTTTGGCTTGGTATGGTGCGTGAGATGAATGGAGGGGTGGGGGACGTCGGGGGAGAGGATTGGACGGAGGAGGAGAGCGTCAATGGCGGGAACGACGTTTGGAGCTCGTCCCGCCCCGCGGACCACCTTGTGGTGATGGTTCATGGCATCCTCGGGAGGTTGTTCTTCTCTCTTGATTTCCGGATGGATTGTTCTTTTTTTTTGTTGGTTCGTGCGGTTGCGTCTCTGAGCTGCTGTTCTGTTTGGCTTAGGCGTGGATTTGATTTATCTGAGGAAAATACTAATTTCCTTTAACTTGCACTCTTTCCTGCGCGTTTGGGATGCTGAATCCTCTTCTGTTTTGTTGGAATCGTGCTGACGTGATTCTTGTTTCGATTTTGCAACTTTATACACGAAAGAGCTAACGACTATGTTTATTGAATTTTGCGACTCATTATTTCTTTGCATCTCTCATACTATCTAAATACAAAGAACTTAGTTTGGAAATCGTGGACTATTTTATTTTATTCTTTTTAGTTATAGTGTCTTGATTTTTTTTGCTAGAAAATTTTATCGTGCTCTTCTGAGTGTATGTGCACGGTAGTTAGTGCCATGAATTTGGAGGTTGTCTTTGTTGAAACTGCAGGGTTGTCCTAACTTGATGCTTGCTCGTGGAAACGAAGCAACATAAGCAACAAAGGTTTTTTGAATTTTGTAGACAAGGCTCTTCTTTGTCTTATCACCTGTTTCAATTGGTGATTTCGAGCAACAGAACTCATACCTTAGTTTTACTCCTTTGTGCAAGTTATAATTTTGTTTCTATTAAAAAGGATGACTTATTAGACTCTTAGAGTTCACAAATGAAGCTCATTTGTATAGTTCCAGAGAGAAAAATGACAAATAGTTATGACTAGTTTCCTCTGTGATCACTGTTGTCTGCCAAACACTCTTCGTAAACATGATCTTAGGAGTTACTTAAGCTTTTCCATCTAATGAACACAATAATTGTGTTGATTTTTCAACTGAAATATTTGTTAAATTCTGTGGCCACTTAATTGGCAAGCCTTTATGGAACAATGCAGCTGATTCTTTTATTTCATCCTTTGGATCTGCAAGACTGCATGCACCGTTTCACATTATGCAATGGTTTGAAATTTTGGTTGCAGCACTGCTGACTGGAAGTTTGCAGCCCAGCAATTTGTTGCAATGCTTCCAGATAAAGTGATAGTTCATTGTAAGTTATGCTTTGTCAACTTTATCTAAGCCTGCACTGAGTGTGTCAGTTTATTCTGTTCTTTTAATGGTGGATATCATTTTTCCTTTCATTCTTGAGAGATCATAGTTTTCTACTTTGCTTGACTTCAGGTTAAGATAATGTCCTGCCTTTTCTTGTCTACTTTTGATATTGTTACATCATATGGTTTAGGATTTTTTTTGTTTTTGGACAGCAACTTAGGATTCTTATTTGTCTAAGAACAAAGTATGAAAAATGTCAAAAATTAGAAGCTTCCTGTTTGTTGCAGTTGATGCTAAGTTTGCTTCCGTATAATGATAGATAACGTTAGATCAAGTCATTCTTGACATAGTCTTCCATACTAATCAATAGACTCCTCAAGTATAATATATTATGACTAGGTTAATAGATTTCATGCACCTTTCATCAACTCTTAACCCATGCCAAAATGTTGTCTTGCACATATTGGATATGATCATTCTCTGTTTGAAATTTTTTTATGTGAATGCCTGATTTTGTATACGCAGTCAACCATACAATTGCCAGCATTTTTTAATCTTTATCATGCAACATATTGTATTAATAGTCTCAGTTGATCTTTAAATCTAGGAGAAATGTGATTTGTTGTCGTCCAAGAATAAATTGCCCTAATTGGTTGTGAAATATCAGTAAAGCTGAAGTATGTTGGAATATCAATATTGGTCATCACAACAAATTATGTTTTCTAGATAATACTTAGAGAATGAGGAATCTGGTTTTGACTTTCAGTGATTGCAACATGTTCTTTAGTAAGTATTAAAATTCCCTTTTTCTCTTTCTCATCTTTTTGTTGTTGACATCCATGACTGGTATAAAATGGATTACCTGATTAAATAATATGATTTATTTCTAGATTATGTGATTTTTTAATTTTTTTTCTTGGGTTTCCTGTTGTGATGATTTCATGTTATTTTGTATAAATTGTGCTCTAATGAAATCTGTCCTATTTATTGTATACCCTGTAGGACATTGACACACTTGTTTTTGTTGTAGGCAGTGAAAGCAACATGTATAAGCTAACATTAGATGGTGTTGATATTATGGGTGAACGATTAGCAGAAGAGGTTAGTTGCTCTTAAATAATATAAACATCAGATTTCTGAAATACATTTTGTTGTTTAGTCTTTTGAAGCAACCTAGTTAAACAGATTATTGAAGTGGTCAACAAAAGGCTGTATCTTCGAAAAATTTCATTTATTGCACACTCGGTTGGAGGATTGGTTGCAAGATATGCAATTGGGAGACTGTATAGACCCCTCATAATGAAATCCCTAGAAAATCCTCTCTGTGATGCCTGTGATGATAGTCACAGAGGTACTATCTATGGTCTGGAAGCAGTCAATTTCATCACAGTTGCTACACCCCATCTTGGTTCTAGAGGAAACAAACAGGTACTCTTCCATTTTTTTTTCTTTGTTTCTGAAATTTTACTTTTATATACTTGGCCAAAGAACTAGATGGAAATTACGAATTGGAGTTAAATGTGACTCAGAAAGGCCTCGGCAGGTGATGGGATAAAAGGTGAAAATAATTATTAGGCCAGTCGTTGGAATAATGCATAAAGACAACCTACCGAGCTGAATAGTACTGTTAACTGCTTTCTCCAGGCCACATTCCATAAGTTGTTTCTTATATGTATCTTTATTCTGAATATGCATCTGTGATTAAAGATGATTTATCAAACTCCTTAATTTGAAAAACATCGCATACCTTGATGTAAACTTTCTTTTGCACACTTGTTTTTTTCAATAAGCTCTAAATTCTACATTCTTCATAGCACTAAGTGTATTAAACATCAAATAATCTCCTACCCATGATTCACTGTGAATAACCTTGCATCTTGACCCTACATGTACATTATGGTGCTCTTACAGTTTAATGGAACATTGACAAGAATACTTCCTAATGGAAATCTTGTTTGAAGGGAAGTTTGACTATTCTTGCTTTATATAGTTACATGTCCATGTAGGGCCTAGATTAAGAAAGGTTCATGAAGGTTTGAGTAAATGTTACAGCTGGTTGTGAACTTGACATTGATGCCCCTGGTGCTAAATTTCTGGGGCAAGCCAAACATAGATAAATAGAGTTCTAGAAGGGTTATAGCAAGCCATTTGGCTGTAAAATGATCTAGTCGACTGCTTAAGTATAAAGTCATGTATTCAAATAACAATACAGCAATATATTCCTAGACTTTGAAAGACCAAACAAAGGATAAACATAATTAATTTCATATATCGAGCTGCAAAAGACAAATAGCTAAACAATGTGTAGTCCCATTAAAATCTTTAAACATTCTCTTTTCCTTCATCTTCTTACAGAGCACCAGTAAAATTCATAAAAGTGCATGTTTTAGCAGTATTTTTATGTTTCTTATGTGCTCATATTTTTTCATATTCATTCTATCATTTTGACAAAGAAGTAGGCATATTATGGCTTGGCATATATTTCAGGTTGTAGTTCTTCCACCATGATTAAAATGCCAGTTGGATGATTTGATTTGACTGATTCCATCTTTAGGGTGGTATAGATTCAACCTAACCACCAGTTTTTGATGTATACCAAATGAACCATGCACTTTTGTTCCAGAACTGTGGTTTAACTGCTCTGTTTTTATTAAAACAGCACAAAATCTAGACAATTTCTTCACCTATTCTATAGTTCAGTGTTGAACTGAAACCCCGCCCTAACTTTAATAGATTTTTACTAATCTTTGAACCGTCCCAAAATCATGAGATTTTCCTTATTCGTTTTAGTCTAAAAGATACATCTTCATAGCAAGTCCGCTTTCCGACAAATTTCGGTTCCAGAACATTCATCTTCTGATGTTCTACCAACTTATGAGTTCTAACCTTGTTCAACATTTTCTCTTCTTTGTGTTTTAGCTACCAAACTCTTTTGTCTGGCTTGGGTCAAGTTCCCTCATTTTTGGCCCTTTGGGGCCAGGGTGGGTGGTTGGGGTTCTTTTAAAACTAAAATTTTTATCATTGTTGAGTTGGAGTCATCCTCTAGTTGTCTCATTGACATTATTTATGGCTATAGTGTAAAGCTCGTTATAAGTTGAACTATTTCTTGTTCTTCTGAAACTATGTTTCAGAATATGTCATATGTGATATTATGTCATCATATAATTGCATTCCAATGTTTCATATGGGAATTATCTGCAGGTCCCATTTCTTTTCGGTGTCACTGCCATTGAAAAAGTTGCTTCTCTTGTCATTCACTGGATATTTAGAAGAACGGGCAAACATCTTTTCCTAACAGACGATGATGAAGGAAAGCCTCCATTATTGCAACGAATGGTGGATGATTGTGATGACCTTCAGTTTATGTATTCTCCATCTTTGCTTTGTCTTTGTTGCAGTAGAAGGATTTATGAATTATGAGATGCTATTTCTGTGTAGCATGATCACACTATGAAAATTCATGAATCCAGGTCTTCCCTGCAAGCATTCAAACGCCGAGTGGCCTATTCCAATGTTGGTTATGATCGTATCCTTTTGTTGTAATTTTCATGCTTGTGGTTCAGTTAGTTTCATGCATACAGTTTTCTGAGAATTTTAATTGGCAGTTCAGTTGTTTTCCACAACTGAGTGAAATTGAAGACATAGTCGGCTGGAGGACGTCATCTATCAGGCGTAACTCTCAACTGCCTAAGGTATTCCTTTTATTTTCTTTACAGTTGCCCCTCGATATTTTACTAATTCATTGTTGAGGATAATTTATTTTATATCTAAGTCTTCATACTTTTTTTTCTTATAGTGGGAGGATTCGCTGAGTGAGAAATACCCACATGTTGTATATGAAGAATACTCAGCAGGAAGCAGAAATGATAAGTGCACAGATGATTCACTTATTAATGGTGACTGTGATCTATTAGAAGGTAAATATCATCATTTCATATTGGTTTGAGTATTCTAAAATTTATTGCATAGGTTCCTTGTTGCATAATGTCACCAAAACAATTTTACTTGGCATTTCTTATTTGTGTACATTTTTTTCCTTCCGAAAAGACAGGCTGTTCATCCCTCTTCATGAATTGCTATATTGAGCATGATGATCCGGGTGATGATTCAACTGTTAACCATTTTGGTGTACTTGTAATTACATTCTTTTTTTTGAACCTGTCAATCACTTGAGTCTTTGTCCTTCAAGTTTTTATGTATAGAAATTACCAAGGAAAAGCTATATAATCTACAAAATTGTCATTGGATGTAGGGTTGCAAAGATAAAGTGCAGTAACTCATGGTGGTAGTACTGTCAACAATTTGGAGATGTGCATCTAGTAATGATTGTTAACCAGTTTGACCTTAAATAAAAGAAGAAAAATGAAGAAGAAGAAGAAGAAGAAGAAGAAAAAAAAAAGAAATTCTGGTTGCAGAACAGTTACTGTAACTGAGACAAGGATCAGTTAAAAGTATTCTCATGCAAGAAGACATTGGCAAAGAATAATTTTGACCTTGCGGAGGTCATTGAAACCAGTATGAATATCAACTGTGGTTTTCAGAACTAATACAATGTTAGTTGAGAAGAAATGTTATTATGAACCATCGATGCAGGAAACAAACATATAGAGTAGTCATCACGAGGTCTTTGCATGTATACATGAATGAAGTGTCTATTTTGAGTTAAAACATGTAGATCCGGAAGCCAGAGTAATAAATGTAAATTTTTTTGCTGGTTGAATCGACAGCACAAACTGTAGTTGGCTAACGTTTGGTTTTATCTTCTGCAGAAAAGCTAGTAACAGGCCTCGCACATTTGTCTTGGGAAAAAGTCGATGTCAGTTTTCACAACAGCAGCATCCATAGGTTTGCTGCACATAGTGTCATTCAGGTCTCTCCTTGGCCATTATGACTACCTGTCTGCCTCTCACTGTTCCTTGTTCTTCCCCTCTCATTGATAAGCCTTTCTTCTGTAATCGCTTATATGTTTTGGTTGGATCTGTCAGGTTAAGGATCCATTCATGCATATAGAAGGTGCAGACGTTATACAACATATGATCGATCACTTTCTTACTTGAGGAAACTAAAGAAATTTTGGGTTGAAATGATGATTGTGCTCCTGTATGCAAGTTCTTCATCGGAAGAGTACATAGCTACTCAGATGCCAGATGGAAAATAAGGTTTGTAATCAAACTAAATCAGCAGCCATAGAGCTGTCACTCTTCTGGTATCCTCGAGTCCTTGAAATTATTTACTTTCAGGACTGATGACTGTTCTATGTATATAAGTTAAGCTTCAAACAATACATGATTCATCTACTGTATATGCAGATATTCTGCTCTTGTCCACCATTTTCGATATGGGATGATGTCAAGACAAAACCTTAAAAATGATACATGATGTCATGGCAAGAAAAAAAAGAATCATCTGCATCTTCTTATATTTGAGTAAAGATGCAAGGTTGAGAGGTATTATAAGAGTTATTTAAAATTCACATCATATATTTTGTCGTGGTAATATTTTGTAAGGTTTCCTTTTATAAATGTTATATAGGCATCAAAATTTGCATTATTAATATCTTTCATTTTTTTAATTTAAAATTTACATGAATAAGTCAGGGGGAAATTAAGACCCAATCGATCGTGTTCATTGCTAATAAAAGGATATTTTATAGTTTTAAATTTGAAATGAGGAGACTTTATATGGGAATTATTATTAATCCTTTCTTTTAGTGACATTTTTTCATTTTGAAGTTTTAGAACTGACATCAGAGGATGTACCATATTCAAATGCTAAATTTAGCTAGGCTACCTGTGTGATCAAGTATGGAGTGTTCGAGTTTTTTATGATGTCTTTTGATTTAACCAATGTCTTGGTGACATTATGTACTCTCATAAACTAATTGTTCAAGGAATATCCTTTATGATCGTCTAGTTAGATGAGATCATCGTTTATTGCCAAATACTCGATGAGTATGTTAAGAACATTCAAATAATTTTTAAAGTTATTAAAGAGAATATTTTGTTCGTGAAAAAGGAAGAAGTGCTACTTTGCTCAGATAAATATTTTATTCTTAGGGCATCGAATCAACGAAGGTTTCATTCAGATCGATCAATCGAATGTGCAAATCTTGGTAGAGTGGCGAACACTAAAGAACGTATCGGAGCTAAGATCCTTCTTAGGTTTTCTTAACTATTATCGATGCTTTATAGTTGGGTACTAGAAGCACACAACTCCACTGACGGAATTACTAAGGAAGGAGCAGCCTTGATGATGGTCAGATAAATATGAAATAGCATTCTAATACCTAAAAGCTATTGTGTTAGAAGAATTGATACTTAAATTGTCATACTATGGGAAACCTTTCAAAGTCCATACAGATGCTTCGAACTTCGTTGTTGAGGGAGTATTTATGTAGGAGGGTCACCCAAATAGCCTACGAGATCGAGCGGTAATATTCGGTGCATGAGAAGGAGATGACAATGGTGGTCTATTATCTACGAGTTTGGCAGCACTACCTTCTTGGAACGTAATTTGTACTAAAGATAGACAACATCGCGTTGAGTTAATTCTAAACTCAAAAGAAGCTCTCCCTAAAGCAAGCACGGTGGTAGGACTTCCTAGTTGAATTTGATATGACAATGGAGTACAAGCCCGAAAAAATAAATATCGTGGCTGATGCATTGAGCAGGAAAGTGGAGCTAGTGAATGCAATGTAACTAGAAGGCATAAGCCAAGTAAGTCAACTACACTCCAACTTTCTTTCCAGAGGATGGACTATATAGTGATCCCCTAGTAGTAACCTAGATGCAATTGATTAAAGAAGGCAAAGCACGATGATTTTAAGTTCAGGAGGGATTTGTCTATACCAAAGGGAATATAGTTTATGTTCCTCAAGTGAATAATTTGATACATAAACTCTTGAGAGAGTGTCACAATTCCCTTTGGGCAGAACATCTAAGCATTCATTAAACGTTGGCTCTCATAGAGAGGACATTCTATTGGTCGAAGATGAGGACTGATATGGAGGAATATGTTTGGATGTGCCTTACTTGCCAATAAGATAAGGTAGAATAGCGGAAGCCGATGGGATTTTTGGAATTGTTGTCCGTACTAGAAAGGTTGTGAGAGAGTATTTCCTTGGACTTCATATCAAACTTGTCAATCAATTTTTAAAATATGCAACATTCATTGCTGCACCCCTACACTGCTCAGTAGAGGAGGTGACCAAGTTGATAATAAAAAATATGGTGAAGTTCAACACTCTAGTTCTTTAGGCATAAAGTGTATAAGGGATTGGTATGTAAATATAAATGACCATTCCTAATTATTAGTAGGGTAAGCAATGTCTCCTGCAAGTTGCAACTGCATGCATGAATCAAAATTCACTATGTCTTCTACACGAGCAACTTAAAAATCTACCACTTAGGTCCGCAAGATACTTCCTGAATTATTCCAACTCAACTACCCCTACCAGAGCCTCTTATAAAAGCGAGTTGAAATCATTTTAGTGGATCACAAGACAAAGCTGGCCAATGGAGTAAAGCAAATCAAGTATTTAGTGAAGTGGCAAAAACTTCCCCAAATCGAAACCAGTTAGGAGCCTGAAAATGTCCTATAATAAGATGAAGCAATCATCAAAGCCTACCAGCAAACGTCGATGAGGATGTCGATAGTATAAGTGGGGAAGTATGTCACGAATAGTCATTGCACACCCACAGCACCTTCGTCAATGGATCGTTCATCGCTTTTGTTTGCATGTACATATGTTAGCAGCATGTTTTGCCTTATTTTTACGTGGTTTTGCTTAAAAACTATGAGTAGGAATAGCTTGTAAGACCATAGAATGATCACTTGAATAAGCAAAACTACCCCAAAATGACCTAGTTTTCATATGCCATAGCCTATTTTCTGTAAGCTACGGTACAGAGAATAATGTTAACCATTTTAGCACCCTAGAACATCCCGAGTAGCTAGATGAGTGTTTAGGATAATGTTGGGCATTAATTGGCTCACAAGTTCATACATTAAGCCTATGAGAGCTTATGAGAATTTGCCAACACTCCCAACACCTGGTGAGCAGTCATTTGCGAACTTACGATTATTCGTTTGCCTTCTAAAGTTCTTGTTTTCTCCTTTCTCTCTTGTATACTATCTTTTTTTTCTTGCACATTATGTGTTTGTTGAATTACTTGTAAAGCTACTAGCTTAGCAACTATGTCGGTACCAACACAAATATAGAGCGTTGAAAGGGTCACTCGGCATTTGCATCAACGCCGATATAGATACAGAACAATATCGCCCTTATCCGCATCGTTGTTAATGTTGACGCAAATGCAGAGCAATACCACTTTGTATTTGCATCTGTGTCGGTATCGATGTAGATGTTGAGTGATCCTTTTACCACTCTATATTTGCATCTATGTCGGTGTCGAAATAGATGCATAGCATTAGCATCTACGTTATCCTCTTCTTCCTCTCCTTTTACCTTTGCCTCTTATTATCGCTCTCCCTTCTCATTCATAACAGTCAACTATTGTCCAAATGATATCATTATCGATCATCATAAAAAATATATAACTATGATATTAAAATATAACTATGATAAAACTGAGATTTTTATAATTTTAGGAACCGCGAGCTACAGCCATCTCAGATGCACTCAATACAACAACAAGGGAGGACTGTTGTTGGATCTTGAGTAGCTTTGCCTCAAGCTGCGTCCGATTTCCAAGAGCCTCCACCACGGAGAAGACCTGCCCAAGAAGTAGGGTTGGGGCTTTTGGATGGAGAGGGTTTAGCCGGACTTACAGGGGAAGGCGGAAGAGATGATTTGGGAGATGCGTCGCCAATAGGGTTGGATGATCCAAAGATTAACAGGGTCAGGTGAGCGAACAACCGTAGTCGCTTGTGGAAGAGGGCTGAGTTGGAGTCGATAGATGATCACTTGGGGCAGGTCGCGAGGTAGGCTATCGTAAAAATTCGGAATTCGAGGAAGATGAAAGACGATCGAAGAAGGGGTATTGCAACCAGAGATGTTATTATTGTTCTCACTCTCGTCAAGAAGTCGATGAAAATTTACTTGTATCCGGGAATTTCAACATCCAATCTATTACAAGTGCAAACGAACGAAAGAATAATAGTGCAAACGAACCAAGGAATAATAGGTGAGAGAGCACACGAAGAGGGATAGGATTCCGTCTTCTGTTTTTGTTTTTTTGTTTTCTGTTGCTTTTGTTTCCTTAATCTCTTCAGCTCACGGTGACTTGAGCACATCCCAGAGAGGGGTGGGGAGATAACGGCGACAACGGCGGCACGTTAAAGATTCCCTTCGTGTCCGCCCCCTCCCAATCCCACACGCCCTTCCAGCTCGACGGCGTCAAGGGGCAAACCGACATCGACGGAACGAACCCTCCGTCGCCGCCTTTCTCCGTCGCCGGCGACCGCTCCCTTTTGATTCCCCTCGCCGCTTCCTCCTCCTCCGCCTCCCGCTTTCTTTTCCCGGATAGGACCTGCGCGGCCGTCGTCATCGCCGCGTCCCACTGCTCGGAGCTCCCGATCTCGTGGGGGAAGTTAAGGATGGCCTTGCGGCCGCGCATCTGGAAGGCGGCGCGGTCGTACGCCCTCGCCGCCTCCACGGCGGTGTCGTAGGTGCCGAGCCAGACCCTCGCGCCCCGCCGGGCGGGATCCCGGATCTCCGCCGCGAACTTCCCCCACGGCCGCTGCCGGACCCCGCGGTACCGCTTCAATTCGTCGCAATCCGCCGCCGCTCCCACCGGCCGCGGCGGCACGGATATCGTCAGCGACGGCCGGCGGCCTAGCGCCGGTTCGGGGAAACGACAGGCACCGTCGCAGGGGAAGGCGGGGGCCAGGCCGGGGGAATCGGGCTGGGGAAGGTCGCCGAGGAGGCATTGACGGATGAGGTCGAGGGTGGAGTCGTCGAAGCCGATGGATGCCTCCATAGATTGATGTATCAGAGAAGACGATAAGAGATAACTGTGGTGTGGAATGCCTTTGGAGACCACACAGCCTCCCTGGTACAATATATAGAGAAGCTCTGCGGTATGGTTTTGGGATCCTATACAAACCTAACGGAGCATCAGAACGTACCATTTTCCGATGCCATCAGAACCGTTGATGTGAGGTAGTAGGAGATGGCGGAACCGGTGGATGGGAGGAGTGGTGGGATTGGATGCAGTAGAATTGTAGAGGATCCCACCAACTCGAAGGATGCTTCCGCGAATGAGATCAGCGTGCGGGCGTGGAAAGAGGCGAAAGTGATTAGTACACTAATATTATATCCCTAAGAGAGGGAAAGCGTGACATCACTCAAAGACCGGTAGAAGAGAAAAGAAGAAGGGAAGGGAGGTGGAAGTGGCGGTGAGCTGCCAAGTTGCGTGGCACGGATGGATCCGGGAAGGCACGGGGTGACATGGACCAGGCGACCTAGCGGGGCCCGCAACACCATTACTGTATTTTATTGGTCCTTGTTATGGACACGTGATCGATCTACTGAGCGAAGCACCGCGATGGGCGCATATCAAAATTGGAAGAGAATCCGTGACCCATTTCTAAGATCCTCGAGAATTTTGGTGATCGATCGATTGAATATGGACATTTATCTTTTTTTTACTTTCTTTTATTTGCCATGAGATCCGACTAGTGGCTGCTTATATCACACACTAAATTCAGCTTGAATCAAACTGAAAAGATCTTCTGGAATCAACAAAATCCAAATGAAAAAAAAAAAATAAAAATATTTTACCGAAAAAATAGACTGGTGGAGTAACAGTTCAGAGCATTGAACAGTCTGCCATCTCTGTGACTAGGACGAGACATTTATGTATAGCCTCTCGTGGACATAGCACACATGGCATTTATAATAATAATAATAAAACGGTTCCTTTACCAATATGAAGACATAAATTGAGACCCCTAAAAACATATCCAACATCTCGGGTGTACATAATACATGTGGCAAATTTTGGTAGGAATGATTTCAGCTCTTTATACATATCCAACATCTCTGGCCTTTGGATGTTCTCCATCAACGGTCTCCGAATCTAAAGGAAGCACTGCAACTGCACAATGTTAGATTGAAAATTAGAGCAGCAACAACGTGAGTTTCAGTGAGTTCAAAATTTTACAAAGAAAAGCTCTTTTAGTCAAAAAGCAAAAGATAGTTTTACCTTTTAATCTTCCAAACCTTCGATCATGGAAGGTCACTCTGGATGTATAGTTTCAAAGCGCTGGGATCCATGACCAACCTCTGTCAAAATCAACACAATCTGAATCTGAACAGATCCAACTCAATAGTTTATTGATACATTGCAAAGATCCTCCAAATACAATGTATGTGACCATTGCAAGCCTCAGGAAGACAAAATAATGATGGAGATCTTCCAGGACCAGGGAATTTCATCTGAGTTTGTGTATTAACTGATGAGCAAGATTGGAGTAGAATTCTACACCAAACAATCATACTAAGGATACCATCTAAAGAAATGGAGAAGGTAAACTTCTAACTGCATGCAAAATGGAAATGCTTGTACCCATCTATATGCAGCAAATTGACAGTCAGAGAATTGATAAGAAGACCTACCAACACATGAAGAGAGAATCATAAGCTACAATTAGAGTCCCCCTAAAAGAACTCGAAGTCCAAGTACTTTCCTCCCGATTTCATGTCTGCCCCTAGCATCCTCTTACTGCTACTCTCCACACCTTCTGCAACCCCAAACTTCAATGAAAGTTCCATCTCGACACGCCTCGGTACCTCCGGTGGTGTGCTGCATCGTATGAGTGCCCAGTTCACACCTTCAAAGAAAGGGTGCTGCTTTATCTCGGTAGCGCCTCTTTTCACACCCAGACGATGCTGGGGCTCTTTAACCAAAAGCCCTTTTATCAAATCTCTGCTTGCATAACTAGTTGATGGGGTTTCAGGGAACCGAAGCTGCTGGCCGACCACGTTGAACAATGTTGCCCTATTGCCAGAGCCTTTAAAAGGTGTCTTTCCATACAAGAGTTCATGCAGTAATATGCCGAACGTCCACCAGTCCACAGCGCTTCCATGGCCTTCTCCCTTAATGATTTCAGGGGCCAAATACTCATGTGTCCCAACAAAGGACATTGACCGGGCAGATGTTGGCTCCGCTACAAGTTGAGGCAGGGCGGAAGAGTGGTGCATCGATTCGGTCTTTGGCTTCCTTTCCTTTTCCTTGTTTCTTTGTGGGAAAATTTTTGGTATGAAGCATGAAGACTGAATGCAGACTGATGATGGCTCAACACAGGCTGGCTGGACGCAAAATGCTCCAGCTGACCGTTTGGAAAAATCAGAATCAAACGATGATATTTTTATTAGTGTTGGTGAGACAGCACACCTTAATGATAGATCAAAATCTGAAAGCATTATGTGGCCATCATCACGAACAAGCACATTTTCAGGCTTCAGATCTCTGTACACAATTCCAAGCATGTGGAGATATTCAAGGGCCAGTAGTACTTCCGCAGCATAAAACCTGTTTTGTAATTAAATAAAAACCCTTATAATTTATTTAAAAGTAGAAATTCCAATTTAGAAGTTCACTTAATGGCAAATACAAATGTCTTAATACATTTTTCACATTTTCCCCTTTTGTCTGCTCAATACATTCTTTCACTTGCATTTGCTTTAGTGTTTTTTTTTTTTTGTTAAATGGTAGAAAATTGGAGATGCTAAGATAATCTTAAATCATTTCAATATAAAGCTTACTGAATTATGAACATTACTCGATGAGAATTTTATCACAAAATTTATCATGTTGACAAGTTAGCAACTTTACACTATGTTAGCAACTTGAAATAAAGGAATACTTTCAGGGAAGGGATTAGAATTGGTATACACTACGATCAGAAGAAGAATAAATATTACTTGTTTATAAGAGACCAAGTGGGTAGAGAAAAAATCTAGAGAGGTTGTTAGTATTGGATTTAAAATTTGGTATACTGAAAAAGTTAAACACAGAAATGATGTAAGAATTATTGTTGATAAAGATCTTAAGAATAATGTTGTAGATGTAAGGAGATTTGAAGATAGAATTATAATTGTAAAATTTGTGAAATAACAAGATGTTTTGAATGTCATTAGTGCTTATGCCCTCGAGTCAGATTGGATGATCAAAATAAAAGAGAATTTTGAGAAAGCTTAAATGATACCATTGAAAGAATGCTTAAATTCGAAAAACTTATGATTAAAGAAGATTTGAATAGTCATATAGGGAAAACATATTATGAATATAAAGGGGTGCATGAGGGCCTTGGTTATAGGGAGACAAATGAAGATGGTGATATGATTTTAGATTTTTCAACTTCGTATGATCTTATAATTGTAAATACTTACTTTAAGAAGAGAGATGAACATTTAATTACTTATAAGAATAGTCTCAACTGTAGCCAAATAAACTTTTTTCTCGTTAGAAAGATAGATAAAGTTATATATAAGAATTGTAAAGATATTCTTAGTGAAAGTTTGACGAATCAACATAGGTTGATGATTTTAGATATTTACTATTTAAAAAAAAAAGCAAAAGATAGTAGAAAAAATACCAGGACCATATAATGAAATTTTAATGATGATACTGCACACACTTTTAAGAACAAGAAAGAAAAAGAGACGATTTGGAACTTAGATCAAGATAATATTAATACTATTTGGACTACAATGACTAATAAGATTAAGAATTTAGCAAAGAAGATTCTTGGTGAAACTAAAGGTAGAGGTGTAACTAAGAGAAAGTTGATGGTGGTGCGAGGAAGTTCAAAAAATAATTTTTACTAAAAGATCATAATTTAAAGATTGGTAAAATTGTAAAAATGAGAAAAAGTTTAAAAGATATAAAGAATCTAAAATAAAGACTAAAAAATGGTTAGTATGGCAAAATATAAATCTTATGATAACTTTTATACTAAAAATAGTGAAAAAGATATATATCGAATTGCTAAAGCTTGAGAAAGAAAGTACAAGTATTTATATAATATTAGATGTATTAAAGACGAAGATCAAAGAATACTTGTTAATGATAACAAGATTAAGGAAAGATAAAAAAAATTATTTTTATAAATTATTTAATGAATATTCCATATAGGACTTACATTTAACGATAAATAATAGTGATATATTTAATAATTATAGAATTTTTCATTAAATTAGAGCTAATGAAGCAAAAGATGCAATAAAAAAGATAAAAACAGCTAAGAGTATGGGGCCTAATGGTATCCCTATTGAGGTTTAAAAAAGTCTATGAGACAAGGGAGCTTTGTTAACTAGCTTATTTAATAAAATTATGAGATTCAGAAGAATGTTTGATGAATTGAGAAAGAGTCTTTTAGTACCAATTTACAAAAATAAGGGTGACATACAAAATTATTCAAATTATAGAGAAATTAAAATCATGAGTCATACCATGAAACTTTGAGAAAGAGTTATTGAAAGTAGGATAAAGCTTGAAATGAATATATCTGAAAATCAATTTGGTTTTATGCTTGGAAGGTCAACCGTAAAAGCTATTTATTTATTAAGACAATTAATACAAAAAGTATAGGGAGAAAAAGAAAGATTTCTATATAGCCTATGATAAAGTGTTTACATATTTATTATAGTGGGTTTTAGAAAAGAAAGGTGTATCTACTAACTATATTATTGTTATTAAAGATATGTATTATAATGTAGCTACTAGTATTAAAACGATAGAGAGTGTATCTAGTGAGATTCCTATTAGCATAGGATTACACCAAGGATCTGCATTAGGTCCCTACCTTTTCACATTGATAATGGATGAACTTACCAGTCACTTACATAATAGACTTCCTTGGTATATGTTATTTGCTAATGATATTATCTTAATTGATGAGAGCCTACGTGGAATTAATTATAAACTTAAGTTATGGAGGCAAGCCTTAAAAACTAAATGTTTTAGATTAAGTAAGACTAAAACTAAATATATAAAATATAATTTTAGTTATTTTAGAAATAGATAAGAGAATATAATTAAATTGGATGCATAAGAAATCCCTTTAAGTAATAGCTTTAGGTATTTTGGATTAATTATTCAACAAGATGGAGAAATCGATGAAGACATTATTCATAGAATAAAAACATGATAGTTAAAATAACGAGGGGCATTAGGAGTCTTGTGTAATTATCGGATACCTTTGAGATTAAAAAAAAAATTTATAAGATAATTATGAGGCCAATAATGTTTTATGGATCTGCGTTTTGGGCAATTAAGAAAAAAACATATACAAAAAGTTTGTGTTACCGAAATGAGAATTTTGAGATAGAAGTATGGAGTTACTAAGAAAGATAGGAAAAGAAATATTTTTATTCGTAAACAACTAGGTATTGCTTCGATAGAGGATCAGATGAGATAAAATCGTTTAAGATGATATAAGTATGTGCTAAGAAGACCTCCGGATGCGATAGTCAAAAGAGATTAAATAATTAATGTTAGTGGTATAAGGAGAGATAAAGGAAGACTGAAAAAGACTTTAATAAAAACTATAAATAAAGATTTCAATACTCTGAACTTAACTAAACATATGACATCTTATATATTTCAATGGCAGAAAAGATCCATATAGGCATCCCTAAATAGTTGGGACTTACGGCTTTGTTGTTGTTGTTATTATAATTTATCATGTTGACAAATCTATTCGAATGGTACACATGTTAGTTGATCTTTTGCCAGTTAGATGGATGGAGAAAAGCACTCTAAAATTGCTCATTCTTTTGTTATATTAAAACTTATATATATCCTATTACAATGGCATAGAATTATGATATTGCTCAAAGCAACAAAGATGACATGATTTTTCGAAGACTTACTAAAAGTGGTGGTCAGTATGCTTGTATGAAATAAAGGGGTATACTCAGCTTAAATTTAGAAGTGAAAAGATTATTGGTAAGTAGTTGTTCAAATGTTTGAAAATTATAATTTGGTTAAAACCAAGGTTCATCGTACCGCAGCATACTGCCTGGTATGGGCGGTATATACCGATTTGATAGGGTATCGGTACATACCAGTTTGTTGGTAGGCTCCGTCAGACCATATGTCGATATGTTGGTACGATTCGACACGTACCATACCGATAGCCGATCTATCACGAATGGTCATCGCACACCCATAATATATTTGCTCAACAAACTGTTTATTGCTTTTGCATGCTTTTACAGATGCTTGGTAACATGTTTTGCATTGGTTTTGTGTGTTTTTTCTTGAAAAATGTAAGTAACGATAGTTCGCAGTGCTGTAGTGCGACCGCTCACTGCGCCGGGCAAAACTGCCCCACCGCACACAAAACGTTAGCCATCTCCGCACCCTAGAACCCGCCGGATGGCACCAAAGAGGATGGGGCTTCGGGGTAGTGTTGGGCGTTGATCGGTATACACAAGTTCACACGTTAACTTGATGGAAATTTGTCATCGCGCCCGACACCTAGTGAGCAATCGTTGGTGGACTTGCGACTGTTCGTTTTGCCTTCTAAAGTCCTTACTCTCTCCTTCCTCTATTTTCTCTCTTGCACTCAAAATGCTTGCTGAGCGTGTTGGCTACATTGTTGTCAAGCTTCGGAACATGTTTCTTTGCATCCATTACCTTCCAGAGCTCATTGTTACAAACTAACTCTGTTTAACCACTTATACTTTACGGTAAACAATTTTTAACTCTTTTGATCACATAATAATTATTATATTCTACACCATAATAGTGTTTTTTAATTCTTTTATGTATAATATTTCTTCTACTTCAGTGATCTTCTTAAATTTACATACTTAGGTTTCTTGATTTATTTTAAGTTGTTATTAATAGCTATCTTCTTTGTACCCAAGTTTCAAATGAAAAATATGAAATACTCATTTATCAATTTGATGCTCATTCTAATTGTTGTGCAATCTCTAGTTCTTTCTTCTTACGGTTTCCTATTGTGTAAATCACTACTCTAAGACACATTCTTCAAGTAATTTCTTAACCAACATAGATCCGACATCTTTGAGAAAAAAGGGAAGAAATAAGAACTTGTTGAGCTCCCAAAAGAGCATGCAGTACCAAAGACTATGAAGTTGTGCAACTAAAAATTAAGCCCCACTGTTAGATAAAAACTGGAGGCAACTTGGGTAGCTGAAACGAAAAATCCTCTACCTCTAATCCAAAAATATTGATGTTTTTTCAAGAACAAAAGGATGTGAATGCTTGTAACATCCAAAACAAGGTGTAACTCTAAGGAATAATCGCCCAAACGGATTGATGGTACCATGCTTAGAAGTGTGACACTTAATTCATAGGATTAATCACTATTATCAGATCTGGCCTAAGTGGTGGCCTGGACCAATTAGGATGTGGTTAAGTAAATATATTAAGTGATATAATATTAACTACTTAAATATTAAAAAATGTTAAAAATACGTAAAATTGAAATAATAGAAAATTGATAATATAACTTTGGATTGTAGCTAATCGAAGAAAACATGTTATTCATTATTTTTATAAAAAGGTGGAATTCATCCTATGTCGTAGTGAATAGTTAAGTATTCAACCATCAATAAATTTGTAAAATGGAGATATCTCGTTGATAAGGAAGAAGGATATGCTCTGCCTCAATGTACTGGAGATCAGATATCTCGAAAGAATGAAAAATGATGAGGCTGAAAAAGGGATGGAACAATTAGGGCAAGAAAGGAAAAGGACACAGGCTAGAGGAGGACAATACAAAGAGTGATACAAGAAGGATGATGGTGAGCAGTGTTAAGATGAGAGGATGTATGGTATTGGGTTAAGAGGAGGGATTCTTGGCATATGTTAAGTTAGCGATATGGATTATCTTCCTAATCCAAATGACTGAAATGCCCATGACAAAAAGGAAAAGAACACCAGAAAATGGAGACATGTTAGTTATTTGAGAGTAGCTAACAAAACTAGACCGTTTGGATTCAAACTACCTAGTTCTCATGCATAACTGGCTCGGTCAACTGGTTCGATCCAGTTTTAAAGCACAACCAATCCAATTACAGAACACCAACCAGCAGTCTGAATCCCCCTTGTTTTGCTTAAAACAGCTGATCTGGTTTGGGTCAAATAACTAAGGGATAAATTCCCACTTAAAATATGCACTTGAAACACTTCAGTTTGCTGTGACATTATTAATTATAGAACCCAAGAGGAGGGCCTTTTCAGTATATCATTGTACAAAATCAGTTCAAGTCAACTGATATCAGGTAATATTGATTCAACACTACAATTGGTTAACAGGCCATATTTTTATAGAGAATCTTAGAAAGAAATAGTTTAAGAAATTAAAGCACGTTGTTACAACAAGAAAGAAAAATTCTTCATCACTCTTATTTTATCATAATTGACCATAATACCAGAGAAGGTATATGTTAATTTTCAAAATCAATACCTCCATATGGGATCAGACAATGAATAGATAACTAATCATTCTGTAGAATGGAACCTCCTTTCCGTCAAGGGTAACAATATCCTCAGAACCTCTATGGTTTATGATTCAAATAACGAGTCATCAATTCATGTCCATGGTGACATCTCTCTATATCACTGTTTCATCAGGAGACTATCCCCCTGCAGCACAAAATGCACCTAAAGTATAAAAACTATCAGATTATTGGTTGCTAGGCCTCATGTCATGAAGTAATTCGAAAAATAGGCCAGTAAAATTTATGCAATTTAGACAATCCCTGCTAGCTGATGCCTTTGAAAGACACGAATGTTAAAAAGGTGAAGTAACTAATCTCTGTCTAACTGAAAATTAGTGGGAAGCCATAATGATCAGTGAATTTACTAGCAAGCTCCTTACTTGAAATAGGATAATCCATCTATGATTTTGCTCATCTCGTTACTCCAAAAGAGTATTTGAAAGCTTATGTCTTTGAAAGCAGCAAATGTAAAAAGTGTGAAGTAACTGTTCCCTGTCAAAATGAAAACTATTGGGAAGCTCAAATTAATAGCCAAGAAATTAGATAGCTCCTTTAGAATGGACAGAAATTTGTAACTACAATAATCTATCTACGTTTTTGCTTAAAAAGTATCTTAATGGATGGTATAACTTTCGCCTCAACTTAAAAACCTACTTCCAATGGATGGCACAAGACGATTAGACTCCGTTGATTAAGATCAAAGGACAAGTGGCAGAAAGTTGAGGTATAACTTAAATTCAGAGTACACTGAACTGTACTCTCTGGAAAAAAAACAGATACATAATGATAGTTATAGATACCAAATTCATTAGCAAGAAAATTCAATGCAAAATGCATAGAAGACTACGAATTCATAGAATACCTTAATAATTAAAACTTTCAACAAGTGGTAAAAATATTGAAGCAAAATATTAGGATCCACTGGAATCGGGCAATAAATACTCATCATTATGTTATAAATTTATGACTGGAAGAATAAGAAAAAATGATGAATCGGTAAGTCAATAGCAAACTCCAGACATAAGATATTGTCATTCTCAAATTTGAAAACAGAACTAGTAAAGGATAAAATCACCTAGATTAGTAAATATTAAAATTTCATGTTATAAACAATACCTTGCTGCATATTCAGAGAAGTGCTTTCCAGGCTGGCGCTGTCTCAGTGTGTGCAAATCACCACCAGGGCAGAACTCCATCACCAAGCATGAGAACCTGTCAGTCTCAAAGTGTGTGTACAAAGTCGGCAGGAACGGGTGATCCAGAAGCTGGAGAATCTCTCTTTCAGTTTGAGCCCTTGTAAGCTTCTTCCTGCTCGCCAATGATGCCTTGTCCATAACTTTAATTGCAAAGTAGCATCTTGTGCCACTCAGTTCAGACAGATAAACACTACCAATATCACCACAACCAAGCCGTTTGAGAAGTCGAAAATGACTCATCCCCAAAATACCATCCCTAGCCCTAACTGCAAGAATAGCTTTCCATCTTGAATCATTCCCCTTGTGAGGCTTATTAGCACTCCCAGTAACATTACTCCAGTTACTATCATCACTGAGACCACTGCTATCACTTGCTCTGCTGACGCTGCTTTTAGCACTCTCAAGCGAATCCCCTCGCACACTTCCCTTGACACTTCCACAGGTCCTTTCCACACTGAGCATACCATCACTAGTAATTCCTTCACTTCGATACGTGCTTGTGCAGCTGTTTACAATACTCATTGCAGTTATCACACTGGTGCTCGCAATGCTGCTATGAGGACTGACATTGCCACTTGGGGGGAGGGAAGCATCCCAGACGCATTCCTTTTCTTCAGAATCATGCCCTACACATGTCGCCTCTGTTGATTGTGATGCACAGGGAACAGAAAACAAAGAACTCTCTGTGCCCACTTCATTTTGTTCCTCGATTGATCTTTCTTTTGGTGATAGAAGCACTTCATTTGATTTGACTGCAGGAACCTGAATTGAAATATCTTCTATAAAAGGGCCTTTTACAGACAGACCTCTCATCAAGCACCCAGCTTCAGACTTGTCCTGATTGATTGCTACATATGCTGCTTTCATGTGATCAGTATCAACAGGTTCCATGGGATGACTTGCCCCCAAGAAAGATGACTGCCCCCAATCTTTGTAAGAGTCCGTCCTCCTAAAGCTATTGACTTCCAGTGCTAACTCCTTCTCTTCTGTGAAAGGGGTCTTGCCTTTCCATGCTTTTCTGGGTATAGTAGCATCTAAATCTGAAGTCTTCACAGCATTGGATGAACCTTCTTCATTTTTCACACTATTCCCATGCAAATCCATTGTGTGATTCACAGAAGGCAGATGAGCAAGCACTGTCTTCAGTTCCGAGAATCTATCCATCCCAAGCGAATCCTTAACATTACCTGCAACTCAACTCCACTATTGTGCTTCCTATAAGCTCGCCAAAGCCAGGCTCGTTATATGCTTAATGCCCGACCCACTATAGATTCAACGGTAGGCCTATATCAACTTCCAAAAGCATGGATTACTGGCATCTAACAGTTTCCTTGATGTCAAGATCAGAGATATACTATATTGCATTGCAATTACTAGAAACAGGCAGTGCGAGAATGCAACATGGAGTGTGAAAAATGAGTGGAGAATTGACCTTTTCCACCTTTCCAGAGACCTGAAAACCCAAGAACAGCACTATCAGAACAAATCCATAACCTCAACTCCCAGTCAACAAAGGGACCAAACAGCATTCACCATAGCAAATTACCTCAAGAAACCATAAGAAAATAAAAAATAAATAAATCTGCTTCAATCATCACAAACTCGAATCATGACCTCCAAATCTCTACATTTTGTACCTTCGAGAAAAAAATCCAAAATCCTGATATTATCGTTATTCTTTCCCCCGGCGAAGGGCATTCTAATCCCTTCTCCTAAATTAACAAGTGGATAAAAAGAAATCGAAATTAGAAGTGAAGAATCTTCTCTCTCGAAGCCCGAAAAACAAAAAAAAAACATATATATATGTATACCACTCTAATCTGCACGGAAAGAAATGAATCGGCGCACCAAAAAACAAAAAGATCCAATGCGATCTCCAAACTTTACCTTAGGGTTCTCGCTTCCTTGGAGCTCCTCGTGCTTCTACCCAACTCGCTCCTCTCTCTCTCTCTCCCTTCTTTGTCTACGCAGTGAGAGGGAGGAGAAGACGACACACAAAAGCAAGGGAGATAGGAAAACAGGAAGTGAGTGTGACAACAACAAGCGGCGGAATTAACTCTACATTTCTTTATTTTATGCTCTTTTTATTTAATTCTCCTGCTTTAGCTTTATTAGGGACTGCGTTATTTAATACCTGCTCTAGTTAATTATGGTTGTCACTAACCCGATTGCACTTTGCTTGGGACCCACAACTTGTCCCCCCCAATCACCGTCGAATCTTCATCAGACGGCGGCCTCGTTGGGTTGGGTTTTATGATCACGACCGTGATAAGGAGGTCATGATGGCAGATCATCGCGGGAGGAAAGCGGCCTGCCAACTTGGAGCGGATTAGGATCCTCTCCACTGCACACGCGTGGGACATCAACCGACGCTCCATCATGACCGTCTATCACGATGACAGGGCGAGCCACGCTTGGAATGGATCCAACACGCAACAAGGTAGGTGTGATTCATAATGATCAATATTTTCCTGTCCGACCGTACGTGTACTCATCCTTTACCCGTCCGTTGAACGGCGGGTGCCACGCGGAATTCTAGCGGGTCCCGCTCGCTGCGGACACAGAGGTGACTTCCGAGTGGCTTTGGTCGTCGTCGTCGTCCGCAGAAGAAGACAAGCTCTCATGGAGGCGGGCCGCCGTCGTGTCTCCACCAATGAGAGGTGACATTTAGATCGTATGTCGCATAATAGTCATGTATAAAATCAAACTTAGGTAATATGAAATTTAATTGACAATATAAATTGTTAAAGTATATATTGGGTCCTTTAAGAAAAATAACTTTTGAAATTTATATTCTCTAATTAGATCTTTAATATCAATTAAATCATGATCGAATGATTGATTAGCTTAAGATGATTTGTTTTATAGTTATAGGGATCCCCCAATCCAAACCCACATTATTTCTTTCTTTCTCAAAGGGAGGATAGAAAAAGGGCTTTTGAAGCACTTGGTATTGGAATTAGGAAAATATGTCACCCTGCCTTGTGCCTCTTTGATGATTCCTCCTGGCTTTTGTGCTATTAAAGCCTGTGCAAAGTTATGGTGGTGGGCCTCATTTTGCTTCTTCCCCTTCCACCATATGCCTCTCTTTCTTAACACTGTGATTACAATGCCTGACCATAGTGTCAACGATGAGCCACGATATCGAGTGTGAGGACATTGGAACACTGAGGATGACACAAGTGGTGTTACATCAGCTACTTTCTCACTCCCACCACCATACGAGACATTGTTTGTGATGCAAAAGGTTCCTGCATATCCACATTCGGAAGTCAATGTCTTTGTGAGATAAATTATCTTGTGAATGCGACTTTTTTTTTTTTTTTGAAGGCAAAGATGCAAAACAGAAAATACATGATTACGAAGTTTAGGTTACGGCATGACTTGGAAAATTAAAAATATTATTAACATATAGAGATCGTCGATTGGTGAGTTAACTCGGTTGATTTATTATCGAAAGTATGGGTCTCTTCTAATGACTCCTCTCGACTGACACGAAGAGAGCAGGCATGAGACGATTCAGGCTTCGTTTTCGAGCGATGAAACTTAGTTTGGGAGTTGGACAGTCCCCTCTGTTGGGTAGCCTCCTAGTCGTGCTTCCGGGCTACGCTGACATCCCTACATAATAGGCCTATGTTGAGGGTGTCTTGACTCGATCTATCCTATGCTTAAATTAGGAAAACGAAGAGGAAGGTGGACAACAATATCAGCAGTGTAAACGAGAAAGTAAAGAGTTATTTTTATTTGCTTGCCTTAGCTTAACTTGGGATTAGGCTTTTATACCTAAATGTTAGGTGGAGCAAACTAGTCTCCATTAACGCCCCTTTTACCATGTATGGTAAAGATATTTAATGTGATCGGCTTGCCGGCATGTGTCCTTAGGAATGACACTTGGGGACTATCGGGGTGAGGTTTTTGGTTTGTCTTCCTTGCTTTTTTGGATTAAGGAAAACGTGATCTTTTTGTCATTTATCCGAGAGGAAAAGCTAGTGAAGTCAATCATACCTCCGATCATTAATATAGAGTTAGATTCTCTTTCCCAACTACGGGAGTATATCTCACATATTTATTTTAAAAAAGTCAAGACAGATGATGTGCCCTCTTACTAGTAACCGTAGAGAGTAAGTCGTTCTTAAATTTTTATTTAAATATTACGTACATGAAGAAAACATCTACGGAGTGTCAAAATTATCCATATCAGATATATAAATGCATTTATAGTTATAGATCAGCAGTTTATCCAATTCTTTTTGCAACCAAAGGGTGTTTGCTTGCGATTCAGAAGAAGATTTTCATGTGTTCATTTTTTCCAAAACGAAAATTTTTGTGTTAATATGGTGTCAGGGTGGAAGATTCTGTGTTTGAATCTTCTAAGAACATGATGATTGTTTGTATAAGCTGGAACCATGCATCATGATGACAGAGGCTAACACAGTTGATCCAATGGGCCATCAAAGACTAATTTTATGTGCAGAATAAGGGCAAGATAAGCATCCAATGTTTGTAAGGTAAAATCTTGGTCTAATCTCAATACTTAGCTTTACAAACATGCTCATGTTCATTGCTCCAACAATACTCCACCCAGAAACTTGATAGAACATGCTATATTGCTTGTCAATTCTTGGGTTAATTTTTTGTCATGTTCAATTAGCCTCATTAGTTATCTAAACCCAATATATGTATAAGTGATAGGGAGAAATATTTGACTATAATTGGAGCTAAAAAATAAAATATAATGGGTGACTCCATCATGTAAATAAGAACCAGAATAAAAAATTTTCTCAGAATGTTCTTCAATTTGAAGAATATTTTATTTACTCAGTCTGTATGCTCTAACTATAAAACAAGCCTATCAACAAAGGTTAGACCTTTTTATTTTATATAGTAATCCATCTTATAATTTTCTAACTAGAGAATCAGAAGAATCTTATCGAGAGAATTTTGAATTATTATTTGTTTAAAAATGATAAATTATAATACTGGGAAACCTTTATCACCAGATTGAGAATTTTGAGAAGAAATGCATGCATGTTTTTTCCTTGGTTGATTGAGGGCCATCAATAAGGGACAAGTAGAAACCTTGGTATGAATTGATTGGTAATAGTCACACCCCCTGTTTTATGTCATATCTCAAGGAGCTCAAACTTATGATGTCATGCACAATTTAAATCCATCCTAACTTTGACTTGGTCTGAGGTTGGGAGGCCTAAGTTGGAACCCTTCCTTCCATCAAGAATATAAAGAAGAATCATGCACCATTTCACAGTGAGACTTGAACCATTTAGCTCTCTTCTACCTTCCAAGTCATTCTCAAACAAGGACATGGAATCTGCTTTCTTATCTTTCTGCAATCCAATCCATCCAATGTTGGAGGGTAACATGTAAAGAAAGACAAAGATAAGCTTATGAATCTAAGAATTGAAGAGAAAGAAAATGTCAGCCAAACAAGTCTTTATCATGTCATCCTAACAGCCATACATCCTTGCTGTAGCTTCAATGGGCACCCCTAACACTTGACTAATGTGCAGAGTGACATGAGAAGTGCCAAGAAAAACAGATCTTGCAAACTACCTAACCTACTTGAGCTTCACACTTGTTATTTCATTCTTTCACTAACAATCTTTACAAGTGTAGAGTAGTTTATGGTACAAACTTACGGTCGAAATAAATTGTTTAAAGTTAAATAAAAAATTTTAATTTTAATTTATAATTTCTTATAATTTTTTGGCCCTCCGATATCTCTCGTGCCACTAATATTTTTAATTGTTTACGAATGAAAATATTTTTATAATTTTTTCTAGCAATTTCATAATATTGGAATAATTTGAAATGGAAGTGACATGCTTATAGTTTTGGAGATACAATTCAAATTCTCTGAAGCAAATAACACAATCTGGAGGATGCATTTGTTTCTGTAGAGATCGAATGTTAATACTTTTGCACCTCATTTCCCACTCTGATTTAGGATTAAATTATCTGTGAACATGATAGAATATTGTTGTTCAAATTCTCGTTTGTTCTCTTCCGTTCATCGATGGCCCCATTTATCCTCACGTAGCGGTAAGCTGGTCAACCTGATGCTGCATTGGTCCGCTCTCGAAGGGTTCATTCGAAGCAATTCACACCCAAAGTCCTCATGGAAGTCCACGAGGGAGCTCCGATTCTATATACCTCGCAAGCGAGCATGTTACGGGGGGTGGGGAAAGAGATGAGTCAAGCGTCGTGCTTCAAGGCTTCGACCATGGAGGCGGTGGTGGAGGAGCACAAGAGGGAGAAGGTAGTGACGCTATTTGGCGTCAGGATTCTGGGGACGGCCGAAGGGGAGGAGGAGGAGGTGATGAGGAAATGCTGGAGCATGGGTTGCTTGGCCTCCTGCACGGTCGCATCTCCCTGTGCCGCCCCCGGCACCGGCGGCAGCAGCCAGGCCTACGTCTCCGACAGCGGCCTGGACCAGTCTTTAAAGAGAGGGAGCAGGAGAGGCCAGGAAAGGAAGCGAGGTTGGTCTCGTTTGCCTTTTTGCTTCTCTAGTTTTAGTTTTAATCCTCTTGATCTCCTTCCTCGGGATTCGATGTTCTTGAATTCACCCTTCGAGATCTACCAGCTTCCGAGTGAGTCCTTTCTTTCTCTTGGGGTCTCACTTTCCTGCCGATCTCTGAGTTTGTTCTTCACAGGAATTCCCTGGACGGAGGAAGAGCACAGAACGTTTCTAGCTGGGTTGGAAAAGCTTGGGAAGGGGGACTGGAGAGGAATCTCAAGGGAGTTTGTGACCAGTAGAACTCCAACCCAAGTAGCCAGCCACGCTCAGAAGTATTTCCTTAGGAAGAACAATCCCGGCAAAAGGAAGCGCAGGTCCAGCCTCTTCGATGTGGTCACCTCTGATCGAGTAAATTTCCTTCTGTCTCAGCATTGATCTTCTGTAGCTCTTCTGCCTTCCTTCGATGTAATCTAGATTTCAGCCGCAGGTACTGCCATAGATGCAGTATGGCCCCCTGCGGGAGTTGTTCGTGTCCATGGAGGCACCCGTTTGGTAATCCTCTTGCAATTTCAACTTAGTTCTGATTGTTCCATGGGTTCTTATCAGGTGGGGATCTCGGGCAGCAGCACTGTGGGAGATGATCCAGATCTCCTTGGAGTATCTTCGTCATACTCAAGCTGCCAACCTCTCTCTTCTGATGCTCCTCTGTCAGATGAACCCAGTGATTTGGAGCTGAGGATTTCACTTCCTGCGCCACACAGTCTGACTAAATTAGCTACTCAGGGAGCAGCAGGTGCAATAAGAGTGATCTGATCACGCATGTAACATCTGTTCATCTTTGTAAGTGCCATATTCTGTATAATAATAAATGAAACGCTCAGAAGGTAGATGGTGTCTTCCTGAAGCAAGGAGGCCTCGAGGAATACCTTTGTGTCCCTCTCTGTATCTTCCTCTACTTTGTTGTTCCCATCTCAGTGACATCAAGGATAGATGCTTGTGTAATTCTGAACATTGGGTCGTTTGGAGGTTGAGATAATATTCACCGCAGAAAGTTGTGTGGCTCACTGGAATTTGGTCTTCGTAGATCCAGACATGCATGTTGAACATTGATTTGAATGGTCTCCAGGTGAAGATGAACCTTTCGAACATCACGGTTGTGGAGATGCACCCTGGAAACTGCACAGAGCTTGGTAGGTGCCAGTCTAATGGTCAACAATGCACTCGTCCATGGATGGGTGGAGGTCCGAGGTTCCTCAATCTCACAAGTCAAGTTAAGACAGGTATGAAGGGAAAAGGACTCAGGGAGGTAGTTTCTGAGAAAGTTGCAGAGACTGTAATAAAGGAAAATTGGAGTACCTATAGCATTTCGATCTACAGACTAAACACAATTTGTAGGGCAATTTACCAAAAAATGGACAAATATATATTTGATCTTTTGGGTTTATTACATAATTTTATGTCGAATCATACTGGAGGATTGTCAATGGATCATACTATCTAACTTCGGGGGAAGAACTGGATACCATAACAAAATGATTTCAAACATCACTAGCTTCCACAGAGGTTAGTTGAGAGTCTGTGCATAGATTAAATTGATCATAAGGTCATTGTTCTAAATTTGATATTACTGATAAAGAACAGCTCAGGGATCGTAATAGAAGACGCATTTTTAGTGTAGAAAATTTATCATCTTACCATCAAAGCATCGAAGACCACAGCATTTGGTACATGAATCTATGTAAGTCCAGAATGCACAATTTGGAAGAGAGTTTATCATTAAATGTATGTAACACAAGATCTCGAAAGATAAATAATTGGTCAGACACTTGCAGAGTATAATGATCTGAATATAACTCTGCCACCCGCCTTTGTAGGTGCTTAGTGTGCTCACTGCATTTCTTCTAATCGTTTAGCTTTCTGTGGGGTGTTTCTTTCTGTTTATCGAACAGTATTAGGACTTCTGTGAATCTACCTGCCACTAAGTATGGATATGTAACCTTTCTCATCAACTATCCTCCATTAGAAGTGGTGCGGAAACAGAACCTGCAAGGAGAAAGAATATCATTACTCTCCACAGTCGGCACACTTTGCAGAATCGAATGATTTTTACGAGTATACTCCTAGAAGAAAAAAAAGTTACCAAATGGAGAGCTTGGACATACGGTACCTTCCGCTTCTTGCTGGCTTGGATGATCGGTTGATGGGTTCTTATGATGCTGAATTATCTGTGCTATTTCAACTCGAACCAGAACAAATAAAAGGGCACCAGCGATAAATGCTCCAAACATTAGCATCTTGAACACCAAACTCCATCCGTGTCTTGAAAGAAATCCAGTGACAAAAGGCCCCAGTGCAGCACCAACTGAACCAGTACCGTCTATAATGGCAGTTACAGTTGCCAATGCTCGCGAATCGCCTTTGAGTGAGCTGTGAGTACCGAGATCAGCCGAAACAGCAGTTGTTATCAGAGCATAAGGCCCATTGACAAATAAGCCTGTGATCATCATCAGCATGATGTTCACAGACCGAGAAATGCACCCATATGTGTGGTAGGCATAAAGCGAAGGGATCGCTAAGTACATGAATGTGGCTGCTGTGGTGGCCCTTGCATTGAGTTGATCAGATATGAAACCAGCAAGGATCCCACCAATGATTCCCCCCACATCAAAAAGAGTAGAAAGGTTCCCAGCAGACTTGACTGACAGGTATTCTCCTCCAATTGCTGCAACATAAGAAAATGAAACAAGAATATCACTTGCAAGATTTTTTCTTCATAGTGAATTAGGCATATCTGAATATGAGAACTTGTTCCGTTACAGCTGCATCTAAGATGTATAAATTGAACTGAAAGAATGCAAGTAACAATAACATATGCAGACAATAGTAATATAATAAGAGTTCAACTTGACAACTGTAATTAAGAAAGGTGCCTCTTTCCCATAGAATATGAGAAACACATGCAGTGCCGCAATCTTTGCTTTCAGAGTGTTGATAAGCGATACTGCAGCATACAGCCAAAGCTGCAATTGTCTTCAAATTTGGTCCAGTTAAAATGACTGAATGTATTGAACAATTTCACGAAAGTAGTATATGACATGCCAGAAAATAACTTCTGATATAGAGTTATCAGTACATCACACTCATATATGAACTGAGTACTTGCCCTCACAATCTTCTATTAGCCTCCTGCTAAACAAAATGTTATATTTTAGGTCTAAATACAAAAAAAAATATACATGTTCAAGTCTGCAAGTATAGAAAGTTATGTCAGAAACATCCTACCAGCACAAAAAAAACTGACTAGGAGTCTAGGACACTGTCAATTTGTCAGGACTTGAAATTCTGACATCTAGAATTATTTGGTGAGCAAACCAAAAAACTAATCTCCAAAAAGAGGTATCTTTGTGAAGTTTCAAGTATAACAGGATTAAATTTTAAATAGAGGGTGGACCTTGGGATCATGGAGAGATTGCTCCTTTGCGATATAGATGATATGGCCCGATTCACGAAAACCTCAGTTGTAAGGTAAGTCTACATATGTTGAGCTTTTCCAGATCCAACATTGCAGGAGAGTTGTGTAACATGGCACGTTTCAACTTACACTGTTAACTACCTTAAATTTACTCTTTTAATCCTTTCAAGTTATACTTCTTGCAGGTTCTAGCCATCTATATCTTCCTTCTCAAGTATTTCTTCTACTCTTCATTATATGGGAATGCATCAGAATCCTCTGATCAAGTCAATTATACTTCTCCTCAAAGCCCTTAATTAGTTTTCTTCAATGAGTGGAATGATACATTAGATGATGATCGAAGAATATTTCGTTACAAGCATAGATTAGATTTGAAAGAATCATGTAAATCTCAATCAGAAGCACACTGTGTCTTCAGTGCAAGAGGCTATCCAATAACAGTTGCTTATAGTTCTCAACATGGAAAGTACAAAAAGTTTCTTCTCAATCAAAATAATAGAATAATAAATCATATGTTGAATACGAGAAAAAACATCCTTTTGCAACCAATTCTCAAGCTCCAAACATTTTTTTTTTTTCTTTTGCATACCATCATAATAATAGGAACTTGTTGGGAAGACCACAATAAATTAGAAAGTAGAGTATAATGCTCAAGACAGCATTTGTAGCATCATAAATGAAGATGTAAAATTATGATAAAAATAATCTAAATTCTGTCAATAATGACAGCTAAAGTGAAAGCTATCCAATCACTAGTCTGGAGATCAGACCAATATGCTTGTTTCAACGGTGATCAAATTGAGATTGAATAGTTGAACTGAGTAAGGGTAACGTAACATATAATGAAATTAAATATCAAGTTTCAGAAAGTAAATAAACAAACAACATTAAATAGAAAAAAGAAAAAACAAATTAAAAAACTCTCTCACATAATTAAATCAACTATATGCAGTTTCGACCAACCTACAGAATCAAGAGTCTCCTAGCAGATGCTTCTGATCATGCAATGGAAGGAACAAACAAAGCAAGAAACTCAAATTAAAAGACTAAAGTATGTTGTACTTTCAAGCAAGGTAGGCAATTTCAAGCACCGGTCAAGGCTCAGGATGATACTGTAGTGGTATGTATCAGTGTACCGAATGTCGGTACTCAGCCTAGAAAAACCAGAAAAAAAAGAAAAAGAAAAAGAAATTTCTCAATGTAGGGCTTGTACCATTCCGTACAAGGTGGCACATGGGCATACCGGGAAATATAGGTAATGTACCGAGCATACCGCCCATTTATCCTCATCTGTCGAATTGTAAATAGCACCCCATATCATACCGTACTTGACGGTATTGCAAACCTTGCTTTCAAGGCAGTGAAATAATTAAGAATCCAAATTATTTTGGGTTCTATAAGACACTTGTCTGATGTTTCCTACCTAGATAAGCAATGATTATAAGACACTCTCCCCATAAATCTGGTACAAATACTTGTCATGCAGCCTCAATTTTAGTAGACCAATCAAACTGAAGCAACGTCTACTTCATGAGAAACCAAGTACTCAATAACTACTTAGACCTGCTTGATCTGATTCAGACCAAAGCAGCCACCCAACTATCTATTGCAAGGGAGAAACACCAATTTGTGACACATTCAAATGAAGGGATAAAAAGAGAATATGCACAAGAACAAATGAACCATCACTCTTTAAAATTTCACACCAAAATCAAGGTTTAACTTCATTGGAACAGCTATGAAGTCAGTTATGTCCATGGTTTTTGATGACAAAACAAATAAGCTTCACTAAAATACTTTTTATTCTTGTTGCATGGCACAACACCATCAGGGTCACCATTTCCTATTCATGAATGAACAAAACAAATTGCTTCAAAAGTATTCTTTTTCATATGAAACTTATGAGGTAAAATGTTGAAGTAGGATGGGTTTTTAATTCTGGCTGAGGCCTCTGCAGTGAGCTTTCTGATATTGTCAACCATAAAGGTCTAGCAAAAGATTTGTAGCATGATGCATGTGCCAAATATGTCATGTAAAGGCATGCACAATTTGCAAGCATTAGTAATACAGAATTACACAACTTTGCACCTTTCCCATCCAAGAGGACACCATAATAGCATTATCATTCTCATGTCTCTGTTATAAAATACTCCCATTGGATCCAAAGTCAATCATGTGAAGACGATTCTGATTATTAAACAACAAACACCGCCCACAAATCACATTCTCACTATACTAAGCACTTCATTTGCGAGATAACTAATAACCATATCAATTTTTTTCTGATTCAACACGATAATCCCAATCAATATTCAATGAACATGTAGAGAGCCTTAATTTAAGCCAGCAATTGCAACCTATGCTCGTCTAATAGCTTTGATCTATGCAAGTTTTGACCTCAAGGCGAAACCTCCCCTACATTTTAATGCCCTTTTCTTTACCTCAGTTGCAATGTGCAAGCTAAAAGACTAGTGTCATTCATGCAAACAAGTAACCCGACCCCAACTTCCCCACAGATGCAGAAAGGTAAAAGAAACTTATAGTTCTAATGTATCCTACATTAATCAAAATCCATTTTTTTTTATTCACTACCAACAACCAGACAGAGTCAGGATGAGGAAAAGTTACCAGTGTGGCTGAGGTAAAATGGCAACCAGTATAAGAACGTGTAGGCGACAAGCTTTGAGAAGAAGAGACAGAGCGCAAATGGAACCACCCCTGGTATCAAGAACGCCTTGGCAATCCCAATGGCATTTCTTGTGTCGTCCGTCGATTCCACCTCCTGCCCTGCCTCCTCATCTTGAACATCATTCACCTTGCCATACCGGCTGCTACCAAGCCCAACGTCTTCCGGATATGCAGCCAAGAAGAAGTATACCAGAATCCCACCGGAACCTATCAAAGCCCCTGGCAGAATGAACGACCAACCCCACCCCCGCTGCAGCACGCTGGCAGCGAGCAATGATCCACAGATGTTCCCAACTGAGGTGTGGGCATTCCATATCCCCATGATGAGTCCTCTCTTCCGTTCCCCGAACCAATTCCCAACCACAGCCACCACTGACGGCCACCCGGTAGCCTGGAGCAATCCGGCCAGCATCTGCATGGTGAGGTAGAATCCAAAGGCGTGAATGTTCAAGAAGTAGCCCACGCCGAAGAGGGCAACGAAAGCACCGCTGCCCATCATTCCAGCAGCGAGGAACTGCCGGAGGTTAAGGCGGTCACCGAGATGACCTGCGGCGTACATCCCAAGGGAATAGCAAGCTAGGAACGCAACGTCAATCTCGCCAAGCTTGGCCGTGCCATCGGTCCCGTTGAACGGCGGCCAGCCCTGGCTACCGGGCGATGCCAGTACCGTGCGTCCGCCATCGGACTCGATGAAGACAGGGCCGAGGGGCCAGCGGGGCGGCTTCGACGAGGGGGGCTCGGGGTCGAGGACGCTCTTGACGATGCTGGTAGGCTTACGCGAGGCGTGGTAACAGGCGTAGGCGACGAAGGTGAGGGCGAGGACGAGGCCGCGGTGGGTATTGCGGCTCCACTCCTTGCCTCCAATGCTTCGCAACAGATTGATCCCAGGCGGGGCCGACCTCATTTTCTTCTCTTCAGAGCACAGTTTCCAACGCTAGACCTCTAAAAATCCGATCTTTCTCGTCAAGTTTGATCCTTTTTAAGATTCCAACAGTAACCGTTGATGGCGAGGCCGGAGGATTTGAGGCCGTAACGTACTCATATTCTTCTCTCCAACCAAACGCAGCGACCTATAAAAATCCGATCATTTTCTATCCTCGGGAACGAAAAAAATTGATCTTGTTTGGGATTCCAACGAGGTAGTGTCAAGGAAGGAGGGTGGACATGAGCGGCACCAACCACGTTTTCTCTGTAGGATCCAATGCAGCCCAAGGCAATAGACCTCCAGCAATAAAAAAGGGAGGGGATGGCGGAGGACGGAGATGGCGGAGGACGGGAGGAGAAGAAGAAAAGGGAAGGGTTGGTGGAGTGTAGAAATGGGGCGAGGGAAGTGAAGGTGGTGCGCAAGCGGGGGGAGGAAGATAGCGTAGGCGGTTCGTTGGGAGGTAGAGGAGGAGCGCTCGACCGGTCCCGGTGTTGGAACGGGGGAGGGAAAGGTGGCGCCATTGTCGTGCTCTAGTCGATGGATGGGGAAGAATCGACGTGGCGGGCCATGGGAGGGCCAACATGACACGCAGGAGGTCCTGATTGCTCTGTGCTTGCTTTCTCCGGCCTGCCATTGCTTTCTCCCTCCCTAAGTTATTTTACTTTGTTCTGCCAATTCCTTATAATCACATTGATTCAATACCCCAAAGTAAAAAAAAAAAACATAAATATCACAAATTTGGGACAATATGATTTGGATAATTTGTTTGACGAGTGCACTGTAGTACTGCTACAGTACTCGTCACACCTGGTTGTACTGCTCGGTATACCGTACCGTACCGGTATCGAGCCCAGGTCAAAATAATACGGTACGGTATTGTGACCTTGGTTTGGTAAAATTTTATGTAATAAAGTTGAGAAGAGAAAAAAAATGGAAAGTAGAAATTATTCTTATTATGTATCCTTTCATCTCTTATCTTCTTATAAAAGAGTATGTTTTTAATAGATAACTTATTGTGCGTTGGTTTGTTTTGGCTGTTGAAACCCCTAACAAATTTAGAATTTATTTAGTAAGTCTAAAATAAAAACATACCAGAGACTAAAATAAAATAGGGATGCATTGGTTGAGTTAGATATGTTAGATGCATGCGTCACACATATAAGGGATGCATTCGTCTTCAAATCTAAGTCAAAATTATTATCTTTTTCAAATTGTACATATTATATATTTCATTTGATACTATAGTAATTTTTTTTATTTTATTTTTATTCTTTTACTTGGGTCAATAAAAAAAATTAGAATATTATAATTAGATAATTTGAAGATGAATCAATGAATTGAGTTTTTCTTTTTGCTGAGTGGTACGAGATCACAAATTACAAATGCGAGTATTTTTCTTGAGCCAAAGCGAGTTTACTAGTTATCTTTTTATTTTTTTATTTTTAAATTACTATCTTTTTTTACTTCTTTAATTTTGTTATTCTATTATTAAAAAAATTATTGCTACTCGTTATCATGTGTGTTGGTGTATGCTAAGGGGATGTCAAATGCATGAAAAGCATAAAGACGTTTGGGTATGCTAATTTGAACCTCCATATAGGGGTGTTTAATGTATGAGATGCACAAGGGCATCTATGCAATATCGATTAGAATTGCTCATGTTAGGTGTGTCAGGTGCATGATATGTGCAAGAGCGTTGTATTGTATGACTTTTATTGCACATGTAGGTTATATTGAATGCACAAGATGCATTAGAGTGTTTAGTTGTGTTGACCTAAAATATCCGCGTATAGTGTGTCAGATGTACAAGGCATGCAAGGAACGGCGATGAACATGAGGGTGTCCAATGCAAGAGATGCAAGGTTTCGTGACACACCAACTTAAACTTATTGCATATATAATATCAACTCATAAGAAACATGGAGATGTTGGGGTGGGCTAACTTGAACTACGTATGTAGGGGTGCTAGATATATGAAATGCTAGTGGGCATTAGTGTTGGGAAACTTTAGGAGAGTATCACATGTGCAGCGAAAATAAAAACAAAAATCGATTCCCGAAAGAAAAACATTGGATGACCGGGAGCGAAATACTCAAAATGACAAATCCTACGTAAGTGGTAGAGACGTTCTCACATATGAGAGATTGTATATCTCCTAAATTATAAATCTCAGTTCGTGGATAAAGGAGCTTTTGCAAACTCCTCTCTAGTAGTGATCCACACAATGGACACAAAGATGACGCACCTCCTCGAGCAATAGGTTCTCTCCTCATGATCACGCACCTGCACATAGTAGTAGACAAGATAGGGGGTGGCCGATAGTTATAAGGTCTAGTATGAAGCCCCAACTCCTATTTATAGAGAGCTCCTACTGCTAACCCTAATAGATCTACCTTAATGGGTATTGGATCCTCATCCAATAACCACTGGCTTAATCGATATTAGATCCCCATCTAATAACCACTCTAAGTTCTATTGAGTCTCACCCAATTGATCCATCAAAACAAGGGCTGGCCGTTGTTTTGTCTAATCCTCTATTTAATATCCTATACAAGATATAGGATTGGATATCTTATATCCAATAACTACTGACTTAATGAATATTAGATCCCCATCTAATAATTACTATAAGTTCTATTGGGTCTCACCCAATTGATCCATCAAAACAAGGGCTGGCCGTTGTTTTGTCCAATCCTCTATTTAATATCCTATATAAGATATAGAATTGGATATCCTATATCCAATCCTTTATTCGTCGTATTATCCATCATATGTGTGTGACCCTCTAGGTCTAATACTAAGATGGTCATGAGTTGCACCTATCAGAACTCCATCTGATTTAGTGAATTATTATCTTTATAATAATTCACTCAACTCATCTACTATAGATGTACTAGACCACTACGTCATAGTCCTTAGACGGTATAGGGGGATCTAATCTATTGGACTTGTTTGCCCTTAGTTACTGTATTTCTATAATCTTTTATTTATTTAATATCTCAGAGATTGTATATCGGGCATGGTGCTATCAAGCTCATATGGAATCCATCATAATATCGAGAGTGGATGATTCTCTATTGATACATAATTATTTTCATAAGGTTGATTATTATTCCTAATGATTGCTTGTACTAGATTTGAAATCTTCATACATATAAGTCTGGTATCAAAGAATGAATTACTCAAACAAAGCAGCCTTGGTGTCTCAAGTCTAAGGACTAGATACACAGCTAGGATTACAAAATCGTTGTCTAACGTTGAGGTATCATTAACTATCCAGTATTTTATAAGCGGCTCATTCAGTGAACTCATTTTCCAATGAGCACCTACACTATATCCCTAGTGTCCCCACACAAGTAGTCATGAGACCAACTATCTATATTATCTGGACAGGTATATAGCACACCGATTTGTCCGATTATCTTGATATCCCTCTCAAATAACCTATGACCAAGAATATTTATGATCTGTGTTTAAAAACGAATTGGTCTCATTATCATGATCTAATTCTCATTGCACATATCTAAGGATGTCACAATATATATTCATCACATAATATAAAGTGAGAAAAATATCATTATTAATATTAACTAAAAGAGATTATACAACGTATCACATGTGATATCACTCACATGATTGGCTTATAGGGCATTTGTAACTAATAATTGGGTCATGATGACTTGAATCACCTACATAAGTGGCATTGGACATAAGAGACATATAATGGAATTAAGACATATATGTCTAAATAACCGATATAGGGGTGTCAAATGCATGAGATATGTAAAGAAATTAGGATGTGGCATCAACATAAATATTGTCAGATGCAAGAGATATGCGAGGGTATGACATCGACATAGGTGGTGTCCGATATAGGAGATGTGCTAATGCGTCATGGTGCACCAAGTTGAATCATATGGATATTGAGCGTCAAAGTTATGAGACACTTAAGAATGTCGAGGCATGTCGACTTTAACCATTAATGAAAAAGGTGTGGAGCACGTGAGATGTGCGGGAGTATTGAGGCATGTCGACTTAACCTTTGAGATATGAGAGTTGAGGGTGTCCAAGATATGCTAATTTCAACTGCGTACATAGGGGTGTCAAACACATAAGACATGTGAGAGAATTATGGTATGATATTTGCATAGGGGGTGTCAAATATAGAAGATGCTCTAGAACATCAATGTAGAATGTGTGATACTCATGTGACATATAAGGATATCAAGACATGCCAAGTTAAATCACCTACGTAGGGGGTATCGATACATTAAATACATAAGGGTATTGAGTTATGATAACTTGTACCCCTCATATAAGTGGTGTTAGATGCACGAGACATGTCAACTTAAATTGTCTTAGGTGTCAGATGCATGAGATATACTAGAGCATTAGGGTGTACCGACTTGAATTATCAACATAGGTTGCACAATAGGTATGTGGGTGTTAGGACATGCCAACTTAAACCTCTGATATAGGGTGTTGAATGCATGAGATGTACAATAGTGTTATAATATGCACAAGGCTTAGAAGGTGTGAAACATACTAGAGGACATTAATGTGTGCTAACAAGGGGTGTCAGATACATGAGAGACATGATGATATTCGATTATGTTGACTTGAACATCATGTGTAGGTGTCGTTGGATGCACAAGACACATGAGGGCATTAGGATGTCTCGGATTAAATTGCTTGTATAGGGGTGTGTAAAAGACACACAAAGGCATCAAGGTGTAGAGTATTTTACTCCTTATTTAGTATATACGAAAGCATGAGATGTCATGCCAACATGAACCACCTACATACTTGGTGTCTCACTTGTGAGATACTCAAGAGTGTTAGGACATGTCAACCAGAACCACCCATGTGGAGGGGTGCAGATGCAGGAAATGGGCATGGGCATTGAGGCATGATGACTTGAATGACCCCCATAGGAGATATTGAGTGCATGAGATATGCAAGTTTGTCAAGCATGGCAACTTGAAGCGTCCTTGTTGGGGGATGTTGGTGCATGAGATGCACTAGGGCATTAGGATATGCCAAATTGGATCACTTATGTAAGCATGAGACACACATTGGCATTGAGGTTTAGCGACTTGAACCAATTGCATAGGGATTATCGGACATAAAAGATGCATGAGTTCATCGACATGTGACCTGAATCCTTTGTATGGGGTGTTGGATACATGAGACAAGTAAGGGCTTCAAACCATGCCAATTTGAACCGCCCACTGAGGGAATGGACAAATAAGATATGTGAGGGTGTGTCAAGACATACAGACTTGAACTCTCCATAGGTGTGTTTGATGCAGATGACACATGAGGGCATCACAATATGCTATCTTGAACCACTTGAGGGCATCACAATATACTATCTTGAACCACCTGTATAGAGTCTATCAAACCATGAGATACACAAGAGCATGCTAACATGAGTCACTCGTGTAAGAGACTTCTAAGGGAAGAGATGCATTCACGAGCATGTTGACATGTGTTGACTTAAACCGCTTGTGTAGGAGATGTCGGACGCATTAGATACACTAGGGCATTAGCGCATGCTTACTTGAATTGCTCATGTAAAGAGTGTTGTATGCATGAGATGTGTGAGGATATTCGAGTGTACTAACTAGAACCATTCATGTTAGTAGTGTTGAATGTATGAGATAGGTGAGAGTACTTGGGCATAACGACTTGAATTGCTCATGTAGTGAGTGTCGAGCATATGAGATGTACAAGAGCTTTAAGGTATGCTATTGGTGTAGGGGCTATCAGACACAAAAGATGCACTATGGTGTTGTGGTGTGCCATCTGAATGGCTCAAGAAGGTGTGCTAGGCTCATGAGATGCACTATGACATTAGAGTGTGCTAACTTGAATCACCCCCATATAAGTCTTGGAAATATGAGATACATGAGAGCGTCAAAGTGTGCTGACTTGAACAACCTACATGAGAATTGTTGGACCCATGAGATGCATGAGGGCATTGAGACATGCTATCACAAATCTCCTACATTCGAGTATTGGATGCATAATGACATAAGCCATAAACTACTAGACTTGAATCTCTAGTATTTGACATGATACCGTCAAATGTTCCAATTGAAGTGCTTGTATAAAGGGTATCAAACACATGAGATGCAGAAAAGCATCTATGATATAAACTGCTCATGTAGAGGATGTCAAATGCAAGAGATGGCTTATGTTAGGAGCATATTGACTTAAATCTCCATGGGGGGTTGTCATGTGCATGTGAGTGCGAGAGAGTTTGGACTAATGTTGACTTGATCCACATATGTATAGAGTGTGGGACGCATGAGAAGCATGAGGGCATCGAACTATGCTGACATGAACTACTAATGTAAGGGATGTTAGATGCATGAGACATGTTAGGTCATCGCAGCTTGTTGACATGAATGCCCCATACAGTGGGTTTCATACACGAGATGCACAGAGATATTGAGGCATGCTAATATTAATTGTTGAAGTAGGAGATTTTGGATGCAAAATATATGTGAGGTTCTCGTAGCATGCCAATTTGAACCTCCTGCATAGTTGGTGCTAGATGCTTGAGATGCACGAGGTCATCGATGTATGTCAACTTGAACTATTTGGTGTCAAATGCATAAAACAGAGAGAGCATTTGGGGTGTGCTAAACTGTCCATGTAGAGAGTGTTAGATGTATTAGACATAGGAATCATTGGCATATGTCAACTTAAGCCACCCGCATAAGGGTTATTAGACACATGAGATACACAAGCACATTAGGTTGTGCCAACTTGAACATCTTACTTATGATGTTTCAAACACCAAAGAAGAGTAAGGATATCAAGGTATGTTGATTTGAACCACCCATGTGGAGGGTCTCAGATACATGAGATGTATAAGGCAGTTAAGGCATGTCGACATGAACCACCCACGTAGGGGGTTTTGGATGCAAAAGTTATGCAAGGGTGTTATGGTGTCTCTACTTGAACTTCACATAGCAGTTATTAGATGCATGAGAAGCACAAATGTCAATGATGTTTGTCTTCATGAATTGCTAGTGTATGGTGTGTCGGATGCATGAGACATACAAGAGAGTTGAGGCTAGTGCTCACTTGAACTATCCATGTAGGAAGTGTTAAAACGTATGAGATGCATGAGAGTGTTGGAGCATGCCAACTTTAACAAACATTGTAGGGGGGTGTTGGATACATGAGGGCATCAAGGAGTGCCAACATGAATAACCCATGTATGGGGTGTCGAACACATTAGATGAGCACGATCATTGAGGTGTCCCAACATGAATAGTCAACGTAGGGGTTCTCATATGCATGAGATTACTAGGGGCATTAAGGCAAGCCGACTTGAACTTCCCACATAGAGAGTGTCAGATACATGAGACACACAAGAGCATCAGGATATACTGAATTAAATCGCCCATGTAGGTTGTCGGACATATGAGATGCAAGAGGGCATAAGGGCTTACACATAAACACCCTATGTAGTGAGTGTCAAACACATGAAATGCATAAGGGCATTGAGGCATGTTAACATTACTTAACCACCCGCATACATGGTTTTGGATGCAAAAGAAACTCGAGGGCATGCCAACTTAAATAACTACATAGAAATGTTCGATACTACAAAATGTCAGTATATGTCAACTTAAACCACCCGTGTAGAGGGGTATTAGATGCATGACAAGTACGAGGGTGTCGGGGTATGCTAACTTGAATAATTTATGTAGAAGGTTCCAAATGCATGAGACATACATGGGCATCAGAGTGTTGCCAACTTGAATCGCTCACATAGAGGATATTAGATGCATACATGAAAGCATCAAGATACGTCAACTTAAATCACAAGCACAGAGGTATTGAACGTAGCAGTCACATGAGGGCATCAAAATATTTCGACTTGAATCGTATATGTAGAGGATATAAGATGCATGAGATACACAAGTGCATCAAGGGTGTCAAACTCATAAGATGCTTAGGTTAATCGAGAATTCAAATCATACCTAAAGAGTTCTTCCTTGTACCCACCCAAATAGAGAAATTTAGTTTAGATATATTATGTTGACTAGGTGTGATTCCATAGTGTCATGTCATCATCATGTTGATTAGGTGAGCCTAGATGACACTACATAATCATCATCATCTGACTAAGTGCACCCTCGTGGCCAACAAGGCACCACACGTCGAATCTCAACCAATTACTTACGGTTTGACTAAATGTTATATGTCGTGTTTCGATTGGTTGTCAAAAGTAATCGTATATCACATAATATCTGATGCCATCCCATTGAAGGACAGTCAATAGAAGCAATCCGGAAAATCTCCTACAAAAGCCAAGATGCTGTTCGTTTCTCGTAATAAAGCCTATTCTCGGATTGGAGGGCTACTTCAACCTGGGGTTCCAATACTCTGTAGAAGGAGCAAGATGCGAGAGAAGGGGTGGGAAAAGTATAGACAAAACCAAAAATGGATCTTGCCATACCTTGATTCTGCTCGGTGGTCGAGTGTGGAGAAGCACTGATAGACAGATTTAATTGGAACGATGTGAGCCGCTCATGATGATTTCATAGAGCCGGTGTTGCTGCGTTGAGACGCAGAAATGGACCCGCTTCTGGCAGCACTCATTCTTAGCAGGAATTCTAAAGTGCAAATGGATATCGATCGATACTTCCATGAGTAATCATGGCTGCGACAATGGCGATGACTATGAAAGCAACAATGGCAGTGAAAGTGAAAGACAACCAGGCCAATGGCTGCAGTTCCCCTTTCGTACTCTGACAGTGTCCTTCTCGTCGTAGAGTAAGTAATCTATTTCCTGTAATTCTTGTGACGGTTCTCTTCGTTAAGCAACACCTTTGACGTCCTTCAAATGGTTTCTTAGGCATGAAGCCAAATGACGATGGAATAATGAAGAAGATACATATAAATCCTACATACGTATACGATGACAGGAATCTTCTTCTTTGACGTGTGTGAAATGGGCCTATCGTACACATACTCTTCTTCTTGGAGAGGCTTAAGAAAGAAGCACTTCGTTAAGTAAAAGGCGACAATAAACACCCAGGAGGAAGATGACAACCAACAGAGACTGATGAAATAGCGCCTGCCTTTGCTTCTGGTAGAGCAATAAGAACAGACAGAGCAAAGCGAAACCAAAAGAAGAGCAAGGTAGGTCTGTCATTGTTGATGGAAGGCAACCAAGGAGCTGGTAGTTCCCGCTGCTATCTTCTCGATGTCCCTCCAGTCTCAAGGCCCTCCGTGGCGGCGCACCAAATGGAGTTGGGGTATCCCAAAGAGAGCCTCCAAGGTCTGGGATTCGTCGTTCCACCACATGGAGGTCCATTTCTGCTTTCGACCGATGCTGTTCCCTTCACTAACCCTACTGCCACATGCTGTGAAAAGACTATTTCCGATCCTTGGAGCAATGAAGAGGTAGGCAAGTATATGGATAGATCCGTATGGGTTTGGCAAAGTCGATGCACTTCCTTAGGCATGCATGGCTTTGATCACCTCTTTTGTTTGGGTCTCTATGCCATATAACCAGGTGGGAACCTCAGATTCCAAAGATCCCAATGATCAAACAAGCTCTAGCAAGGACGGTGATAACTCATGGTATGAATCTGAAACCACCACCACCCCCCCCTCTCTCTCTCTGTGTCTCATATCCTGAGGAGCAGACTACACCATGGAAATGATTATTTATGTGCCAAGTAGGTGGAGGGGCTCTTCTTTGGAGAAGGGGAAGGTGAAGGTGAAAAGGAAGATGAGGGAGCCAAGGTTCTGCTTCCAAACAAGAAGCGATGTGGATGTCCTAGACGATGGGTACAAGTGGAGGAAATATGGGCAAAAAGTGGTGAAGAACAGCCTCCATCCCAGGTACCTTCATCATCAGTCTTTGAATCATGACACCAATCGATAAGAATGATCATGGATGTAGGTAAATCATCACAGATATCATCTTACTTGAAAGACATCAAAACAACAAGAAAGATTCTAATAAATCCATATGAATGCATAAAAGGACATATGTTTTTTTATTTGACATGAGCTTTAATCTCATCATTTCAAATATATGCAGTTTCCTTTTCTTTACCAGTCAAGCTTACAAATGATGAATAGTAGTGCCACTGACTGTATCCAGGCATTAAGAGTGAGGATGTATGAAGTCAATAACTGTTCAAGAATTTCCAGAGTTGAAAATAGATCTCTCATAAATGTTGGAATGAACTGATGATAAGCATGCAAAACTGGCATTTAAGATCTTTCTCTATTTATGTTTTGAATATATATATATAAAGAGAGAGAGAAAGTAGCACATTGTTGGAAAATAAATATAATTAATTTATGTTTATAAAAAATATAAAGTCAATAGCACATAAAACTCATTGGACTAAGTAAATGAATAATATGTATATATTGCAAGACTTGACTAGATTCAGTTAGCCATTGATAAAGCAAACTACAGTTGATAAGTGAAACCTTTTTGACAAACATGAAATCAATGATACGGAATTTGATGTTGATTTAAGTAGAAATTTTTAGGTAAAATTTAGGATTATAAAGATAAAGAAAGATGGATGACAGGTGAAAATTTTCTTTTCTTTTTGGAAGTGCATCAAATGTGTTATCTAGCTAGGAATCATAGGAGGGGTTGCATTCCACACGAAACATCGAGCTTTCTACATGTCTTTGTCATCTCAACTTTGTCAGCAGAAGCTACTACCGCTGCACCCACAACAACTGCAGAGTGAAGAAAAGAGTCGAGCGACTGTCGGAGGACTGTCGAATGGTCATCACCACGTACGAGGGTAGACACACCCATTCTCCCTGCGACGATGAGAACTCTTCCGAACATGAATGTTTCAGCTCATTTTAGGAAGTCGACCCACGTAGAATGCGTTGTTACTACGTGAGTTCTCTTCGGAAGTATCTGAAGGACCATCATGAATAATGGATGTTGCTCAATCTTTGTGTCTCTGAGAGGATCGAGTCTTGTGGAATGGCTTGTAAGATTGCTACTAAAGCGCTGCTTCTCTATCAACATATTTAATTATGATGCTCACTTCGAAACACAATCTTATCATATGCCTAAACTGTTTTCATGTTTTTGTCTTCTCGCAAGAGGATGATTGGGTTGATGTGATCGTATTCCTTTTCCTCCACAATTTCTTGGCTAAATCATATTCCCAGCATCATTTTGCATAATTGTGGGAAAAAAGATTGTATTTTTTCCCAAAAGAAAATTGGATCCATTTAAAGAAAAAGAGCTGTACACTTACAAACGATTCAACAGATCTCAAGCAGCAGTCTTCAAAGTACAAACGATCCTACGAAGCAAAAGCCAGTGAAGACATGCTTTGACACTCTCTGATGGTTCCAGAGAAGGCTTTGATGGGGAAAGGTTGGAGTGGTGACACAGAAAACGCACAGCTACGTACCAAGTGGTGTTAATGGCTTGGTGTACCGACGATCTCAGCTCGTGGCAGAACAAGGAGTAAATAATAGAGACCTCAGATATATTATCAATGGAGGATCCAATTTATGTTAGCATCCTTCTTGTGAATCTGCAACTTCAACATACTAAAGAACTCATGGAATGAAAGAGATGAAGAAACAAGATATAGATTTCGGAAGCTACATTTGACGGTTAATCTCTCCAGGACTGTATGCATGCTATGTGCTTCGGCCATGTGAGTGCTGTAGTGCCATCAAATCTCTTCCAGGTTTGTAGAGCTGCAGTCAGGTCATCTATCTTCGCTTTTATACTTCGACAGCAGTTGCCGTGCACCGTAGTCACTTCTTTGAAGCTCTCGCTGTCTTGACAGAATGTACTGAAGGAAAGAGTGTCTAAATATCGAACACTGATGCCTAATTGCTTGAAGACACCCGCAGATTTCAAAGCAGCAAGAACATCTTGATCATGCTTTTGCCCAAAGGATTCTCTTGACGCAGACCACATGTCGAACAGCTTGATGGTTTTGTTGTTGGACCTCACAAAGAAAAATCCTGTGTTGATGGAATTAGAATCGTCGAATGGACTGCCAGTGTATCTGTCGCAACTTATCTGGAAATCCTCGCCATTTAGATTCAACTTGGCAAAGGGATTCCTTAGCCATATGACGTCCATGTCCTGATTACAGCAAAAACAAAAAGGTGAGATCGGAAATGATTCGACTCTTGGAATTGAAATCTAAGGCCTACATTGACCGACCGTGAAGATGAAGTTGTATCCGTGCTCAAGGATTTGTCCAAGAATGAGAATTTTCTGCCACACCAAATCAATGTAGCCAGCAGACATGAAGAGCTGCTCCTTGGAGAAATTAAGACCCTCTGCAACAGGCCTATAACAATGAAGATTCAGCTTTCTACAACGTTCGAAAGAAATTTGATCCACTGTGATGAGGAAGAGGTGTTTGATCAAGAATGCGGTACTCTCCCCTTCTGTCAGGCTTCTCAGGAAGAGATCCAGCATGCCGTTCTCATCGACATATGCCTTGTTTAGGTAACTGATGATCACGGTCTTGTTCCCCATGGAAGCACCTTGCAAAGCTGTTTCAAGCTGATATGTCTGGCCAAAAGCAACAATAAGATGCATGAGCAAGGAAGAAGTATGAATCTTTCATATACGAGAGAAGATCTTTGCAGGACTTCAGCTGACAAAAGTGAATCGAATTTCTCATCGATGCTATGGTGAATGTTTAAGGAACTCTGGAATTCTGTGTACCAACATGGTTTGATGGTTTGAATGAAGATACAAAACATGCACTCTGCTTGTGAACTCTTAACATATGAGACAGATCCTCTATATAGAAACATTTTGAAGATTACTTTCTGCTCTTTTGAAATGCAACAAGTTCAGAATCTACCTTCCATGATTGGGAACAAGAACCGTGAGCAGGAATTGTGGCATTAGATGTGCCATTGCATGCATTCCGGGCATCAAGCATGGCTGTGAGATCCTCAATCTTTGCTTTAATGCTGGGACAGCAGTTTGCATGCACCGTAATGACCTTTGTGATGTCCAGGTTATCCTGGCAGAAACTGCCGAAGGATGTCGGATCCAAGTATCCCACTTTCATGTCCAACTGCTGAAGGACTTCTTCGGACCTCAAAACATATAGCGCATCGTCTTCTCTAATGCTCTTTGAGTGATGCATCACAGCATATGATTGCTTGAACAATGCAGTAGTCTTTTCATTTGAAGAAACAAAGTATAAGCCACTGTTGGTGGAGTTGAATTCTTCGAATCGATGCCCATCGTATACACCGTGACTTAACAGCATGTCTTCTCCACCGTGGCTCAACCTTGCGAATGGGTTCCTTAGCCACATTACATCCATTTCCTGTAAGCGCACAAGTGCAATAAGAACTACAGATGTGTGGTCTTTTGCATGCATGAATGTTTGTCCAAATTCCGCTGACTTACTGTGAAGATGAAGCTGAACCCACGGCCGAGAACTTCTCCGAGGAAGAGAGTTTGTGTCCGAGTGAGGCCGGTGTAGCTTGCATTTTGAGGGCTTGCATCTGGCGAAGTGAAAACATGTCCAGTAGATAGCTGGTAGCAATGAAGCTGAAGAACCATGCAGTTGTTGTATGCTGTCGGATCGGCTGCAGCGAAAAGAATGTGTTTGATCAAGAACCGAGTCTCCTCCCCTTCCCGCATGCTTTGGAGGAAAAGTTGGAGGATACTGTCGTCTTCCGCAGAGGCATTACTAATCACTCCTATTATCAATGTCCTGTTCGCCATGGAAGCTCCCTCCAACTGTCGTTGAAGCTCGTCTTTCTGGGTCGTCTGCATGGCCAAAGAAAGTACAGAATGTTTGAAGTAATTATGAACACATTTGTTTTGCTCAATTAAATGTTATATCGTTAAGTCGGGAAAGGGGATGAATTCGGCCAGCTGAACATGCAAAAATCTATGGAGATCCCAAACATCGAAGTAAAGCATTACCTAAAACTGTATGTATTGGATGACAGAGCCGAAAGTTCATGCAAGAAATTGAACAACGAAATCAGGTTCTGCTGATTTGACTCAGCTGTTAAAGACATTGCTTCTGATCATTATTGGATGGATAGATAGGATAGGATTGCAAGATGAAGAACAGGTTATCTAAATGAAGATGGAGGCGAAGCTCGTTCGGCGCACGGGCATGCGTACGTACCAGCCGAAACATGGACGGAATTGACACCTCCGGGAGCCATAAGCAAGCGTATGTCAGCACCGAAGCAAGGAGAAATGCCACGACAAGGCGAGCCGTGCGAGGCAAGACGACGACTTCATGGCCGAGGCTCATCTTCGAAATCGTTCGCAAGACATAGAAGCTTCGCAGCGAGACCTCCTGGTGGTTCGGAGAGGCGCGGAGACGACGGCTGTCGTAGCAAGTGACAACAAATAAGATAGAGATGCGGTAGTGATTCCTCACACAATTACATCTTTCTCTTCCCCATTGTAATTCTACCACACTAAAGATCATAAACCATTATGTATTTACAAAGATTAGAGGACTTTGTATGTAATATTACAGCTAATTTGTATTAGTTATAGTGTTGACTTTATATGTACATATCGAAAACTCATCGTAATACTAAAAATATTTAGAATGCATGGGAGACACTATATTTGTATATATTGACTCAAAGGACTAAAGGAGTGTCTTAAATAATATGAGATATGAATATATGCTATTTTAAGTCTTTTAATGATTAATACGGTTTGGATAGTCAACTTTGTAAGGAGATAAGTATAGAGATATGATTCTCATGATTATTATTGCTTTGGGGATAAGTCATTGTCACATGATTAAGCCCATATAATCCCAATCTCGAGGAAAAGAAAAGATTAAAGATTTCCTCACCGACTAATTGGTTGCGACGAGATCTGATCTTTCTTTAATGTTTTCTTTCTTAGGGGCTACTTTTAATGTGCTGCAGCTATGCAATCAATTCACGTTGAAGTTGTCGAGGGTGATTTCTTGGGATCAGAAGGTCTTCTATTCTTTTTATCTTTTCTTTTTCTTTACGAGTGTGTTGGTAAGCTGAGTTCGAGGGAAGTGTTGCAATTAATTTTTGCTAGACTTTGTATATTGTTGTGGGTGTTCTCAAGAGACAAATACATATATATTTTGTTAACAAACGATAAAGGATAAAGACAAGATTTGATATTAGCAAAAATGAAATTTTATAAGTTAAAATAGCTGAAATCTTCCATAATCAATAATTGTTTTGCTATTTCTTTCAGTAGGGAAGAAATATCGAACCACGTAAATTTTGATGCTTATTATTTTTAAGGTTTGTGGTAATTTAGTGTGGCTTTAGTGGATTGTCATCTAATAAGAGTATCGTTAATAATTTCTGCATGCTTTTGCTATGAAGAAGTTTGAAGGTATAAAGTAATTTCACTGTATGATGGATATGTAAAACGATATTGTTGACCAGCAAGATTTGGCAAAAATACAAAAAAAGAAAAAAAGAAAAAAAAAAGATAAGCACATAAACTTAAAAAGAAGAACAAGAAGAAAGAATGTGATGCCACAAACCAAAAACAAAACTCATACATCATGTGTTATAATATGGAGAAAGAAAATATGTAGAAAGAAAATTTAAAATTTAAAATGCATAAGTCAAAAAAATTCAAACCACGTGAAGAAATCTATTACAGCGGAGGCATAAGGCCAACATACTCGATATGCATGAGTTGAGAAAACTCAATCTACATGAAAAAATTTATTATGGTGGAGGCACAAGGCCAACGTGCCCAAGATACATAAATCGAAAAAAATTAACCGGCATGAGAAGAAATCTGACATAGAAAGACATAAGGCCAACGTGCTCAAGACGTATTAGTTGGGAAAACTCGATCCGTATAAGAAAGAATCCGTCATGACGGACGCACAAGGCCAATGTGCTTGAGACACACAAGTCAGAAAAATCTGACTCGCGTGAGAAGAAATCCATCACGATAGAGACATAAGGCTAAATGCGGTTGAAACATATGAGTCAAAAAAACCTAACATATGCTAGCAAAAATCCGTTATAATGAAAGCGCAAGACAAAATGCGCCCAATACATATGAGTTGAGAAAGCCCGACCCACAAGAGGAAATCTCGAATGCTCCCATAACGAATGAACTAAATGATGCACTTCGAACCCCTCTCATAAGAACCCTGAAGCACGCCTTTAGGCCTAGGAGGAGGGGGACAAATGATAAGAAATACAATGTCAGTTGACATGTGATCGCCACATGGGATCCAAGTTACCCTCCACTCATCTGCCTATATGGACAAAGATTCAAAACAAACAAACATAAACTTCCTTCTCATCTATTATGATTGGAAAGACACACATCAACTTCGTTCTCATCCATTATGACAAGGAAGACAATCACAAGCTTCCTTGAGTAGATAATCACAAGCTTCCTTCTCACCCATTATGACGAGGAAGGTATAAAAAAATATCTTAACTCTTGCATTTTAAGAAGCTGACACATGATCTGTGCTAATTTATGTATGAAGTTGGAAGATCTAACTCTCATCTATCTCAATATTCAATAATAATAACTCTCATGTATAACTTAAAAGCTTTCACTAAGGAAGTACTACAACCAATAACTTAAAAGATCTAACTCTCAGTAAAACCTTGCAGCATTAAATAAGAAAGTAATCCAACTAATAATTTCCTAGGCAAATTGGTACGATAAGAAATTTTGATCATTCACAATGAACCTTCAAATAAAAAATGTGGTGGGTACATTCAGAGCTTAGTATTTGTTAACTAAGAGAGGTATCCAATATAGACTAGGGATGCTCTGACTTCATATATGCGAAGTCCTTACAAAGCTGATAAATCATCTGTGCTAATTCATGTATGAACTCTGAAAAGCTTTCACTTGCTGAAAGGTTAATAGCAGACCTAACTCTCATTAATCTCAGTATTCAACAATAATAAATCAATCAATATGGTGCATATGCATATTGTCTGTGTCATCCCATCTACAACAGGAAAAAACTTGCTACTTCATAATCTAAGGTAAGTTTCTTTTAATAAGCCATATCCAGAAGCCACTGTAATTATGGAACCAAATAAGCCTCATGTCAATTGAAAATGAAAATTATGGAACCAAATAAAAATAAATATTATGCACATGAATTGTTACCTGGAAGTCTCATAGATAAATGCATTGTTTCTCAAATTACCAAAACAACTTTGACAGACAACAGGAAAACAGTGTGTAAATGAGACTCAAATAATGTAAGTTGTATGCAATATCAGAGAACCAATGTAAATAAGCAGATCAAACTTCCGGATGCTTGCATAGTATCAGTTGATATTGCACAATAAAAAAAAATGCTATACTTTTACCATTATAACAAGTTGTAAATTTTTATTGCTCTTCTGAACAACTTACTGGTTGACATCCAAATACAGCATGCTATAAGATGGCAAACCATGAATCAGGTTCCAGTCACAGATAACCACAATCCACTCTTTTAGACAAGGAAATGGCTATGCGCATATACAGTACTCCTTTGGTGGGTAGTAGATGTCAACAAACATAATTTTCAGTCTTTCAACTATCTGTTCCAAAATCTTATCTTCAGAGATAATTTTGGGAAAGTGTCCCTCCTCTGACTGTGAGATACTGTTTCTGAGATTATTGAAATCAATTTCCGGGGAGAAGAGCAATTTAGACAAGAGATCTTTTTTGGATTGCTTATCGTACTTTTCTCTTTCACCTGTTCCAAATGTGATCAAATTGTATGCGTATACAAATTTCTTTTGTCCAATTCTATAAGCTCTGCTGATTGCTTGCCTACCTACTGCTGGGTTCCAAACAACATCCAGCAGTATAACCCTTGATGCCCCTGTCAAGCTTATCCCTTCACAGCAAGCCTTGGTTGAGGCAAGTAGCACTTTTGCTTTGCCTTTTGTATCATTAAAAATATCTATTGAAGGTTGACGATTTTTTGTGAGAATCTTTCCATCCATCTGTAACACCTCCTTTCCCTCATTCCAACCAAATTCATTAATTAGTTGTTCTTTGATCATAACCAATGGCTGTATATACTGACTGAAGATCAACACCTTCTCATTGAGTGGGTCACACAACCGAACAACTTCTATGACGAATCGTGTTTTTGCACCCTCAACTGGGCTCAATTTCAGTTTTTCTAGCAAATTAGTATCGACCAGAGATTCTTCTTCCTCAGACATGTTCAGATGAGTCACAAGAGAAGGATGAATGGAAGCTAAGCATACCTTATATTCCCTCTCGAAGTTGCCATGTGACCCAATGCACTTTATTTTCTCAATAATGCTTTTCTGCTGAGGCAGGGGATCCAAAACAATTAAACACTCCCTCAAACCTGGAAGATTTTTAAGGATGCTACCATTATGAACATGCACAAAAGGTTTTAATATTGATCGGACTTCCTCAACATTGTCATTGGTAACATCACTAGTTAGAGTAGCCCATATTCCTTTTCCCCCATTTTCTCCTGCTAGGATAGCTTGTTCCTTGTCTAAGAAGATCTCTTGCCTCCTACAGGATTTCAATGTTTTAGTCGAGATCTTTTCAGCAAACTTAGGTCTTACCAGACACAAAATATTGTAAAGCTCAACAAAATTATTCTGAAAAGGAGTTCCAGAAAGGATGATACGCTTCTCAGTTTTGACTTTTCCTAATACCTTCCATATAAGACTCCGTTCATTTCTAGGAATATGGCCCTCATCAAGAACAAGCAAACCTGGCTTCTCAAGAAGGATCTTACTTAAACCAGTTGAAGCCTTGGATGTTAGTTGCTTGAACAAATTATAGCTTATTCCAAGGATACTATTGCCTCTGCCCCATGAACAGAGTTTCACAAGACGTATCAGATTGCTTCTTTGAGGTTCTTTCTCTGCCAGGGAAAGTGCCTCTTTATCTTCCTTCCCATTGTATTCCAAGGAATTCAAATTATGGATAGGTATACTGACATCCCATTTCCTGGCTTCTTCTTCCCATGTAAGGAGCATTCCACTGGGAGCAATAATCACAGGCCTACATTCTGGGAAAACCTTCATGTAAGTTTGAATAAAAACAATGGATAAACGGGTCTTTCCTGTTCCAGGGGCATGAGAAATCACACAACCACCAAGCACATCAGATCCAGAACCCGACTTTAACTCATCAAGGTGAATCCCCCCAGCTAGATTTCTCCACATAAATTCAAATGCTTCCTGCTGATGCTCATACATAGTTGTATAGACACCTGGAATGAGATCCCACACAGTTCCACATAAATGACTATGAGAAGCTTGTCCATTTAACTTCGTCAATGTCTCACAAAGGTAGTTAAAATGCAGTTGGCCACTCTCACCGCTGAAACATTTCCACTCAGACTTCTCCCAAGCGTTTGTTTCCTTAAGCATGAAAGTAAAAATACAAAATTAAAGGTCATTAAGTTTCAGCAGCATAAGGTACTCCTGCACTATGCTACAAAATAAAAACTGACCACTCACCAAAGACGGAAAAATGTATCTGATCTCCAGCTGAACAAAAGAGCAGAACTTGCATTTGATTCCTGTTTGTTCATCGAGGATAAAACAATGTTTCCCTTCACAGCATGAAGTTAATGGATCATATTCTGGCTCCTGTGTGTTGAATTCTTCTCCTTGACACTGCAAAATATCAGGGGATCTCTTCTTTTAAACTTAACAAGAAAGAAATCACCAAATATGGTGGAAATTACTGGATGAAATTTCACATGAAAGTGATCTATTCTCAATGGGAAAATTGGTCTCTATGCAACAGATATCTCAGTTTAGGGCATAAATATTAAAGGTATTTATCACATCTACTGCATGAAAGTGAGGGATGATTGACAAAATAATGGAGTTATAAAAAGGAAAATTCATATGTCTTCACTAGTATTCTAGTGATTTCTCTGATTACTTTATGTAATATATAGAAGTTTTCAGAAGTTAACAAATAAGAGAATGCGAGAACACCAAAAACTTTGACTCATTTTTCGAGTTGAAGTAGGCCAAAACATGAAACTCAAATATATTAGTCAGATAAACATATAGAGTAAAATCCTACAGTTTATAATCTAGAACCTAAATCTAAATAGTAGTTTACATTCTTCTATTCTCATTACATAGAAGTGAATGATAGCACCTTTACATATGCTACTCTCCTTCCTTAGTAGAAGCAGTTCAAGTTTCGTTAAAACATTATTTTATAAAAGAAAAAGAAGAAATTATCATGCATAATTCAGTTTTATGAAGTGAAATTATCCAAATAAATTGTTCTCTAAATTATCAAGATAATCTATTTAGTAATTATCCTATGAGAACCAACATGTGAAGAAGGAATTTCCACATAGACCTCAATTGGCAAAAAATAAAGTTCCTTTTCTATTTAAATATGTTAGCATATTCATGAGCATGTACAAAACAAACTTGATTGATGTGCAGGGAATAATATTTTATGATTGGATTTTTTGAATAGTCTAGACTTGACATGAAAATTGTGCAAAATGATAAGAAGGTATCTTTTGACTTATTTAAAACACTACCCATTCATGGCAACAAGTTAGCAACTTTTAGCTATCCATGAAACAACTACATGTGATGATATAAACCACCCTACAATTTGGTGAACATTTGTCAATATCTAACTTCATCATGAGCGTCATGCTTAAAGACATACCTTATCAGCATTGTAAGTGCCAATGTTCTCTAAGCCCATAGCGAATTCAAAATCAGCCCACAGTTCATCCATTGCTTTTTCAGAGTCAGATTTCTCAACTCCTTTTGGTACTTCAAAAGAGAAAAAGTCAGGTTCCTCACAGTATGGCTCATTCTTGGGAGGAAAGGAATCAACCGGAAGCTTTTCTGTGTGGCTGAAAAATGCATCAAAACAGATTTTGATACCAGAATGTTTTAATGGCCTATCCCGCTCTCTCTTTTGGAATTTTCCAACACGGAATCCCTCCAGTTTGATCCCTTCTCTCTCACCACCCTTCTTATCCTCTTTATTTAAGCCAAAAAGCTCATCGGATTCATCCACATCTAGACAAAATGTCTCAGTAGCGATCCCAGGCTTGTTTTCCTTCTCATCAAGCTTTGAATCAAAATGTGACTGGGTGCGAACTGAAATGCCAAAGCCACCACGGCTCGCAGGGCCACCAGTGCTAGTTTCAGTGTTGCTAACTGACAGAGGGATGTTGGTAACTGAGAACCTTCTCTTCTTCAGCAAAGACGCAGAACACCTCCCTTTCTCCTTGCACCCATCGGTTCTGCCTTCAAATGTACTCCTCATGCTTTCGGCAGCGAGTTCATTGGTATGATCATATGGCACATCTTCCTGCGATGCTTCCCCGTCTGCGTCGTCATCATCTGACTCATCCTCTTCAAAATATTGACCATATGAAACTCTCTGCTGCTTTCCCACAGATGATCGAGTCCTCTTTGCGACACAAGAATCAGTCGTCAATTCTTCTTTAGCTTTCGCACCATCTTCATCTGATTCCTTAACGTCTCTCTGTCCAGAAAGCTCGTCATTTTTGACCGAAGATCCCCAATCCTTTTCAACATCATCGAGCGCCATATCTTCTTCCGTTTCATTGCCATCTTCACAATCGAGTTGGATAACCTTTTGACTGGAAGAATCATCAGCTTCAACTTCTACATCAGCTTTGGAAGGTTCTCTATCTTCATAAGTGTCGTCTTCCTTTTCTTCCTCACTTTCAACTGGAATGCTATGTCCATTGGATTCAGCTTCCAACTCCTCTCTGGAACCGTCGATTTCATGAATTTTCCCTATCTCAGCTTGTCCAGCATGCAATCTGGATTCTGAGTTGCCCCAGGAGCCCGCTTTCCCCTCGTTAGAAAATGATCCCGACCTCAGGGAACCCTGGACAGAGCTCTCACTCTCATTTTCATCGCTTTCCACATCAAAGAAGACGGCGTTCTGCGACGAGGAGGACACAAGAGACTCCGAAAAATGCACGGAGTCTCTAACCCAACGAACCGTCTCCTCGCGATTCTGACGGCCTTCTACTCGCCGTCCTCTTATTCCTCCTCCTGTCCGCCCTCCTCCTCCTCCCTCTCCCACCACCACCACCTCCTCCTCATCATCAAGGAGAATGACATCCGGCTTGTCGCACTGGGTCTTGACCCTGGTTCTGGAAGCTAGGGCATCTCCTCCACGACCGCCGCAGCCGGCGGTTGAACGGAGGGAGGAATTGGCATCGGAGTTCTTATCCCCGTTCAGGGCTCGGGTAGTCCGCGTCCTCTGCGAGACGGACGCCATCTTACCAAAACATTTTCCGGCGATTGCAGCGACAAGGAGCTCCAGAAAGACGAAGGGCCTCCACTTTTGTCACAGAACTGGCGTGAAAGCGAAGTCCAAAAGCCCGGGAAGATAGAAAAGGCAAGGAGGTTTCGTGGTGAGGGTACCGCCGGGGCTCTCTCACGTTCTGTAGTGGCTCGAGCCTGCGAAACATACAACCTGAGTGACCAAAATGCCCCTACGAGGATTCGAAGCGTTGTACCAGTGCTTTGGCAATCGTGAGATTTTGATTGGTTGGATAATAAATGAATCATTCGTGGCGACGCCGCAGTCAATTTTTTTAAAAATACCCGTAGAACATCTCAAATTTTATAAACTTTTTTCATAAATAATTATTTTATCCTCCATCACCTTAATTTTTGGTCGCCTCCACACATTCACCACGCCTGTGTCTGCCGTCTTCATTCTTCATACATTACCCATGTCAATCCAACCACACTTCGAGAAATAAGAATCAGAAAGGAGGTGATAAAACATATTTTGGGTCCAAGACACGTCACAGCCGATGCTACACGTCAGGTCAGAATCCGTACCGATGTGTTGTTTGGTACGTCCACCATGCCAACCCGAGAATCGGCAAGGGGAGCATCCCTATATGTCAAGTCAGAATCCGTACCAAGACGTTGTTTAGCATGTCTCGTCCCGGGAACCCAGGGCGATGTCGTTTGACGTCGCTTTACGTGTCCCGAGACGACGGCCAATCTAAAGTGTCATCTCAACTCTCGAAGATTAGGGGCCATGTTCAACCCGCGTACAATCAACCCTCGTACAATAGTATAAAAGCCCATGGCCGACATCCGCCCGGGGGGAGGAGGCATAAACAATTTCAACCCACAACTGACTCGCTCGTCGAAGTGGCCAAAGTCGGAAATCACCGACGTAGGTCTTTTTTGCAGGCAAACGACCACCCCCGAGCCACGAGCATCTCGACCCGGGAATCGCTATCTAGTGAACGAGGGCGAGCTGCCAACCAACTCGGGAGCGGAGAGATGCTGCTCAACATAGGTGGTGCCCAGACCGAAAAACGTTTATCAACACCCTGTCACGAGGTCCCAACTCTCCTCGACGTCCAGCTCAACCAAAAGAGAACTCCCAACATCGACTCATGGATCGAGCCATGTTGACTCACTGGCCATGATACATTTATTCATAAGGAGGCTATGCTATGAATAATAAAGAATGGTAGAAGGAGGATGATGAGCCAAAGATGAGTAGAGGTGGCCTCATTAGAGGGGCTATGAATAATTACAGCATTTTTGGTTCCAAAGAACTAGAATTGGTGGTCTCAATTTTGATTTTTAAAAAAATATTACTCTAATTTTATTTAAGAATACTGTAAGTTTAGCCCAAACTTGATTTTGACAAGAAAAGTTTTTTTACAATTATTTTATTTTTTCATAAAATAAAAATCTCTTTCTACAAAATAATGTAAAAACTAAACATGGGTGGTATGCAAAAAAAAAGACCAACAAGTATTTTATCTTGTGTTGAAATATCAACGCTCTAATGTCTCAACATCTTCACCGTATCATCTCAGACATAGTGTTTCCTCTCGTGTATGGTTACAATAGCATTCTATCGGGTGAACTGTGCCAATTAGAACCGTTATAATCATCGTAGTGGTCGTTTTCTGGTCCCTTTTCTCGGCCGTCGATGAGCCGCGCGTCTCCCCCTTTCTCGCGTCATAGACAAAAAGGAAAGAAGTAGTTTATCGTCGTCGCCACCAGCTCTTACTCGTAGCCCAAGCCCAACCCCCCTCTTTTCTCCGCTCGCGAGAAGCATCGCCGGATATGGCGATCTCGTCGTCTCTGCCGCGTCTCCTCCGGCGAACCCCTTCCTCGTTGCCGCTCCGATGGCGGCTGAGGATGTTTCTCGCCGGGGAGCGATCTAGGCCTTTCACCACTTGCGAGGGCTCTCGCCCTTCCATTGTCCACAAGCGGAGTCTCGACATCCTCCACGACCCCTGGTTCAACAAAGTATTTAATCACCCATGAGATCCTTCTCTCTGACTCTTCCACTGCGTGTTTGGGGTTTTTGGGAGTATCGAGTTGTTTGATTAACTGGTTCTTGGTTCATTGCGCACGGATCAGGGCACAGCCTTCTCCATGACCGAGCGGGACCGTCTGGATCTTCGCGGGCTTCTTCCTCCGAATGTTATGACTCCGCAGCAACAGATTGACCGATTCAGTACGTTTCTGGAACCGTGTTCCTTACAAGAAATATCCCGAATTTTCTGTGATTTAATTGAAAGATCAATTCTTCAAGATCGTAAGGATTAATTTGTCAGTATCATTTTTTGAAATTTGTATTGGTTTTGCTAATTATGATGATGCCTGTTGACTTGAATTAACAGTGGACTGGTGGTGGATTGAGCTACAGAACAGGATAACTGCAAATGACGAGATGCTGATGCGTTTTCCTGGACAAGCACTTTCAGCTTATGTTCTTTAGGTTATCGATGGGAAGACTGAAGTGTTAACTTAGGATTGGACATGACAAATCGTTGAGGGTAGATGTAAAATCCATCAAACAAAAGAAAGAGAAATTCTATTAAAGATGACCATCCTTACGTTGAGTTGATATGCCTTTTATAGGCTGAAAGAGAAATCTATTAAAGATGACCATCCTTATGTTGAGTTGATATGCCTTTTATAGGCTATACGTATCTTGCTTTGAGAGTAGAAGGTTATCCTAAAATATTTGTAACTTCAAAACTTTCCTAATAGAGTTTGTTAAAACAAGTAAATAAAATCTATATTCTATTCAATCAAAAAGTTAAGAAATTACGTAAGTAAATATCAAAGTTAAATCTCTTGATTCGGTGAGATAAGACGTGCCTCATCTGACCCCTTCATTTGCATAGACTTCCATCCTCAAGTTCATGGGTCAAACTTTTATTCTTTTGCTTCATAAGAACAATATTTTTAGTAAATTGTTTCAATCATTCCTAGTAGCAATTATTCATAAATGTTATAGTTTAAACTTATTTTACTTAATATCCAAATTCACCATATGTGATAGAATTGGAAGACATTAAAATCTGTGGTTCCAACAAAATTGACAAGTTGAAACATGTCACCTTCTGAATGATGATGCTTGTAGGCCATAGGTCAACTTGTATATGAAAATAGTCATCATTTACAATGAATGCTTCACCAAGTTCAGAAAATTTGTATGCTTCCTGCAGTTCCAAAATTTCTATCTTGATTTGTTTTTAAGTACTCTTATCACAAACAATGGTTGCTGGCTTTCTTGTCTGTGTAGCTTCAGTAGCAGCTACAAACACACTCTTGCTGTCTTTGTATTTTATGATCTAATAGTCTATCATGTAGGATTTCTATCACATAAATATTTGTCATAGTTGAGACAGACAATTTGATCCTTTAATTACTGTTTCACTTGGAACTATGTTTTTGCATGTTCTTTCCTTTCTATTATCTGTTCTCTAGCATAACCTCCCATATAATCATAAAATCTATTCCATCTGCAATAACCTGCACCAGATAATTTCCTTCCCTAGTCAGTTTGGAAGGTAATTAGTGAGCTTAAGCACATTTAGAGGAAAAAAAAAAGACAGTGAGAGAGGAGAGGAGTCTGCTGAACTGGGCTCAAATAAGCCCAAAAGGAGACGCAATAGTCCGTTTAGGTCATATTTGACAGTTGGAACAATGTAACAGTCAAATTTGGACCACTACCAACATGTACAGGTTGGTACAGGCTGTACAAGTTGAAATTGATCAGTTTCACTTAGTATCAAGGCTGTACCAGGTGGTAGCGTTGTAGCAGGCCTGAACTGCCTGGTCTGCACTTGGTCCGTGAGCCAGGCAGTGGTCGGAGATAAATACCAGCCAAAATTGCAATCTATGTGTAAATCAACCATTTATTCTTTCTATCCTTGGGGGCATTATATTTTAAATTTATTTTGGTAAATAATCTTTCTTGTTTGTAATCTATATGATTGATAGACTTTTCTTGTAGATCCTTATCATCATGAAACTTTCTTACAGAATCTGAATTTTCAATCAAATCTTGTAATACCAAATTGTGTTTTCTTCTAAATTTTTTTCTCATTGGCTTCCATTGAGTAATCTTTGAAACTAAAATGGAACGATGGGAGATAATGCCGTGTGTCAATTTATGATTTTTAAAAAAGTTCTTATTAAGTACTGAAATTATTTCAAAGAAAAAAATAACAATGCTGAAATGAACGCATGTTGAACTAAACCCAAATCCAACTATATCATCAATTCAAAGGAGAAGAAATAGAGGATATCTTGGATGAACAATATGTTTTTACAATTTGATATTCAAACCTTTTTTCTGATGATACAATTCTATCATCCACGCATAAAATGTGCATCGGTGCAAGACTTCTTTTCGCAAGAGACAATACTTGAACTAGAGTGAGTTTGATTTATTTTTTTATTATCTCTTCTATCCTTGTTATCTTTCATGATTATTGTCTTTCTTTTTCCTCTCTTTCCCTTCCTCTATTCTGAAAATAAAGAATCATATTTTCTCTACTCACCATGCACTTGTCCAACATCAAACATATTTTTACTTATTCAATGTGTAGGCAAAACTGTAAAGGGGCAAAAGTTCTTCAATGGTTAGTTTGGAGGGTGTTCGTGAATGATAACGATAGACACTCTGACCTTCCAACTCCCTTTAGATTGTTAAGCATACATTCTATATACTCTCCATCACGTTTGGTAATTAAACCATGAACTCATCTTTTGTCAGTCGATGCACAACTTCTGATGATCAGATAACCTGCATTGGTAGCATAAATTCCAATATAACTTCTGGCAATGGCCGACACCCAAGGTTTGATGGTCAACCTCCAGTCACCAATGCTGAGATACTGGCCCACTTAACATGGTCCAGGGATATAGTCTAAGCTAAATGTAGCATAGGAAATAAAGGAATCTTACACGCAGAAGGATGTTTTGTTTGCCAAACATTGAACTTCTCCACCTTCTTAGTGGGTCTCAAGTCCTTATAAGTTAATGACCTAAAACATCTCAACCCAAATCATGCTCTTTACAATTCATCAATTAGACTGAAAATGCTATTTTTCTTCGTTTCAACAGTTTGTTTTGTTCATATGCTAGTCATGTATTATTTAGGTTTATCACGACATGATTGCTATATATTTGTTTGACTTATGTATTAAATTGCTTTCATTGTTCTGTTACTCAGCAGTCTGTTGTTTGCATTTCTGTAACATGAATTTTGGAAAGCTTTTTTAAGCTGGCTTTATTTTAATTGAATTTTTTATGTTGTAAAATTTTTAGAAATGGAGTACTATGATTGATATGTTTCTAAGTAATCAGAATTATTCAATAATATGTTGAACATTTTTCTACCTAATATCTTGCATTGTCGTATGTTGGTTGCTTATATGTTTCTAAGTAATTTCCTGTATTAACAGTGGTTGACTTGAAAAGACTGGAATTGAATGCGAGTGATGGGCCATCAGATACCAATGCATTGGCCAAATGGCGCATTCTTAACAGGTTGCATGACCGAAATGAAACAATGTACTACAAAGTGAGTTTTGGAAGTTTGATTATAAGTACTCTATCTTGAGTTTGCTGATTGTCGTTTGTCGTTTGCGGAGGATTCCTGTGACTGAGATACATCATTTAATCCTTCTGCTAATTAATGAACCTGTTAGCCTTTTGTTATGTGATGACTGGATTTTGACCATTCATGGGCACAAGTAATGTTATCTAATGGCATCTTTCTGATCAATGTACAGTTCTTTGATGACGGGCACACTACTTTATTCAAATTTTCATTTATGATTTCAACTCTTTGCTTTGGTAAGTGTGGTTATATGGATTCGCTTAAACATGTGCAGGTGTTAATTGAAAACATCAAGGAATATGCGCCAATAGTGTACACACCCACTGTTGGTCGTGTCTGCCAGAACTATAGTGGTCTCTTTAGACGACCGCGGGGAATGTACTTCAGTGCAGCTGATCATGGGGAGATGATGTCTATGGTATATAATTGGCCAGCTGAGCAGGTAGTCTATTTCTTAATTCTTTGAATTGAAATTGGGAACAATATATGGATTTTTCTTGGCAGTAATTATTCTCTGCTGGTATTTGAGTTACTTTTTCTTTTTGCACAACTATACTAAATACTTATCAAGCAAACTTGCTTTTCCTGTTTTGGCGATACAGTTACAGTCTGCTTTTTCAAGTTAATGAGGCTTTACCTTTTTTCATATCTGGCAATCCATTATCCTAAGTAATATTGTTTCAGAGTTTGCTGTATATACAGTGAAATTAGCTCAGTAAGCTGTATGCTTTTCAATTGTATCAACAGTTTCATGTTTGTAGCGCATCCTATTTGTAGTGCATCCTTGGTACCTGTCAGTGTCACTTAAGGTCAAGCTTTTGCAGGTTCACATAATAGCTTTTACATGTTATGAAAAATATATGCTAACTCTGATTATTGCTAGATCTTGATTCATGCCCATAACTATTGTAGTGTTCGGAGGCTACCGCTCTAGTTGATTCGTGCCCATACATCTTAGAAAAAAAATATATTGACTTCCAGTCGTGGATAGATGTTATACTTATAAACATGATTCTTGTTCCATGATTAGATGAACTTAACTAAAGCACATATCCACTCAATAACCTACGAGATTCTTCTATGCAGTTTGTTTTGATGTGGCAGGCAATTTCTCAATCTGAACAATTGTCAGAGTGATGAAGTCTTAGGTTTTCTCTAAACCTAGCTTTCGATTACTAGATGCATGTCCAATTCTTCATCTCAAAAATTGATTTTTGGACATTGCATTCCCTTCCTTGCTCATGCTGGAACATTGTTGCATGTAAGGAACAAGGTTTTGTACTGACTACGCATACCGATATGGTGGTGGTGTATGAGATACACTTACCAAAGGTTGAGGGTTTGAAACGTCATTTGATATATTTACATCTAAAATATTGGTCTGGTGGTGGTGTACCAGATCCACTTCCTAAAGGTTGAGGGTTCGAAACCTCTTCCAACATATTTTTACACATAAATATTGGTTTGGTGGTGATATACTGGATCTACTTCCTAAAGGTTGAGGGTTCAAAACCTTATCTAACATATTTTACACCTAAAACACTGGTCTAGTGATGATGTACCGGATTCACTTACTGAAGGTTGAGGGTTTGAAACCTCATCCAATATATTTTTATACCTAAAATGTTAGCTTGGTGGTGGTGTACCAGGTCTATTTACCAAAGGTAGAGGGTTCAAAACCTCATCCGATATCTTTAAGAGATGCAATACTTTGATAGATTATCACAAGGTATTGGGCTCGAATTGTATTGATTATTTACAAAAAAGTTCCCAAATAGCTAAAAATGAAAACCCTTTGTCAAGGTTTCTTTCTCCTAATCTTTTGATATATAAATTGAACTTAAATAAGAACAAAAAGCATATCTAAGGCATAAATTAATAGAAATTGTGGTCTCTAAGGATCGAAAATAGAAATTATTATCTTTTCATATCCATTGGGGAAACACTCCATCATATAGTCCTCCATCAAAGAAAGTTGTTTCCATTAATTCAAGTGTCCCTTCACCAACAAAGAATTCATAAAGAGTTGAGATGTTGGATTAGGTGATGAAATTCTGGGATTTGAGGAATGTAATACATCTACATAACATTAATATATACCTAGATTTACCATTAAAACAAATGATGGGATTCCACAGTTAGAAACTTTTGATCTTTTGAAAGTTTTATATCTTTATGGTATGTTTGTTGGACCCAATCTTGGAACTGCTCTCATGACAGATTATACTCAAACTGTGTGGCATTGATGCATGTATGTGGTAAAAGTTGTTGCCACATGATCATTAATAACACGTCCTAGGAGCCTCTTGAGGCAAGTGTAACCATGGCATGTAGAAGAGGTTGAAGTAAACTAGGAACTACAGCTATTGTCACTGAAGTACATCAGCTGTGTCATACCATTTCAGCCGAAATTGCATTCCTTGCTTGTCGGTCGGCTAAAAACTTTTTTGTTACAGTTGTCTTACAAAATTTCCTTAGCTAACGGATTGTCATTACATCACATCAATTGAGTGCTGTGGATTTGTGACATATTGATGCTATTGACTTAGTATTAATAGAAATGATTGGTAGTCCCCAAAGAAAGTTAAACTTCTATTTGGCAAGACAACCTAAGGTGGAGTTCATATGTTGGATAATAGGCAAGACAAACTCATGGTTTGGTTGCTTTGTCCTTTGGGACTTGGGCTTATCGTTTTTAAATCATGGCTCATTAAATGGCTGATGAGTAATGAGAAGAGCCTCAATGCATAGGATGTAGCTTGTCTAGTGCTCAAGTTAAACTTGAATAAATGTGCTATAAGGAAGTGGAGGTGAGTCCGAGCTCTTCTGCTCTTCTTGTGGCCTACGTTTTGGACCATGGTTTGAGCAATTATTAGAGAGTGCTTCATTTGAATTACTGATTGTGCTGCCATCATAGATTGAATCAGTAACTAAGTTTTCAATTTTTTTCTCTTCAAATGTGCCATTAGTGCTGCAGTTCTTTGTGACTCCTCATTTAGTGTTTATCCTTCAACTTAGCTTTGTCACATGCTGTACAAATAGCACACTTCTAGTGCAACTTGTACTTTACATTAATGCCTTCTCTCTGCTCATCTTCTAATGGTTGAATTTCTCATTTTTATAACCCAATATAAACCAAGGACAAAATAATACTTTGAAAAGACATGCATGTTTTGTCATACATCATGTTTGTTTTAATACATTATTAAAATGTGTAATAGTTCGACACTAATTTATACAATACACATCAGAAATTGCACATATATCTATATCATTTTGGATTAAATTTGTATTTTGAACAGGTACCAGAATAGTGCAAAGAGGCATAACCTCTGCTTTTTTATGTTCCTCTGATAGTTAATATAGCACAAAGCAAAATTCTTAGGAAAAATGGATTCTTGTCATCTGCTAAGTCCATAGGCTTTGGACAAAAAGATTTGTTGTTCGCTTAGTCTTTAGCACATTAACAGGAATATTTATATAAGCTCATACAATTTGATGTTTTTTTTATCATTTCATAACCTGATCATTTCCAGGCTCTTTCTAGTTTCTGAAATGTGCAGCTCACCAATAGATTAGCCCATGATTTTTTGTTGATGAGGCAACTTTTGATTTTAGGTTGATATGATTGTGGTAACTGATGGAAGTCGAATTTTGGGCCTTGGTGATCTTGGGGTTCAGGGTATTGGCATCGCAATTGGGAAGCTGGATTTATATGTTGCTGCTGCTGGAATAAATCCTCAACGGGTATTATTTATTCTTCTATTATTTTGTTGACCATAAGTTCAAGTTTAGTTTTTTATTCCTCACCTGATTTTATTTAAATGGTATATATTGTATGTGCTATCTTTAGGATTTGTTGATGATATTCTTTTACCTATTAGAACCCTATATCGGTAATCCCTTGAGTCACGCCTTCCTCCCTTCTTTGTTGATGTTTACACATCTCCCTCACTCTCTTCTCGCTCATGCTCACCCCTTACGTAGCACACAACCGCTAGTTCTCTCATCACCTGCTACGGTTGGCTTATCAGCCAATGCCATACAAGGATTGTTTTATCGCTCAAAACGGTACAAAACTAGCGGTACATACCGATCCATTCATGGACCAGTATGTGGATGACCCTTGTTTAGGGCTCGCATTCTTCTGGTCGCTGCCCTCTTCCTGTGTCGAGTAGTTTGATCCAACTTAGCCTATCACTTGTAATGCTTGATATTCTTCATTTCTATTTCCAGTAATTGCACTCAAATCTTGTACAGTAAAAGGCTTCTTTCTACAATATTCACTGAAATAGTTTGAAGAAAACATTTGATACTTACTATCATGGTTCGCATTACCGATCCATACCGGTGTACTAACCAACTATCGGTATGGTACATGCCGAGTTGTATCGAGCTATACCGAGTATACCGACACATGATACACTGGGGTGTACCGATGTACCGCCCATACGAAGCGATACACTTCGATACGTCAAATTTTGCTTACTATAGCCCACTTAGTGAAGCCATGCATTTGAGTCATTACAAATTTTACTACATTATGTATTGAGATCAAGGATTTTAATTTCGAATGATACCGCCTATGCTGGGCGGTATGTACTGGTTCGCCAGCAAATTGGTACGCGGATTGCCCGTTACCGGACGGTATTAGCCTGGCTTCGGCGAGAGAGAAGAAGTGTCAAGGGAGAAGAGGGAGAATCGGGAGAACCTCAACGCTTTCCGATCCGGCGTCGCCCTCCCTCGACGATCCCGATCCAGGAGGTAACGGAGAGGCAACGTCTCGACTTCTCCGTCGTGTCCTTCGCTGAAGGCCGGAGACACCTGCAGCCTTCGACGTCTTCGCCAAATGCCGCAAATGAGGAGAAGACCGCATTCTTCTCCTTGTTGCGTCGTGTCGAAGGCCGGAGATGTCTGCGACCTTCAACATCTTCGCCGAACGTCGCAGATGAGGAGAAGATCACATTCTTCTCGTCGCGTAGTGCTGAAGGCCTTCGACGTCTTCGCCGAACGTTGCAGATGAAGAGAAGACTGCGTTCTTCTCCTTGTTTGACGCTATGAGGCAAAGAAAAGGAGGCGACGTCGCCGAGGCAGTGTACGACTCCTTATATATATATATATATATATATATATCGTACCGAGTGGTACACCCTGGCATACCGCTCGGTATGCCTGTACCGTACCGTATCGAGCAAAGCTCGATATGCCGGTACGGTATGAAATTAAAAACCTTGTTTGAGATATTGATTATATTTGAAGCCTACTGAAAGCTTTCTTTGTCAAGATTTCTGCCACTTTTCTGTGGTCTTTTGATGGTTCATTATGTTAGTTTGTGTTTGCTGCTTGTAAGAAAGAATGATCATAAGAGCTTCTTCAACAACATCCTTTCTTGTTTATATTTTAATCTTGTCTTTTTTACTATAGGTTCTTCCTGTGATGATTGATGTCGGAACTAACAATGAGAATCTGCTTCAAGACCCACTTTGTAAGATTCTTTTGTCATGCCATCAGATTGACAAATTTTACCTGTAAGTTCTAGAATTGTAAATGGAGCAACCTATGAACACATTGCCTGCTGGGAGCCATAACTTTGATACCTTTATATTTTCTTTGAAGCCAAAATATTAGTGAAAAATGAGTTTCTCAACCTGGGTATTTAATTTGGTTCTTCTCTACTTTAAACTTTAAACTTATTTTATAATTGAATTCTACCTCATATCTGGCAATAACATTAGAATTTCTGGGATCTTTGATTTGAAGTCTTTAATTTGTTAGTTACATGCTTTGTCAGATTATTCATGTTGTATTAAGTATTTAATATTTCCTGCAATATTGAGATAGCATTTTAAGGTCTGTATTTTTCATATTGTAGTAGTTGTGAAACCAAATATTTCATGTGTCTGCAACACAATCTCTTTTTTCTGTTTCTTTTTGTTCAGCAGAAAAAATGTAACCCTTGAGTTCAATTGTTGGAATGGGACCTTTTGGCAATGCATTCCTATTTCATCTGGTGGTATCTTTTTACAAAGAACAAAACAGAGTCAATTTAAGCTCCTATATTTTACTACTGCTGATTTAGTTGTTCCTAATACCTCAAAACACTTGCCCATAAAAGTCATAATAGAAGTTCTTGTGGAAGGAAACAATGAAGAAGAAATTACAAGGGTAAAGGCAATGGCTTAGATAGCTGGCTCGACAAATATTTTCTAGAAGAAACTGTATCAATGTTTGCAGACATAAAGTAAATACGATCATCATACAAATGTTACTTGTCAGGGTGCCTTTGTAAGAGCTCAGATTATGTCCAAGAAAATATGCTAATTTGAGTTGTAGAATAGCTTAGCTACCTTCTTTGTTGTTGATTCCTCCCACTTGCATGACAGTTCTGCTGAAGGCATGATCATAAATCATGCAATGTAGTAGCAGACACCCTAATTTCCCCAAACATGTGAAGTGTTCCATGAAGAATTGAAAATTTTGGTATGGACAACTATCACAAGGCATAAATAAAAACTGCAATCTAAGGCAATTACATATCAAACAAGATGCAGTTTTACATTTATGAATGTTTCCTTCATGATATAAAAAAAGAGTAAATGTCGAATGATCAGTACCTCCGGTTATTGACTGTGGAATGAATGACATATGCAAGGCAGAATGAGCATGACAATGGCAAAACTAGGGTCTATGGAATCAAATGATTGCATGGTATAGATCAAATAAGAAAAAGTCTGTTTCTTCACTTTGAAGTCAAAAGCACAAGTTGTGCTCAGAGAAAAAGGGCCTAAATAGTCTTAAGTTGCATTTAAATCTTGGTCTGCTAATGCTTTCAGTAACTTATTGGTCCTGTATGTACCAGTATACTGATCTGTGTTTCTTGGTATCATTGAATTAAATAATTGTAAAAGTGAATAGGACTATACTGGTATTGAGCTATATGTTTCGATACTAGTACTTGGTCAGACTAGCATGGTCAAGATTTGAGACCAAACTCTTAATCCATACCTTAGCAGTTTTTGGTCAAAGATAGCTTTAATGAGGAACTCTCCTGCTTTGGTGAGGACTCAAAATGGTTTGAAGTGTAGCAGTAAAAGAAAGTCTCAACCGGACAGGTTTTGAGGTTTGATACAACAATATTGGATAATAACATGTTATGGTCAGGCTTGAATAAGAATCTGTCAAGATACTCAAATAACACAATAGAAGTCGTGAATTCCTTGAAATAGCTGCTGCCTCAAAATCATTGCATTGCCTCAGAATCATCTTGCTGATTCTCTATTTTCCATACCCTTGAATCCTTCTATCCCTCTTATCTGCCACTCCCTCATTCTGCTGCAATATAACCTCCGTTAGATCCAAGCGGACTTGAGTAGTCTCTCCAACAACTTGGAGAGGGTGGCCAGTATATGAATAATGATGTCTGAATTTGCAACCAGCAGGACAGGTTATAGTTTTCCTTTACATTTATCTTTTTTATATATTTTTAAACTAATTGTTTCGGTCCAGTATATTACTGTTACTGGCCTGTAATACTGGTCCAATTGGCAGTCACTACAGAACTAATACCCAAAAATTGAAATTCTTTTCTATGACAAAAGAATTAGGATTAATTATTTTAATTTCATTAACCATATTTCAATACTTGATGAAATGTTTTTATTTGTAAACGATAGAGGATAAGATGATGGAGAATGATTTAAAATGGTACGAGCATGTGCTTTTGATTAGTTAAAAGATGTGAAATTGCTAATATTAGTGGTACGAGAGATAGAGGGAGACCTAATAAGACTTTATTGGAAATTATAACTAGATTTAAATATTCTTAATTTATCTAATAATATGATTTTTTTCTAAGCTCAACGAGGGCAAAAACCCAACGTAACGGATCCTAAATAGTTGGGACTTTACGACTTTGTTTGTTGTTTAATATTTCAGTACTTGATTCAAATTCAATATATCTAAATTCATATATCGTTGTTGTTATCATCCTAAGAAGGATGAATGGAGGACTTGAATGCTGATCAACATTTGCTTGTTTGACCAAGTACTAGTATTGGAATGTATAGTTAGGTACTGGTACATATGAGGGTTTGCAATATCGTTTGATACAATATGAACGATATTTATTGCTCTTATGAGGGATTAATATATGGACAACCTAATCTGACCAGTACAACTATGGCAGTTATTATCCTGATATGGGCTTGGTACCACCACATTGTTTCAGGTCCTGTACCATGGTGTCACGGACTTAGCTGGAATTGCCTAAGTCATGAGGCACCCTTGCAGCAATATCACCGACTTAGCTGGAATTGCCTAAGTCATGGGGCACCCTTACGCTAATATCATGGACTTAGCTAGAGTTGCCTAAGTCGTGAAGCACCCTTGTGCCAATGTCTTGGACTTAGTTGGGATTGCCTAAGTCATAAGGCTCCCTTGCATTATCCGTTTGCAAAGGGTCAATCTAGTTGCAACATCGCTCAGGTCCCATAGGACATATAAAAGAACAAATTGATTAGTTTGAAAGCAAGCGATAGACAAATCCCGACGTTTCGCAAAGAGGACAGCTTTACAAGTAATATAGCAAACACTCGGTGTGCAAGAGAAAAGAAAGCAAGGATAAAACAAGGACTTTAGAAGGCAAATGAACAGTTGCAAGTCCGCAAACAGTTACTCACCAGGTGTTGGGCGTTGATGGCAAGTTTCCGTAGACTAAACGTACGAACTTGTGAAATCTAATCAACGCCCAACACCAGGTAAGTAGCCGTTTACGGACTTGCGACTATTCGTTTGCCTTCTAAAGTCTTTGTTTTCACCTTTCTCTCTTTTCTCTCTTGCACACCGAGTGTTTACTGAATTGTTTGTAAAACTACCCCCTTCGCGAGACATCGGAACTTGTCCGTTGCTTGCTTTTGAACTAATCAATTTGCTCTTTTATGGGACTTACGTGACTTAAAGCGAGGTTGCAACTAGGTTGACCCTTCGCGAACGAATAACGCAAGGGAGCCTTATGACTTAGGCAATCCCAACTAAGTTCGAGACATTGACGTAAGGGTGCTTCACGACTTAAGTAACTCCAGCTAAGTCCATGATATTGCCGCAATTGTGCCTCACGACTTAGGAAATTCTAGCTAAGTTCGTGACAATACGATGAGCTTACTTAAGGGGTGACACTAACCAACTAACCATTGGGTCACTATTAGGAACCTTGTGGGGGCTATAAAAAGCGCCCCGCACCCCATTCTTCCCCCTTACACTTACACTCTTATTCTCTCTCTTTCTTACTCTCTTTTTCTGGCTACTCTCTCTCAAAAACTCTTTCAAAATAATTAAAGAATCATTATGGGAGGTTGATTTCCACAAGAGGAGTAAAAATCAAGATCCAGTCCATTCTCTTCAAATCAAGGTAATTCCAAACCTAATTGCTAAGTTTTAACCAATAGTCAAGTTAGACGTTATGCTTATTCTTGCATGATTAGACTAAATTTCAAAGCTTGAACCTAATTTAGTCTTAATTTAATCTCTAGTTTTGGAGGATCTAAGCTAGATCTATGAGGATCAAGCCTGGATTCTCATGGATCTAGCTAATTAGGTAAGAATTTATGTTTGTTCTTATATGCTTATTCTATAGTCCTAGCCTGTACCTGTATAGGCTTGGGCAAGTATATCATATATCTTATTTTGATATCTCATTTGTTATTTTATAATTTAAATTCATTTTATAGGCATCTAATTTGATTGTATATAACCTGAAATATGTTCTCTCTTAATTTCCAGTCTTCTTTTAGGCTATTTCTGAAATCCAGTACCTATGCGCACCTGTATGACTCAATACTGTACTGGTCCAGGTCAGGACCGGTATGGAATTGGTACATGGGATTAAACCCCTTGGTACTAGTGCCATGCATTTTGAAAATTTTTATTATTTTATGCAATGATGTCTAACAGTATAGGTTGTGATACTGCCCGGTGTACGGATAGGTAAATATCCTATGAGTTACTAAAACAGGTATCAAATTGGTATTTAAATCCTTGGTATGAAGTATCACCAACTTTCCAAAAAGGATTCATTTTTAACAATAATTTAAAAGTAAATTGTTTTAGAATTATGCAATGCAAACCCACAAAGTATGTAATGGGTATTAGTATCCAACACGATACACTGAGCATCTTGATGTGTCTACTTATCATTGGTTCATGTACTTTGCAGGCCAAGGTTTATTATTAGACTTTATTATATGTCTAATTTTTATTTTTGATCACACTTCTTAAATATTGATAGACTATCCTAATTTTAACTTTTACAACTCATTCCTAATATATCATCAAGTAGATCTAGGACTTCAAGAGCATCGTCTTGATGGTGAAAAGTACCTGTCTGTCATCGATGAATTTATGGAGGCTGTCTTTACTCGATGGCCACACGTCATTGTACAGGTAATATTTAATGGCACACTATTATTTGTTATTCGAAAGTTGTAACCACCGTTTGGATATCTATCTTGATTAGATTAGATTTTTATAACATGTCTCTTTTTTACAGTTTGAAGATTTTCAAAGCAAGTGGGCCTTCAAACTATTGCAGCGTTACCGGAGTACTTATAGAATGTTCAATGATGATGTCCAGGTAAAGACAAAGGCATAAACTACTTATTATCATTTTATCTTTTCCAATTTCCTTATAATTACTTGCCATAATATTTAGGAGGTAGAAAAGGTTTATTCACCATGTACAAGGACCTAGGTGTGTTTTGTGCATGTATTGCAAGTCCTAGTGCTTCTGGATGCATCTAATGGAAGGACTTTAAGATATCAAGTGTGCTTCTGTAAAATTTGTAGTCCTTATGTTGACCTTCTACATCAAGCACAGATATTAAGCTACGGTAATCTGCATAGGCAATGGATGCGAAGCTTTACCGCTTTTGTGCTATCATGTAAATTGTCTGAATTCATATTCGAGACCATTATAAGCTTTACCCCTTTCCTGCACACTGTTTTGTTTTGTCAAAAAACAAAACAGTGCTTTAAATATATCTCCTTCCCAGGTTAAAGTTTGAGCATAGAATATGACAAAAAGTGTTATTTTATGACATTTAAAAGCTAGGATCAACCATTTGGAAGAAATCGATCAGGTCAACTCAGTGGGATTGGGTTTTATAGATTAGAGGATCAGTTTTTTTTTTGGAAAAAATAAATGAGAACATATTAAAGAACATTAGAAAAAAGAAATAAATTCTTCTGTGGACTTGAGAAAATGTTGAGTATGCATGGGACCATGTCACTCATTGGCAGTCATTTTGTGGAAACAATTCGGTAACTCTTGGGCCCTTTATTTTTCGTCATTTTTTTTCACTTCCTCTTATCTTTTGCTTTCTGCTTATTTACTTTTCACCTTGAATTGATGAGGACCAACAGATCCTCTCTATTTTTGAGGCATGCTCATATTTTTTTTTATGGTTGATCCCTTTCCAAATCAATCAAACCAGAGTGAAACTGGACAATTTTTCTTTGCACCATGGTCTGATAAGAGTCATTGAGCATTTGAAAGGGCAAATAACATATTCAAGACTCCCTCTTTCTACGAAAAATGTGTGAATGAGGTGCTCTTCAAAGTTTCATATATCCCACTCCATTTATGTTAATCTGGAATGGATTGACAGGTCATGTGCCATAGTTTGGTAAGAGGCATAGAACATTTAAAGGGACGAATGACATGTATGATGTATACCTCTTTTATGATTATATGTAGATGGAGGTCTTTCTTGGGATTCTGAAGTTATATGACATAACCTGACCTATGATGTTCCTGTCTGAGACCAGTAAATTCTCACTGAACATGTTGTATGTTAAAGCACCATTTCTGTTCTGCCATGGTGAAGAAATGTGGAGAGAAAAGAAGGAACAGGACAATGCCCTTAACGCCCATTGTGGTATAGCTATAACATACAACTACAATTTCCTCTGCAGGATCCCTTAGAACTGAAAATACCCTTATCTACAATTGTGATGAAATAAATAACACCATACACAATATACTTCTAGACTCTAGAGATCCATTCTATTTACAGGTAAGGTTGACAGATAGGCTCCAGTCTTCAGCAATCCCATTATCAAATACACCAATTCACTGCAGGACGAGGGAACAGCTTTCCATTTTCTTAGTCGACTTTTATTTTAGATTCTATGCCCTTCAGCATCCTTGTTTCATGTTCAATGTCTCTCATTTGTTTGACTTTATTCTGTCTTCTCTCATTCATTTGACTCTTTATTCTGTCTATAACATTCCATCCATGTTGACTAGAAGTTATTATGTGGATATTACCTTATATTTTCAGTCACATTATCAGGATCTGGATGTTTTGAGAAATTTTTGCATTTAGTATCAAGTCACTGTCAGTTAACTTTTTATTACCATTAACATAGTTGTTACCCATATTCCATAGTTCCAAATAAAAATGAACATTTGTATTTGTTCGGATTGACAGTTTAGTGGCATTTCAGGTCCCTGTTTTTCTTATTTTGATTTTTCTCTTTTTTTCTTTTGTATCTAATTCATAGTTCTTTAAGGAGCTACAGTTAGTGACATGAGTGCTTTGTACTTTAGAGTTTAGAGACTTTAGACAGTGTGCTTTAACTACCAGATTATTTTTCCTTATGAGCATATTATGGAGTGGCTATCGTTTACTTATGACTTTGATATTGAAGACCAATTTAATTCATTAATATCCCAACATCTATATTAACCATGGATTACACTTTGATCAGTTAACTTTATGTACAATGCAAGTAATTTTAATTTCATTTGAAACTATATGTATTTAGCTCGAACTATTGTCTTTCAACCTACTTGTTGTTATAGGGAACTGCTGGGGTTGCAATTGCTGGTCTCTTGGGAGCCGTAAGAGCCCAAGGAAGACCAATGATAGACTTTCCAAAGCTAAAGATTGTTGTTGCTGGTGCTGGAAGGTTTGAAATGATGTTTATTTGTTTGTTTTCGTATTTTCAATAGTTTTTGACGCATAAATGATTATCTTGATTCTTGGGTATGAAAACCTATAATAATCTGTTATTGCTGTAATAGCTTTTGCTGTTATGAATAGATTTTCTTTCTTCCATTGCATAGAGAAAATGACTGCTTATGCATAGTTTCCTAGCTATTAAAAGAAATCAAATATAATATGTAAATATATAGTATGGCATGACAATCCTGTTCAAATGATAAGATAAAGTGAAGACAATTGTTTATTTGTAATTACGAAATGAGTTTATGTTTGCTGTGCAAGGTATGCCCTAATATACTTAACAAGCTGAAACAGTGTCCCCATGTTTTGCAAGAGATTTGCTCTCTGAGAAAACATTGGCAATATATCCTCTATGGTAAATGTGGCTACCAACTGATCTTGAGTACTAGATTATTATACTTGGTAAATGTATTAGTAACTTATACAAAGAATTTAGAGTTTTAACTGGAACATGCAATGCTAGATAGGGTTAGAATTTAAGACTAAAGTAGAGAGAAATTGAGATACAAGGACTGGAAAAAAATGTTTTTGTCTGAAAATGGAGCTGATTTGATTCATGCTGAGTTAGCCATCACCATGGACAAATCATTAAGGTATTTTTTTTAAGGCAGTTAAAAAATGTTTAAAGAAAACCATTTAGTGCATTTATAAAAATAGACGAGTAGCAATTTGCAAGATTAGTATCGGTATTTCCTTTTGGGATATTATGACCCAGATCAACAAGATTGATTAGGTTAGACTGTAAGTCGTAATTAGCTAAAGAAAACCTGAAAATAAAAATATACTCATAAAAGTAGCAAAAAATGAAAATAATATAAAGTTTGAGAAAATAAATAACTTCGTATTTCATAGAACATCTAGCTTCCTAAGAAGACATGAAATCAAATTGCAAAACACAAACAAAATTATAAAAAAATGTATAATGCAACCATTTTAAATTTAATTGGAAAATAAAATCTATTCATGCAAAATTACTATATGACAAATAACAATACAAGTCATGTAAATGGCTCAAAACATAACAACTTGTAGCTTGGAAGATGGCCATGGATCCCATTGTAGCTCTAGTATTTCACTTATCACCATATGGGTGAAGAGGTCATGTAAAGACAAACAAAGAAAAAAATATCCAATGAGTGTCCATGGATCCATATAACTTTTGGCTATTGGTGATGAAATTGCACTAATGGTGGCAAATGATGAACACAATCATTGAAGCAAAGGACTAAAATGCCTGTTTAACTGGTACGGCCTGACCAGTCATAATTGATTTGAATCTTGTCTGATACATGGACTAGGACACGCTTTGCAGTAAAGCGCTTATGGACTAGGACACGCTTTGCAGTAAATTGACCACATAATATATGGTAGATACCATGGAACTCAATTTCGCATAGAACGATCTATACCAACTGGTTACCCACCTGTTTGTTGATCTATAATATACAGTCAGAATCATCTTTCTAATAAACGCTTGAAGAAGCTAGTACATGCTTTTAAAACATGCATATATCTGCTGTTCATTATTGAGGATCAAGAGTGGGGGGATGCTATGTAGATTTATTTAATTCTCAATTTGTACAAGATGAGACAAATATGTGCTAGATAGGTTAGCATTATTGAGAATTAGGATGATTCATCAATCGATAAAGTAGGAGATCCACCATATCTATCTAGATTTAGTGCTATGTAAATACGCGTATTGTTGGGATGATGACACCAAGAGGGGGCTGAATTAGTGCAAGTATATGATTGAATTCTGTATTGTTTTCAATTAAAGAAGCAAGTATATAACAATTAAAGAACATAAGCAAGAGAAGAGAAATAGATAAGCCTTTTATAGTGGTTTTGTAAATGACCTACTTCCCAGTCCCGATTCCACATCTCTTGAGGCCACCAGTATTGTTCCCTAAATAAGTGAAGAGTAAGACCCTTACACGTTATACAATTTGTGACACCCCTCTCTTTACAAACTCATGAAAGAGATAGAACATTTAAGGGGGCAAGCGGGTTCACTGGGTCAATTGTTGGCCCTTTGCTTCTCTCCTATCTCCCTTTCTTTATTGGGAACCTGGTGAAGTTCGAATTTTCATGAAATTTTGGGCGTATTGCCAAAAATATTGTGCCAAAATGTAATGAGATCTGGTTTGAGGGTCTTTGTACATATGGACCGCAATGAATTTACATCTTTAGACAAATTGGCCACATAAATGAGAACTGAATCAGTGCTGGTGTAAGGGTCAAAACCATTTTGATATATCCTTTAGAATTAGGGTTTCGAGACTTTAGAGTTTAGACTACTCACTGCCTCTAAGTTGTCTTGCATCACCCTGAGTCTCCAACATGCTCTGCCTGCCACTTTTCTTTGAAGAAGACCAGAGGACAGGGCAAGATTTTAGAGCTAAATTGCTTCTCACTGGAGCCAAGTAGTTTAACTTCTTCATTGATTATCTTTGCCACATTATTTTCTGATTAAAGAGTCCGAACATATGACTGATGGTAACTCCACTCCTTGATAACTTCAGCATATGTTGTCATTCCCTACATGGTAGTAGGATCGCTAATGAATTTTCACTAAATCAATTCCAGAATCTAATTAATCAACTAATAATCACTAGGCATGATTTTCTTTAGCAAGATCATCGTAACTGTCAGTTTCTTCTCTATTTGCTACTTCACTTCCAGTGGCTTATTTGTTAACTCCAGCATATGTTATCATTCCCTACATGGTAGGAGGATCGCCAATGAATTTTCACTAAATCAATTGCATAATCTAATTAATTAATGAATAATCATTAGGCATAATTCTCTTTGGCAAGATCATAATAACTATCAGTTTCTTTTCTATTGCTACTTCACTTCCAGTGGGTCATTTGTTATGTTATATCATCTCTCTATATTTTTTTTTTATATTTTAGTAAACATGTGATCTTGATAATCAGATTAGCATATGATATGAAACTGTCATTCTTCAACAGTGCTGGAATAGGAGTTCTCAATGCTGCAAGGAAAACTATGGCAAGGATGCTGGGAAATAATGAATTTGCCTTTGAAGGTGCTAGGAGCCAGTTTTGGGTGGTTGATGCTATGGTGCGTGCAGGATTCCTTGTCACTTTTGATTGTAGTGTAGAAGACATTCACTTTTTTTATGATGTATGTTAATTGAAACACATACAGTCACTTTATTGCTCCAAGAAACTGCATCTGTTAGAGGGAGGGTACTCTCCTGTTAACAAATACTGAGCCAGGGCTGTTGCTTGATGTGACTATAATAATTAAAACAAGGTGGTGTTTCCAGTGGTCCCTGATGTTTACTACAATGAGAAACACAAAACTGTACATGAATTTTTGCTCATTTTAGCCTCCGAATGCTACTGGATTAGGCAACATCAGGCCCCAGCCTGTTAATGATGCTGATATAGCACAGATGGCCATCAGCAGCTGGTATTTAGTTAGTCTTTGTATCTTACTATGTCAACAATGCAGTGATATGGACTTAAATGATTCTATGAGGCTAATTGCTTGGTCAAATCATAAATAAAAAGTAGATGTTGATGGTTTTCTATGCCAAGATAGCATCAGTATTGCACCAACAATAATTCTCTTAATGAAGTAACATTTGTGCCACTAAATGGACAAAAGGAAAGTATAGGTTTAAGCTGCTCATCAAGTTTAAGTTCAGGGACAATTGGTGTTGTTGCATCTCCAGACAAAGTGCCATCTCTCTCTCTCTCTCTCTCTCTCTCACTACGGCCTGATTATTGTTGCATTGTCATAGATGGTAAATGATGTAATCTTTTACTTTGTCATTCAAAATGCTCCAGTAATGAAAATAATGGAGATTAAATTGTAATGGGATTAGCAAAATTTGACTTGCTGCAATGCTGACATATTGGCTACTATTTTCCATGGTTGTTCTTAAGGAATACCAGAACCTCTTTTAGGATGCTGTTGTTTTAAAGCTTGAGATTAGTTCTAAACAGAACCTTGTGATATTGGAACTTTTTCTGTTGTTTTGAGCCTCAAATAGACTTTTGTCCTCTGACCAATTGTGTGCTATATAGTTAAAATCTTTTCCTTAGAGATCTTATATATTTTCTAACTTGGAAGTATCAAGAAAATGATGTTCTTATTTGTATGATTTCTCAGGGTCTATTAACAGAAGGCCGCATGAATATTGATCCAGAGGCTTTACCATTTGTTAGAAAACTCAAAGAGTCAGAACGTCATGGTCTTCATGAAGGGGCAAGCTTAGCTGAAGTGGTAAGCATTTTGCTTGATGTGATATATTTTAAGGTTAGTTCTACGATTAAAATGCCACAATCGAGTCCTACCATGAACATAGTATGCACATACTGCTTGATGCTTTGGAGCAGGGTTTGCCTTTTCGGGTACCAGACCCATTTCAACAAACTATTGGAATGGTACATAACAGTTTGTACCAGTGTATCGAAACACGATATGCCTGTGCAAACTGGTGTTTCAACAAGGAAGAAAAAGAGGGTGAAGAGGAAGGGGCGGTGGAGGAACAAAGGAGGAAGGATAAAGGAAGAAGGAAGAAGAAGAAAGAAGATAGAAGAGGAACGGTGCAGTGGTAGTGTCCCTGGGACGCAGCAGCAGCATTGAAGCAGCAGCAACAGCATCACAGCGGCGAAGAGGCAGCGCTACTGCAGCATCGCAGAGGCAAAGAGGCAATGGCAAGGGTTGCGGCATCATACACGAGAAGAGGGCTCACGTTCGCGAGCCCTTTGATTTTTTTTATTTTAATCGGACCACCCGAAATGGGGTGGTCCACGGCAGCCCCATCACTTTTTGATTTTTTTTTTATTTTAATCGGACCACCCGAAATGGGGTGGTCCACAATCGGTCCACGCTTAGACTGATACATACTGCCCGTACCTTACCATTTCGGGCGGTATAGCAATCACTGCATTGTAGTGCCTATAACAATCATCTGCCTTCAGTTTAGAAAGTGGCATGGCATGTGGCACTTACATGCAAGAAGATTTGAAGTACCGGTTGCCTCGGTTCGGTATGGACTATCCAGTAAGATCACTTCAAATGCATCGCCAAAAGATAACTCATACCAAATTTTGTCTGTTTGTAAACCCATTGCCCAATACTGGTACCAAGATATTTTCTTTATTTTTTAATATTCTTTAAATATGGCCTCTCGAAGGGCTATAAATAGCAACCGGCCTTTAGCAGTAGCTTCTCCCCTCTCTCTTCTTTACCCGCTTGTGTTGCACCTTTACCTTTTCCTCTGCCCTCATGAGTTTGAGAGTCATGCGATGTCAGCCTAAACCTTACAGTCCTTTGCCCTTATGACTATGAGGGTCGCAGCGATGATGTCGACCCAAGCCTTGTAGTCAACATCTATTCTTCCTTAAAGCATTAGTGCATGTATAAAGGGATGAGACAACGACTAGATGACTCGGTGATATGAGTATAGAAGCTATAGTGGAAGTGGGCCAAGTCAATTAAGCAAATCATCCATGACAAGAACCTCTATCGAGCCAAAGGGTGAAACAAGAGTGCTAGCTTGGGGCAGCCAATTGTCCTTCCTTAATTGAGCATGATAGGCAGCATGAGGCAGGCTAGATTAATTTCATCGAAGGACTTGGCAAGAGGATAGCATTTGACTTGATATGTTGATCTCGATCCTGTTGCTTACCCTCGTAGTCAACAAAACAAACACTAACGGAAAGGAAGGACATTGGGAAAGATATTATGAAGTCGTTCAACCAAGGATCGCACTTTCATATCCAAGGTTTGTACAGGTCCAGGGTTGGGCTAGTACCTACCATTAGATATCGATGTACTGATACAATGTACACCAATATGTATTGGGTTTTAAAAAAAAATTATTTTAGGATTTTTTTGTCCTATTTTCTTGGTTTATAGAATCAAATTAAATAAGAAAATTAGCTATAATAAATAGAAAATGTAAATTATATTGATCAAGAATAGAAATTCATATGATTATTCCATTAACATATAAAATTTCATATGCTATTCCATTAACATATAATAAGGACAAAATAGAGGTAATGTAGGAGGTGATTTTCTACAAATCAGATAATACATGGGAAAAGATTCAGGATGCCAACTGAATTGAGGGTTTGATGAACATGGTGGAGAAGATTGGTTTGCAGTCTGGGGTGAATTTCAAGAAGACTGGACAGCAATTGATGGAACACAAAGAAAACCTGTTTTGGACATCTTGTATAGCACATTGTATGGATTCGATGATGGACATCACATTAGTCAGCTGACATCAGTCACAACGATAGTGTCAAGGGTACAATTAATCACAAAATTCATCTTCAATCATCAATGGGTGCAGTCCTTAATACAGAAGGTCAAACATGAAGAGATCCTTTAACCTGGCATCACTTGCTTTGACACAGCATTGAAGTCCATTCAACAAAAGAAACTTCAGTCCAATGTATTGTTCACATCAACAGAATGGGACAAATCTCGATATTCTAGTTCCATGGATGAAAAGAAAGTGAAGAAATACTTCCTATCTTCTAGGTTCCGTCTATAAATGGATAGTGGTTGGCTGGCACTAAATGGCACAGTGGTTGCCCAGCACTAACAATCTCCCCATGCCATGGCAAGTGAACTTTTGTTAGTGAACCTTACTCCAAAAGGTGTTTTATATTTGAGAGCAGTATACAGCTGTTCAAACCTTGTTCAAAAGACCATTTATTTTAGGTATATGGAACCTGATTATGAAGAATGATTGTTTCATTTTCCAGATGTTTAAATCTTTATGCACAATGACATTGAAAATATATTGAGTCTGATTACGTAGACTGATGGTTTTGTTTTTAAGATATATAAATCTTTAAGCAAATAATGAATTGCAAATGAAGCTTTTTATCATGTCAAGCTTAGAAAAACTGAAATTTCATTATAAACTTGTTGAAAATCAGTCGCATAGTTCATGTTCTCTATAGAAAATTTTCTCTATTGCATGTTATTTTAATAATTCCTTTTATCACTTTTGTTTATGAACTAGGTTACAAAAGTAAAGCCTGATGTTCTACTTGGACTATCTGCAGTTGGTGGCCTTTTCTCCAAGGAGGTACAAATTTATAGGAAATGATATGATGAATATTTATTGAAGCTATTGACATTTTGGTTCTATTTGTGTGTCAGTCTTATATATCCAACCGACAGAACATTTTAGCTATAGGACCTTAATATGGACTCAGTTTATCAATTAATTTAGTTATTTACATGAGTGACATCCAATATTTCGAAAAACAAATAATTTATTGGAGTAACTTCTATCGGCATATTTATGCATCTAATTCTAGTGATGATGCGTGCTTATTTCAGAAGTATGGAAAAAGCTTGCTTGCTAGCACATGTTTGGCGTTCTGTTTATGTAGATAGATGAACACCATCTTTGGTCAGAGTTAGTGTTTGGATCTTAAAATAAGGATAGTTCAGTTTAGTCATAACTCGGTATCATTCTTAACATGTCAGTATTCTTTTGCGGTTATGAGTATCAAGTTGGAGTCAACTAATTTATCTTTCCTGCCACAAGGTAATAACATTACATCGATGCCACTTTTCATCAGAGATGAGATTTATGAACACTATTTGTCCATCAAAACTTCTAATAAAAGGTGGAATTGAACTTTTCCTTGGATTATTGTTTTTTAATTCCATCTTTGAAGTCAAATGATAATTATGTTCACCTTCTTGCTTAAGTAATCATAACTAATACACCATCAAGGATTTTTTTTCCCATGACATCATTCCTTGCCAACTATATTAATTCTTAAGCTATGGTGGAAGATCCGTAGGCTGCTTGCTGTCTTGCTGTGTTTCAATTTATTGGAAAAAAGCACTCTTCCTTTTAAAGGATCAAAGAGTTTAGATTTTCGACAATACTTTTATGAGTACATAATATATACATTCATCATACTTTTCCAGAATAATTTACATGGAATCACTGTAAATTCTGTGTTGTTATATTTCAGGAGGAAGTCCAAGTCATTTATACATTCATCTATCTTTATGGCTTGATGGAATCATTCAAACAAATTCTGTAAATCGCTTGAGAATTTCCATTTATACTCAAAGTCCTAGACATTTTATAACAATCAATTGCCATATGTTGTATCTAATAAAAATTAGAGACTCAAGACCCCAATCGTAAATTATATCTTCATATAGTATAGCAAGTTTTTTGAACTCATTATTGAAGGCTTTTGTTTGTTCATAGTCCATACCATATATTCTGCTATTGCGAAAATGTCCTAAGGTCATCGAATGACTGAGAAAAATAGACTTTGTATTGTTGCTATGTTGTTTTCACCTAGGTGCACTAGAGTCATGTCATGTGATGCTAACTTCTAAGCATATTATTCGTCTAGAATAAAATGTTAATCACTAAAGTTAAACATAAGATGATAAGATGATATGACATTGACAAGTTTTCTTTGCCCCAACTTGCTGAATGTTGGAGACTTCCGTTAAGAGTTTAGCCAAAACCTTTTAGTGAATTATTATGTATATGAGATAAACAAAACACGATATTAAACTAACAAATAGGTGCATACATTTATGTGAACACATATTTTTGGAAAAAATGAATATTTCTCTATGGGAGAGGAAATGTGTGCCACTTGCTACATGGAAGCCAGTAGTAACTAGGTCATCACCAGTCACACAAACTTTGGCTCCTTGGGCCATGCCATGTTTAGTCCAGAATTGGGCTAAACAACATGACCTTCAAACTTTATTTGGGCTTTACCCAAATTGGATGTTCTGGCTTTTTGATCAAGGACCAAAAGCTATGCCTGCTCGAGTTCCATACAAAACTCATAGATCAAGGTCTTGCTTCTCATCTTCATTGTTTCCCTTAGCTTAAGCTATTGCTTTGGTGATGCTCTCAACAAGTGGCTCCATGATGTCCCCTGCAGAATCTCTGTTCTTCTTGTCATTGCATCTAGAGGATAGATCTTGTGTTAATGTACGAGTCTTAAGAACCAGACATGAGAATCATCAAGGTCAAAGGGTTTGTTATAGAATAAGAAGAGAAAACAATTTTTTTCAAGGTTTGCCTTACTGGTCCGAACCGGTGTACCGGCCGATCGATAGTATGATATGTACAACTCCATATGAACATACCATGTGTCAATACGGCGAGGCATATTGATGGCACCAGAAAATGGCCGAAAATAGATCCAAAATTCCTAAACAAAGAGAAAAAAGTTATATTATGGTTTTTAAGTTAGAAGTAAATATGATTTTAGTATAATTTTAGCAAAGGTCATCTAAATTAGGAAAGAATAGTGACATCTTTTTCAAGCTTTAGGAGTAGCTTTGTGGGACGTTCTGGGCCTTCATTTCGTTGATATTAAATTATCTACAAAAAAATAATTTAAATTATTAGATTATTTGTTAAATACCTTAAACTTTAAGATTCAAATGAATCAAATAATCGATCGATGGATATACCTGGTTCTACCACCAAAAAGAATGACGAGACTCAATGAGCGGTAAATCGGGGTCCTCGATCTTATGTATCTGTATATCAATTTAATATATTTTTCAGACCTAATCTTGAAATTTATCCCATGACATAGTGTACTGATACATTATATGTCATTGGTACATCAATGTGGTGATGGTCATAGTATGATCATCGTGAACCACACTTGTCCGAGGCGGCTCTTGAGGCAAGTACGATTGTGGCATGTATTGGTGCGAAGCATGAAGAATGTTGAAACTTCTACTTTCGTCACTGATCTGTAGCTCCATATATAAGATCGATCACCATACTGTTGCTCGAAGAAAAATAATCGACTATCACCATACTACTGCTCAGAGAAGAATGACCAACTATCATGTCGAGCTCCATAATCTGAATCTTAGGTGGCATCCATAAAATATTGTTCCTCGATCCATACACCACAAACTGTGTCGATGGGACTATCGACTCCTCGATGTTGCTGCCATCGTCGGTTGAGGTACTACTGTCTACGCCGTTGCCATGTCTCCGAACCGAGCGGTTTGCTGAATGCGATTGAGAAGTTGTCTATGTACCTTTGATTAGAGAGTTCTTCCTTTAACTTAGGTATTAATCCTCCCTAATTAGCCTCCTAAGTTTGATCCAATCCATAAATTATAGCTTTGTGAAGTTTTAAGAGAGTGAAAATATGAGAATGAGAAAAAGAAGTGAGTGAGAAAGAGATTGAGAGAGTATAAGAGTATGAGAGAATGAAAATGGGTGAAAGAGGGGGAGAAAAGGGTTTAAAAACTCTTTCAAATGGATCTGACCGTTGGAAAGTGTTAGATATGAGCCGTCCATCGGTAATGGTTGAAATCCAACCGTTACCGACTAAGTACAGGTTGGTAAGGGTCGGATTTCGATCATTACCTAACAGTATAGGCCCATATCGAATGATATAGAGCCTTTTAGTATATACCACCCGGCACAGGATGGTCCACGTACCAAGAGCACTAAACCAATCACAGTATACTGCAGTACAGCGAACCCTGATTTTTTTTTTATTACAAGCTGTAACAATGTTATAACTTCATGTGCTGGGCTAAATCAGTAGAAGGCCTTTACGGAGTTACCAGCCCTCACTCCCAAGTGTCTCACTAAGATTGGTTTAGTGCTCTTGGTACCAAGGAACTAATCGCAGATGAAGTGATGGCTCCGAGAATGAAGCTAGATATAATTAACAGGTTCAAGTGGAGGTGTTGAAGTTTTGCTAGTTCTGTCAACAATGGTTCTTGGATCACACTCATTTTGTGTGTCTAGTGCCTAAGGTATTATGATTAATAATGTTTTCTTTTGCATTTTAATTACTTCTCTTTTCCATATATTCACTTTGTTATATCCTTCCTGGTCTTTTAGATGTACTGGTTTTGTATTTTGTTATTGGACATATCGTTTTCTTATCATATTAAATATAAGAGGAACTGGACATTTTACTATTTTTTCTAAATCTGGCATGGGATATAGTTTTTAGCTTTTGTAAGGAATTTCTGTGGCCCATTCTTGTATTAAATTAAACTAACCTTATAGATCTTGTGGTTACTCATGAGCTCATGATTCCTAAACATGGCTACACTTTATTTTAGCATTATAGTACATGATTTGGGTAGATTTACAAAAGAAAAAATCAACTGGTCACTCATGTTTGCATTCTATCACTTCACTCATATTGAGGTGAAAAGAAAAATTCCAAAGAACTACATTTGGTTACATTGGTTAGATATCTTTTATATTTTGATTTCTATGGACTCCCATGATTATGATTTTATGTTGGTTGGATGATATTTACATCTGAGTAGGCCTTGCTGTTTGTATTCTGAATTTTATTTTCTTATGTTTTACTTCAATTTCTTTTAAGTGTATCTTTGGCCTATATTCACGTTTGCTGCTCAAATGTGTTATCAAGTTCTAACTAGTTCCTAAGCTGTAGAAGGTTATCAAGTTGCTATAACATAAAATGGTATGTTGTACTTAGGTTTTAGAAGCCTTAAAGGATTCATCCTCCACTAGACCAGCAATTTTTGCTATGTCCAATCCAACACAAAACGGTTTGTAAAATTGAAGTACTTAAGCTATTAATCTTATTATGTTTTATCTCTGATTTTTTTATGTCTAATTTGGTAGCTGAATGCACTCCTGAAGAAGCCTTCTCCACAGTGGGTGACCACATTGTATTTGCTAGTGGAAGTCCGTTTCATGATGTCAATCTTGGTATGTGTTGTATGTAACTTTATCTTCTTATGTGCTTTTTGTTTGGTTGGGAGTTACGTGCTTGTTTCTGACGGAAAGAAATGCATGAACATGCAATTAGTTCAGAAATTTCTTGCCTCAGAAAAGTTCAGAAATTTTAATATAGAATTGAACATTACAAATCAATCGTCAGCCATAAGAAATAATAATAAAGTTGTTTTTTCTTTCTCTATGAGAACTGCTCTAATGAATCACATGGAGCATCACACTAGAGTAAGTACTACAGTGCAACTCATACGAGTACTTCAATTTCTACTGCTAGCTTTAAAATGGTTTGGCATTTTAAATACTCATCTGGATTATTGTTGAGACTTGAGACCCAGAATGAGAAACTTAGAAGAACCTACCTTGAGCATCTATATTTTGGCTTCTTTCTGGTATATTTTTTTCTATAGATCATCAACAATAGTCTTGCATATTGTGCATCATGACCCCTCTTGGACTTTTCAATTGAGTTGTTAGAATCATGACTAGAGTTACCCCTCTTAGACTTTGCAATTGAGTAATTGGACTAGTGAATCTGATGATTAGATGAGATTCCATCTTAACAATTTTGCACCAAGAAAAGGTAGCTTACACAATATTGGTCTAGTGATCTACCAGACCACTTACTAAAAGGTTATAGTTTTAAAATCTCATACTATGAGTTTTACACATAAAACATTAATTTTACACTTAAAATATTGGTCTGGTGGTGGTGGTGTGTCAAATCTATTTACTAAAGGTTAAACATTTAAAACTCATTCAATAAATTTAGACGCGATACTTCATCCAAAAGGCAAGTTTCAAAAAGTTGCGAGAGTCGATAGTTCAAGTGGCACTGCAACTTTAGTTCTCATCTCAGGTAGGATTGTTATCAAAAGGTATATTGACCAATTGACTCAATTAAAGGTCTTTCAAGTGAGAGTTTTTTGGTTCAAGAATCCTATGAAAATCCTTAAGTAATATCTAAAACATCGGTATGATAGTGTTATACCAACCTACTTATAAAGGGTTGATAGTTCAAAATCTCATTCAACAAATTTACATTTAGAACATATACGACCACCTACCAAAGGTTGAGACTGGAAAACTACATCTTTCAAAATTTCACATCCAAAATATTGGTATGCTAATGGTGTACTAGATCCATTTACCAAACATGTAAGGTTCTAAACTTATCCAATAATTTTAGACTATAAACATTGATATCGTGATGGTATACAGAATCTACTTCCCAAAGAGTGAGGATTGAAAATCTCGTCCGAGAAGATGTAAACCTAAAGCATTGATGTGGTGGTATACCAAATCTATTTACCAAAGATTGAGGACATGAAACTACATCTAATAATTTTATATCTAAAATATTATTCTAGTTGTGGTGTACCATGTCTAGTTTATAACTTTATCCAATGAATTTTATAAATAAAATGCTAGTCTGATAATAGTGCACTAACTCACTTACCAAAGATTGACAGTTCAAAATAAATTGACACCTAAAATATTTGTCTCGTGGTGATGTACTGGATCTACTCAACAAAGTTTAGGGGCATTTGAAATATCCTTGATAAATTGTACACCTAAATCTAATTGTGGTGTTCAATTTTGTAATTAATTAAAAGTTGAGAATTCAAGGCTCCATCCAACAAATTCTTACCTAAAATATTGCCCTAGTGGTGATGTACTAGATTTACTTATCAAAGGTTGAGGTTCGACATATCATCCAATAAATAGATACCTAACATATCGTCTAGTGGTCCTATACTAACCCACTTACCAAAGGTTTAAGATTTAAAATCTGATAAATTTACATAAAATATTAGTTTGATGATGATGGTGTACCTAACTCATATATCTTAGGTTGAGGATTTAAAATATTATTGTATAATTTTTATATCTAAAACATTGATCTAATGATGGTATATTAGACCCAATTATCAATGGTTGGTTGAGTGATCAAAATCTCATCCGATAAATTTACACCTATAATATTATTTTGATAGTGGTAACAGGATCTGGTTACCAAATATTGAGGTTTCAATCCTCATTTGCCAAAATTGAGAAAATTGCAAATGTTACCTAGCTTGGTACAAATTTTAACTATTGATAACAAGGTCCTGGAATTGAGTCTTATCTTGACCACCTACCCTCTGCAAATAAAGAAAAAAATAAAGCTGCTAATCTACCATAGATTGTACCAGTAATAAAGGACAAGTAGGCATTAATATTTTATTTGAAACTGTCATATACTTAGGATCCTTTGGTCAAACTTTTTGAAAGCTTCGACGATTCATTGACAATCATCTACAAACTTGAACTACAACACAACCAATCAGCAAGGAAATTGTAATCTCCTACTTATGTATAGCAATCCAAAAGGCATGTAATGCCAGTTGATTTGGAGAGTGATGGGTGTTCATAATCATTGGTAGTGTTCAACTTAAGATTTGAGCTGGCTTCATGCTAGATATTATAATTAAAAGCAATAAATGTTTTGAAATATTAAACATCCAATATTTGCTTACATGGAGGGTCATCTTTCACTGGGAATGTTGCCCTACACAATGGTAGGAAAATATCCATATACCCAAACCCTAGTATTTGGTCTCTTATATACTATTTCCCTCAAGCCCATTAATTCCGTCCATCTACAAGTTGCTTGAAGCGTTAACGGGCTAGATGCGTGACCCGAAGTGCAACAAATTAATATGTTTTCATTAACCTAGCATATGATATAAAAATAATTGGATAAAAGAGTTGCTACTATTTTTTTATCACAAGTTGTGATGTTGCTTTTTGCAGGAAATGGTAAGATTGGCCACTGCAACCAAGGAAATAATATGTATCTGTTTCCCGGGTTAGTTGAGCTGTATCTTTGCTTCTTATAACTTGGCATCGCAACTTAGCTGTTGGTTTTTTTTACATCTGAGCAAGGCCCTTACCTTTCAGGATAGGCCTCGGTACACTTTTGTCTGGTGCACGTGTTATCTCAGATGGTATGCTTCAGGCTGCAGCTCAATGGTAGTCTCAGTAACGTTGTCTAACAGAGGTTTCATTTATTGTGTTAGAGAGGTCATTCTAATGACTTTTGTGTTTACAAATGACCTGCAAAACATATCAGTTTGGCATCATACATGAAAGAAGAAGAGGTTCTTAATGGGATAATATATCCTTCGATATCCAGGTCTGTGGTGAATCTTCCATAACTGAGAACATTGAAGACTATATGTTTGTTCTTATATATGATGGTTGCAGCATAAGGGACATAACCAAGGAAGTAGCTGCTGCTGTCGTAAGAGAAGCTGTAGCAGAGGATCTTGCTGAAGGATACCGTGACATGGATCCCCAGGAGCTTCAAAAACTCACACAGGTGAACAGTCATTTTATCTTGTTCTGTGATAGTAATTCAGAAAGCTCTAATTGATTTACCTTGGTTGTTGCTCCTCAAATTCTAGGAGGAAACTGTGGCATATGTCAAGAAGAACATGTGGGAACCCCATTATCCAACCTTGGTTTACAAAAGAGAGTAATCATCACATTATCTGTCTCTGAAGGTAGGTTCTAAAGTGGGCCGACCGACACGTTATGTGGCATCATTGAACTTCAACATTTTGATGATCATTTTCAGGCAAACTCTCATCAAGACTTACGGATCTTTTTTTTTTTCTGTCTGTACCAGTATTAAATACTATAATTCTCCATTGGGACAGCAGATCTGGGGGTTCATTCTTTCTTTGAGAGTTGCTGCATCACATTTGTAAGTTTGAGGGTTTCTATGGCTAGGAATATCACGTGTTATAACTGCACTCGGGCCAAGAATTTAGTTATGAAAACACAGAAACGGCATAATCTTTTCCCTTCAAACCATGTTTTTCTGTATGACAGTAACGCAACATCAGATAAAAATTTGAGTCCAGTGATAAAATTCTTTCCATGCTTAAGTATTAAAGAGCTCAGTAAAATTAGTTCTTCTATAGGTTCCCAACATTACCAGCACAGCCCTCGTGGTCAGCTCATGTTGAGGTTTAATTGGTAGCCTATAGTTTGATTAGATGTCATGGGTTGAGTTTTATTGGCTATTTATTCAATTTGTTGATCTTTGTGTTTTCTGATTAAAAAGAAAGCTGCTGTGGATGAACAGATGACCTTTTACTACTATTTTTTCACTCGGTTTATAAGTCGAACTGGCCATACAAGTGGAAAAGCCTGATCTAGTTGAGGATTGACTGGTTACGCAAATCAGGTCTGATTTCCTTCTCTTGACCCGAGTCGTAAAAAAGAAAAAGAATTTTTGTTTAAAGACAATCATTCTTGACAGATAATGAATTGATTGGGTCACACATCTTTAATTGGCAGATAATACAGCATCTCTAATCTGCTCGTGAGGTAGAATAGATGCCGACAAATAATTCTGTTACATGGTAGTCTAGTAGAAATGTGTTGTCTATCCCACACGAAGATCCATGCACGTGTGTGTACCTCATATCCTCTTGCAATGCCTGTTAGAACCTTTTTTTTTGGACTCAAGTTCTACAGAAGCATAGGCAATCTGAAAGATGCACTCTCTTCCATCTATTCATATATGGACAATGAGTTGATCATTATTTTTTTACTTCAAAAATCCATCTGAATTGATTCTTGATCTGTAGACTAAGAAAACCTTTTCTTTCAATGCCTAACATCATTATAATTACAATTATTCCACACTCAAAATTAATATGCCTCCTGTTATCCTCCCCGATATAATGATGTAATCATATTTCACATTCATCTTCTTTCATCAAGATCCTCTAACGTGAGGATTGGTATTTGCTGCTACTGAATGACTTGAACAACATTTTTTTTCCTCAATTACCTTGCTACCAATATAGATGTCAATAAATTGAATGCAAGTAGTGTAATCTACAAGAAGCTTCAATGCATGTAAAACAAAGGATTTCCTTACTCAAAATATTTGGCATAGAGGAAATATTTCTATCATAATGAGTGGATATGAGAAAAATATTTAAAAAAATGGTAATTTGTGATTCGGCTAATTGGAATGGACAAACAAAAGTCATACCGTTTACTGAATGGAAAGTCGGCTGAGGTACTCCAATTTGTAAGCGACTGATTGGAGCGTGTTTTTAAGTCTGGTATTCTCGCACCTACCTCCATTAACAGGGCATGATTTTAACTACCACAAACTTCAAATTACTTTGTGTCTCATTCGCCAATTTTTTCTTAAGAAGAAAGATAGAAGCCTCTCGCTGCAATTTCATCCAGCGGATGAAGTATATAAGAATGGCATCTTAGTAAGCTGCTCACAGAAAAAGATGGATAGAATATATCGAACCATCATCAATGACTGAAGAAATAACTACTGTTCAAAAATGACCTACATATTTTTTTTTGATAGAAAACCATGTCACTGATAAGATAACTAAAACTCTTACTATAGCCATCATTCACCAAAACACATTTCATGTAACGTTATTGTGAACTTTGTCAGATTTCACATCCTATATACCAAAACATTAAAGGTTAAAGTCAGAAAGGAAAAAGATACAAAGATTCAACTGGGATTTGAAATTCCAAGCTACTACAGTACTATCTCATGACAGGAATAGCATCATGCCACTGATCAAGTAAGACTAATACTGGTCAGAAAGTGCTGGGAATAATACTCAAATTCTAATATGTTTGAAATTTTTATTAACTATTTGCTCCACAACATACCCTAGGCACATTATTTGAGCAAGCTGTTGTAATAAAGCCTCTCTTCCCATCACTCCTACCCCATTCTCAGTATGTTGCTACAAAACGCTTATGTTATGAAATTCCGATTATGAACAAAAAAAAATGCAGTATCTACGTTTTACTTCATGGAAAGATAAATAGACGAGAAAAATGACTAACATTCATGAAGACCACACCACAATATAAATCATAGTATAAACGAAGAAAAAATAAATAACACATGAACTTCAATCTTTTACCCTAGTTCATGTTGTGCAGAGTGCAGACATTGTTAACATAGTATCTCAAAGCCATACTGTTACTAAGTGAAAAAAACAACAGGCACCAAATTCTGCATCATATTCCAAACTCAGGGAGATCCCTTTTACTTTAATTGGTTTCAAGTAATTTCATACAAAGAAGACGATAGAGTACAACTATTATCAAAAGAAGTTTTAACAAGAAATGAAACGTTTAACTTGTGCCAGAAGCTTATAGAAATCAGCCCCAATATCTGGGTAGTCATGAACATAAGCAAGTTTGTCTAATCACATATTGATCCACCCTTGACTAGAACCTAGAGATGGTTAAGATCATGGTCCGCCTTACCGGTCTGTACCGGTTTATCGATCGACCATTAGTATGTTATGTACCAAACCATACCGATGTATCGACACATGATACGATAAGATATACTGACAAACTGGTATATACCACTCATACCAGTCCCCTATTGGATCAATATATACCGCCTGTATCATACGGTACTCCATGGTACGACGAACCTTGGTTAAGATAGTAATAGTTAAGATAAATTCCAATCAGATAAGAGAGTAACAGGTCTAAATCTTGGTGGCAGGTTTCTGCTGTTATAAAATGAAAAGCAAGCTGTTATAACAAAGAAACGCCAGAAACTTGCTCTGATAATGCTATAACGAAAAGAGAGAGGAAAGTAGAATGGAAGAAAATAAACTAGATACAAAAGAAAAGGGGAGGAAGATGACTAAGATAAAAAAGATAACCACATAAAAGGAAACGATGACAGGACTATAGACTGAGCAAGTTTCTGCTTTTGTACCAGGAAAGTAGAGAATATTTGATTTAGTAACAAAGAAACAACAGTAGTCTGATGTAATGGTCCCAATTCAAGTGGGAAGGAAAAAGTACTGAAGAATAGAGAAGAACACGGCAATGACCCTTCATAATACCATGATAGACAATCAAAGATGACAAAAAAGCTAAGAGGTCTTTAGTCCATTCTGAATGGCAAGTTTCTGTTGTTAGACCAACAAGGAACAAGATTATGTGATGTAATAACAATTAAACACACTGACTTACATTCTATCATGTACCCTTAGCTATAATATTCGGATGTGTATCCTTAACTATATTCATATTTGTTGGTGAACACTTAATGGTAGTCATTTGTACTACAATGAATTTTGTTTTGATATATCACTTTGACTATATTTATATATTTCTTATGAAAATGCATTCAAATATATGTTGCTTTGAAGAAATTTATTCAAAGTCTTATATGTTTATAATTTACAAAATATGTGAGGCTTATGATTTGCAAAACATCTGAACCTATGTCATGATTTACGTATAAGCACTAAGAAAGATCTGTGTTCTTATGAATTTTGAAAGAAAATGCTTACTGAAAAGTGATTTATAAGTTTAACAAAAAGTTTTGATTTGTATATCGACTCGACAGCCAACTCGAGGTGCCCAATCCATCATATCTCTAGTTTGGTCAAACTCAGATTTCGTGAGAACCAGTTTGTTTTGATTATATTATACACACATGCCCTAACTCCTCTACCAAATGGCAAGCAATAGAAAGCTCCATCCAGTTATTTCTCTTTTCTTCTCTATTATTGATTGTCTTAGGATGCCTACATTCTTGCAAAACACCATCATATCTGGAAATGTAAGGTATTTTAAGATAAAGATTAACATATTATTTTTTCCAATTTCTATTTTACCATGAGAAATTCTTCTCAATCAGATATTCTAAGAATTTAATAGGTTTGACTAAGAATTATTCTCTTCATTTTAGATCTAACTTAAATATTATTTTGTTAATTAAGTGCTCTATAGATGGTTAGATATATGTAATTAATGATTTAGGTAACCATTTGCATATTCAATTATATAAAACTCATGTTTGATTTAAGTTTTTTTAATGATTATTTTTATCCTTAATTATATTTTTTTATCTTTTATAACGTGGGCACCTTGCTTTAATCGAATGAGTGGCTAGGCAAGTGCTTGGCGCCTTGAGCAATTTAAAACATTGGCACCTTTTAGCACCTAACATCTGTAGTGCTTGGTGCCTTTGACAACATTGATATGAGCACATGACCCAAAACTTACCAAGAAAATCACATTCCAAGACTCATTTATTAAAACCCCAAACCCATTAACTCAGGTTCTAGTTCATCAAAAATGATTTAACTGGGCCATGTTTCACTTCTTTCATATAGGTTTTGAATGACAAAGACCATAAATATCCATCTTAACCTCTCATTGCCTCAAGTCAACTTCTCAACATTGAAAAAGATCAGAGATTGAAGAAAAGCCTGCCGAACTAAAAGTATATGATCCTTTTTTTCTTGTGTGATCTTTAGTTTGTGATAATCAGTTTATTTTTAGAATGGCACACACCGATTGATTAGACACGTAGGAAATTGTGGGTGTTGTCAGCAGCCTAGTACATTGGATAAAAATTTACATATAACCTATCATCAACACATTTTTATTCCTGCAAATTTCAAATGTCTAGCTTTAAGAACCTTCAATTAAGTATTATAAATAATTGTTTCGCTTATCAGACAAGTTGGTACTTGGGACCTCCAATCAAGGTCTGCAATACCGAATGACACCGCCTGTACCGAGCGGTACGTACCGGTCCGTCAACAGACCGATACACAGACCACCCGCTATTGAGCGGTAGCGTCGATTGAGGCGTTATCGTCGACAGTGACCAAGGGAGAAGAAAGAAGAGGGAGAAGGGGAAGAAAGAAATAGGAAAAAAAGGGAGAACCTGGAGATCGCCGTTCTCCTCCTCGTTTGTCGATGACATCTCGTCCGCACGAGGGAGAAGAGGCATCGACGTCGCGGGGCAGAGAGAGACGAAGAATTTTTTTTTTCTTCTATTCTCAGGCAACGTCACCTGCAATTTTTTTTTTTTAATCCGAGGCGACGTCGCCACGCATAGAGGTAAACCGAGCAATTTACCTATATATATATATATATATATATATATATATATATATATATATCGAGCGGTATATCGAAATATATCGCTCAATATACAGTACCGTACTGTACCGAATAAGTCTCGAAATTTCGGTACGATACAAAATTTCAATCCTTGCCTCCAAGAGGAAGTTAAATGATTAAAATAGACTATGTAATGCACAAGGAAATATTAATCAAGAAAAAACAAAGAAAAGATAACAATATCCTATTATTAATGGATAGGACCAACAAGTGAAAAAAATGAGTATAACAACAACAAGAACAAGTCACAATGTCTTAATCATTTAGGGCCAACTATATGAATCTTTTCTCAATAACAAGCATAATAAAGCAAGGCAACATCCCAGGTTAAATCACATATAAGAGTATGATGAATAAAAAACTATAGATATGGAATAAGAGTCATGCTTTGGGCTAATATATAATGCATTTAGTAGTGAATCAGCAAACTTACACAAAGCATGACATTTTGGTCTAAATAACTGCCAAAACAGTCATAACCAAAATTCTCATGCAAGTGAACACTCTTTAGACTCATATTCACTGAGCCAAAAAAAAGGAACAGCAAATCACAAATTTCAGGTAGTATAGATGCCTAATTGATTGGAATCAGAACATAGTCATTTTGAATGAAATACCAATCTTATTCCACTTCTAACTAGAGAATGCAATCTTAAAAGGAGAATACCTAATTATTGCCACAAAAGTAAGGATGTACATTGTCAATGTAAGAACCAAATGAACCCATCCCAAAGTTAGAAATGCCTAAAAGAGTGAACTACTGAACTACTTATTCAGCCAGATACGATAATCAGGCAGTGACTTTCATATATGCTCTGATCATCTTAGTTGGCAGAGAAGTGGAAATTGTAACTTTCAAGTACCAGATGAAAACCGGTTTCCAGAAGAATGAAAGCACTTCAAACCTCATCCGACATTATCCATATCTTCTGCCATCTAGCGATGATTTCCGACCAAAACCTTGCTCTCTTTGTCATTATCACCAACAGCTAAGCCTCCAGGATCTTGCTCTTTGTTCTCATAAACGATGTTCCAGAAGAAGTCAGTTAAAATTTTCTCATAAGATGGCATTTTTGCATAGCCAGGAAAGTAGTTAATGTCAATCACAAGATAACGGTTTCCAATCTTCACATCCCTTATAACATCAAAATTGAAAAGGCGCAATCCCATGGCCTGCCTCAAACCCCTTGCTATCTCCGTGAGAAAGCTCAACGGGGGCATCTCTGGCTCATTCAGATGCATGTAATACTCGACCTCTGTTGGGTCCTGCGTCGTCATATTGGACACCTGCGAGAAGGTGACAGATCCCTCAGAGCACTCCAATTTCTCTTCAGAGACATCCGGAAGGGACTTCCTCTTCACGCACTGCACATAATCTCCCACCACATACACCTTGAAGATGACCCCCCCATGGTTCACAAACTCCTGCAGTACGAGGGGCGGTTTGAGCTTAAGGAGGGCATCGCGGTGGAAAACAAGCGACATCTTATGCGACTTGGCACTTCCATCGGCCACCAGGGGCTTGGCAATGACCGGGAAGTGGAGGGCTCCGACGACCCCAGAATTGGATAGGGCGCCGGAATCATAGATCACCACCTGGCTCGGGATCCCAATGGTCTCCCTCACCTGGGGAATCTCAAGTTCAGACACGACCTGGAGCATGGAGATACGGTTGTGGAGGCGCTCGATGGCAAGGGGTGGATCAACGATAGGGACGCTAGGGTTCCTGGCTTCAAAATCCTCGAGCTGGGCCTTCCAATCCTCACCATAAAGCTTGTGGATCACGCAATCGAAGGGACCCTGATCAGCGAGGCGCCGTGATGCATCGATAGCGACAAGATCGATACCACGCTCGCGTGCGAGACCGACAAGCGAGGGCTGGATGAAGCTCTGCTGCTTCTTTGGGGCGAGTGCGTACCCTACCACGAATCTCCGAGGAGTTATAATTTCCGCCATAACAAGCTCCGTATCTTAAGAAACACCTCGAATTCCTCCTCGATCTCCGATCGCCTACGAAACAAACCACATTTTAGAGCACAGATCGATCCTAATCTAGAGTTCCTCAACCTAAATTATCGATTACCAAGGGCAATACATGAAGAGAAGCGCAGAAAAAATAGGGTTCTTCCCTTTTCTCGTTCTCCGAACACCCGCCGGGTGGGCGCGGAGGGCGAGAGACAGAGAGACGCAGGAGACGAAGAGAAGAGGGGGAAGGCTGGGGAGTTTTATAGCTCGAGGTCTACAGGGTGAGATCACTTGCGGTGAGTTCATGCTCGAACGACTGTGACCCTCTGGAGGTCAATAGATCTCACTAGGAAGGTGAGCAGAACCGGAGGATGATGGCCTACGCTTCGGCGTGATCATTGGCTGATACGCGTGGCGGCCTGACGACCGTCGGTTGGCGCTTTAACGGACGCGAGTGAATCATGTTTGTTCGAGGAGCCCGTGATCGAGAATCTTGGGGTCGTGGAAAGAGAGCAGCTTCCCCGGCGGTTCTCCGGTGGCTCGCACTGTTTCTTCAGCGTCAGCGTGAAGTGAATCATGTTTGTTCGCGGAGCCCGTGATCGAGAATCTTGGGGTCGTGGAAGGAGAGCAGCTTCCCCGGCGGTTCTCCGGTGGCTCGCACTGTTTCTTTAGCGTCAGGGTGAAGAATCGTTAAGGAGATTCGCTCCAACGCTATCGCGATGGCTAACAAGACACATTTGAAAGTTGAAACCATATTTATATTTTTAATATATAATTAAAATTTTGAGTGAATATATAGTTATTAAATACTTTAAATGTCTGCTAATAATAAATAAAAAATATATTTTAAATATATATTGACATAAGTATTATTTGATAACATCAATATTTAACTATTTTTAAAGATATTTAAATATTAAAAATATTCAAACATTCGAAAGTAATGTTTGAAAATGATATTTCATTATTTGTGGGATGCTAATGATATTTTTTTTAAATTTAAAAGTACCTTATAATTATATCTAAAGCTTTAAAATTATCAAAATATAATTTTTATCAAATAATACTTATGTCAGTACATATTTAAAATATAATTTTTATTCATAATTAAGAGTTTGAATTCTTTTGAAGCATCATACATGTATGGAATAAAATTAAAGAAAAAATTGATGATTTCCCTTTAAAAAATATATATTTTGATTGTTAGGATCAAAAGCGGCACTAAGAGGGGGGGGGGTAAATTAGTGCAGCAGAAAACTTTGTTTCGATTAAAACTGATTCCGATGAAAATGGTTTTGATTCAATCTGTTTCGAAGAGAATTTGAACTTAAAAGCTTTTCGTAAAAGTATAAGAGAAGATTAAGGAAATTTACAGTAATATGAATTACACAAATGAAAAGCGTCGGTTTCGTAAAATCTTCATATGATTAAAAAATGATCTCGGAATGTGTTTACTTGAAAGCGTATGTGAGACGTAGGCGTAGTAAAAGTACAGTAAGAAGGAGATAGTTTGCTATAAAAGTTAATTGCTCAAAGTGCAAACCGAGTTTTAGAGTGGTTCGGTTAATGTAACATACATCCACTTCCGGATTCCTCCTCCGACAAGGTCACCGGCGTCTACTAAAGGCCTTCTTTCAATAGGTGAAGATCAACCACTCTTACACAGTGCTTTTTCCTTTTCACGGGTTTAGGAGAGAACCCTTATAAGTCTCACATCTCTCTTGAATGATCTCAAAACTTAGAAAGGAAGGAGGATAACTCTAGCACTTGTTTACAACACTTTTTCACCCCTAACAACTCAAGATTATCTCAATACTTTGGTGTCCTTTCATGCAGAAAAGGGTGAGATTTTTATAGGCCTCGATGACTTCAAAAATGGAGCCAAAATGTATCTAATCCCATATTTCCGAGGTCCTGGCGGTACCACCGCCTGTAGTTTGACACCAGGTGGTACCACCGCTTGACAGAGCTCGGAGACCGAGCTCTGACGGTACCACCGCTGGCAGCAATAACTGTCGGTGGTACCACCTGTCAGTCTGGGTGGTACCACCGCCTAGATTTCCTAGGGCACTACTTTTCAAGCAGTGCCACCGTCGGCCAAGAATTCAGGGGCTAAATTGGGTGCTCAATTCGGCCCAATTCACCCCTAATTAAGTTAGTATGATTATCTCTTAATCATAACTTAATTTATGTTCTAACTATGATAATTAAGACATGTTTACTGCACTTTTTGTTCTGGTGCGTCAATTGCTTTTCGAACGAGCTTCCGGTATACTTCTGGCGAATATCCGACGAACTCTCGGTAATGCTCCGGTGGACTCCCGACAAGTTCCTAGATTTTACGACGATCTTCTTGGCAAGTTCCGATGAGCTTCTTTGGCAAGCTCCTGGACTTCTCGGTTGATTCCGGTAGAACTTCCGACGAACATCCGGACTTCCAACAAACTCTCGAACTCCCAATGAGATCTCGATCTTGACTCCGACATAACACATGTTTTATGTCTTACTGCTATCGTAGTTAATCCTGTATACTATTCTTAACATATAGATTAGATCAAACAATTTAAAATTAACTTTATTATCAAAATTCGAGATTCACCGTTGATGTGTTTAGAGATCACACACACCCCCGCCCCCTCCTAATTTTACGGGTGACCTAAGATGTCTTGAAAAGTAATCTTAAATTTATTTAGCTGAAATAGTTAGACCGAATTAATTCGAGAGAAAGAAGGAATTTTGGTACCTGCTTACACTTTTTTTATATTACATTATTTTGAATTACAAATTAAGATTATATAACTTTCACTTTAAAATACTGTCACCAGCATGATTTGACTTTAGATAACTTTAAGACTTCCTTGATAACTATGTAAACTTATTAATATATGATAATAAATAAAAAAAATAACCCATGGACGGTATAAAATCAAGATTATTGCTCACTTTCAATTGCCATGAAAATCCATACAATTCACTAAAAATCATCAAAAAAAAAAACATAAAACACTAATATATATATATAT